GGTTGACGTCACTCTCTTTCAAACCAAATCCAGTGAGTGATGAACCATAAACAGAAACTGAGCATTCTAAAAAGGCAAATTCAAAAAATGTCTTTTCATATGGTGTGCCCTCCAAACTAACATTCTAAGAAATCTGCCAGAGACTAAGAAAGATAATAATTGAAAGGGTGTCTAAAAAATTCAATCAAGTAAGTTTCTTCCTTAAAGTTGCCTCATATTTTCATTTTCTGACACAGTTTTAGGCTCACACCTGAGGCTCTAGATCTGAAGTCCAGTAAGAGGAACACCAGATCACTACACCTTTATGTTTTGGAGTGAAGGCTAAACAGATAAAACTAAAAAACGAGAGGAGGACACTAGGGTTAAATTCCGACAAGCAACATGGCCTTGAAACAGCAACATAACTAGACAGATGAATACGGCAACAAACAACATGAAGTTGGACTGAAACTGTGACAGTGATGAGGAAAATCATAAATACAATACTAAAACACCAAGAGCGACATGGCCACCTCTTCAATAGTGAAACAACCGCTTTTGAAATTCAGACGAGAGACGCATGTACGCGCCCTCCCCCCCACTTCAGAGCTGTCATTAAGGGCCGTAACCCATAACACCTGTTACAGCTGAGATCACTTGATATTACAGGTAATCAAAGTGCAAAGCTAAAGGTGGCAGTATAAATTTTTGTAAGATGTTATGGGTGAATCTTTATTTGCTATGGCTGCTTCAAAACTTAGTGATAGCCCTGCCCTGAGGTGGCCTCGGAGAGGAAGTTGACTTACCTGGATGAGTGGAGCAAACAGTTTTACTGACATCCTTCGCAACTTCTTGCCGCCTTGGTAAATCACTCACAGGACACAACCCACGCTCCAAAACCACTGATTCAAGAAGTCTGTTCAAAGCTAGTATTTGAGGTTCTGATGGCGGGGAAACACGCGAGAGCGCCAAATGTTCTCCTTTTGACTAAAGAAAAGAGCACTAAATCACCTTTTAGAAATCTACTGACTGAAGTGCTTGACGTGCTTAACAATACAATTTTGGCCATAAGAAGAAGGGAGGGGTATTTATTTGAGGAAGGGCACTTAGTTATGATTATGGTTTGGTTATCACTTTGTTTGACCAGTAAGGAAAACTATCAACTGGTGAAAAAAGAATAATATTGAAATTTCCTTTTCTCTTAAACAATGAATAACACTTTTAAATTATAAGGTTTATTGGCTATTGAAGTGCAGGGTCTATCTATCTACTAATTAAATGATTAAAATGAATCTTACATGAAACTATATCAACCTATTTTAGTGACCAAAGATCCCACAAGTCTCTTGTGTACTAGCTCAGTGGTAAAGCTTTTCTGGACTAGTAACCAGAAGGTCATAAGTTTGCGAGTATTTAAGTCACATTTTTTCTTTTGAGCTGCCTGTGTCACTGATAAAAAAAACATCTCGCGCAACGGAACAAGTCCGTACCTTTTTCAGCTTCTTGTGTGACTTCCTCGTAGCATGATTTTGACACTCTTCTATGTTTCCAAGTTTCATTTCACAAAGCTCACAGTAAAACGGTGAACCCTAAAACGAATATTTACATAAAACTGAAGGACTGCTCTCTGCATCGTAATATTCAATATTTTATCCACTTATGATATGCAGATGGAATCCAAAGGAAATTGAGTAATTTTTGTTTTCAGTGGACAGAAACCTTGTACCAGAATAATTTCAATCATACCGCATTCTTTTTTAAGTAGTAAGTTATATGAAATCCTTCCAAAGTCAGTTCTTGCGGGAGCCCAAAAAAACAAACTTCAAAAGCTTCAAATTTCACAAAATGAAATCTTACACAAGATGATTTTACCCGTGTCTTCTCAATTGCTGTGAAATTTGAAATTTTATTTCCTTGGGCTCCCATAAGAACCTTTCCATTGGAACTATTTCATATAACTTATTACATTTATAGCTCCTTGAAAAGTGCAAAAAAGAATGGGATATGGCTTAAAATATTCTAGTACAAGCTTTTTGTCCACTGAAAATAAAAATTACTCAACTTCCTGAAGGATTCCACCTAAAAACACTCAAAACTGCAGCTTTACAAACACTCGCTTAATAGGAACATCTTGCTATTGAGGACAGTTTTTTTGTTCTTGGCTAAAGCCCTAAGGCTTGTATTGTCTCTAACTTATCATGCAAAGTACCAACACCAGTTAACAGAAATAACAGTTGTGCTTTCTTCCCCAATCAACAGATTCTCATAGAAAGTTAACCTTGCTGATACACACATTCCTTTGTCAGCTGCATATTGCTACACTCTCAGCATTTTTCAAAATGGCCTTATGGTTACTTAAGCCTGTTGACGCACTGTGTGATATAAATAAGTAATCAAAATGGCTGCCCAACTATTAAAATCAAAATTGGCTGCACACATGACAATTCAAAGCTTAGTTCGTCGCAGAGAGCCACAGGGCGAACGAGTACATTTATCATAAACAAAATAGACAATAAGTAGACCAGAATAAAATCTTTAACAAACGTTTCAAGACATCATTGTAACATCAGACGGTCCTTGAAAGCAAACTTAGCTAACACAAGCACTATAGTTTATACACAGTTTATACTGAAGGACATATATGGCCTAATTAATTGCAGACTCTCGACACAATTTAAGTCACCAAGTCAGATGTCATGGCAGCCTGGAGTGCTGCTTATTTTCTTTCCATTAGCATTGTTCTACGAGCTGTCTACTACACACCTTAACATTAATATCAGCTTGCACAATAAAGTGTTGAGACTCCAGGTCCTTTAGTATCTGTAGGTACAGGTCTCTGCATGCTGGATCCTCATTTATTGATATTCCAGTAGTCTAAAAGATAGAAAAAATAAATCAAATAAAATTGTTTCAAGCTCTCTTGAGAGGAGTATTAACGCAGCTATGAATTTCACACAGGTATGAACTCTACGTCATACTGATTTATCACGGAAGTGTTTTTAGAGACTCATTCCCAGCAGCAATAACCTGTACTAACGAAACGCATGTGACACCATTTGCATCCAATAATATAGTGCATCAACTGTGCCAATCCTCCAGGAGACCTGGATGAGGGATGCTTATAAATGTTTGGTTTCGTAAACTGAGTTCATAAAGTAGATTTGTCATCATAGGGCAGTTGGGAAGCTGATCTGCCTGATGAAGGGCTAGCAATCAAAACATCACCTTATTGACCCCCCTACGGTAGCCAAGTTACTAAATCAAATCAGTTGATAAAACTAAATGTTTGTATTTCATTCCCCCAGGATTATGTGACACCACAGTTTCTTTAGAATCCAAGTCTCTTAATACATCTGAGGGGTTCTTACCATTTGAAAGAAAAACCCAGTTGAAATGCCTAAGGGGATAATTTAACCCTTTAAGTCTCAATATTTACATACAAACTCTCCAGACTGATCTCCATACATTCTTAGAAAAATTCGTTGAGAGAATCAAAGATCAAAGTATTTTCCCCTTTGGGATCATTTTCATAGTTCTCATAACCTTTACTCTTGATTGTGTATCGATATTATAAGGAGAAACTGATTTTGGTCACTCTAAAGAATTTGTCAAAAGATTAAAGCATGTTCCCTTTGCTGATCATTTTCTTTCTCATAACCTTTTTCTTGATTGTGTGTAAAAATAAAAATTACAAAATAAAATGAAATTGTGGGTAGAAAATTTATGTTGGTCACTCTATGGGACCTTACCGAAGCAATAACAGCTCATTGTCATGCTTGAGCCAAAAAAGGGCACAAACATATGCAGCACAAGTCTAGAACTGCTCAAAAGGTCAGTGTAAAAGTGACGTTCTGTCTTCCATTCATTAAAATGTTTGTTCAGAATTCTATTTTGACAGCCCTGCATCTATTTACAGTGCAACTTCTCAAACCAGGGCACTTGGAAGAAGATTATCTAATGAAAAACGTTTTTTGAAAACAAAAGATTCTGAAGTTTTTTTGCAAACAGACCAATAAAATTCAAGGTTCAACTTTATACAATGGTTGAAAACTTTAAAAGCGTTTGAACTTACCTGACCCCTCAGGAAATGACCCTCAAAATTCATGACTTTTATGGGTTTGTTTGCAAAAAATACCAAGTTTTTTTAGAATCTTTTTGAGTTTTTTTAAAAATGTTGTTGATTGGATAATCTTTTTCCTTTGAAACGTGTTAAAATAAATGATTGATTGATTGATTGATTGATGACTTTTATGGGTCTGTTTGCAAAAAACCTTGAGAACCTTTTGTTTTCAAAAAATGTTGTGATTGGATGATCTTTTTCCAAGTGCCCCAGTTCGAGTAGTCGCAATGTAAGTGTAAGCTTATTCTTTTTTTTCTTTCTTTTTTCCTCAATGCCCGTAATCTCTGATCACGGACTAGTAAATTTAGTTACCTTAATTAAATTTTAAGAAACTGAAAGGTTTTCTCAAAGTCCTACCTCTTTTCTACCTTCTTTGTGGTTTTCCGCCTTACCGCGGTTTCGTCTGGGCCGTGAACTACTTCCGGGCTTTGGTTTCTGGCTGTTGTCCAAATCATCTCCTTCTTTACGCGCAACTTCCGAAATTCCCGTAGAGGGCGGAGGTATTTCCGAATTGTCCATTCTACAAAGTTGTTACCGTCCTATCTTTCTGGCGACTTTAACCCGTGGTAGATGTCTCGAGGCCAATACTGACAGGAATGCATATTAAATTGCTCGGTGAGATTAAACATGGCGTCTGACGAAACATCGGGGTTTCTTTGCAATTTCCCGGCTCTACTAGCTCTAGTTATCATCGGCTAGTGCTTCATGCTCCTTGCTTCCATTATTCAGTTATGCAAGATTTAGATTGGCTTGGAATTCCATCATTTTGAGGATCAAATCGACAAATTTATTGCCAGACAAGACATCCCCGAACCGCCATTTGCAAATTCTGTCAACGCATGCATTAGATAGCGAAGCCGATATAGGTGGGAATCGCGGGCGCATAATAACTTGCGGCAGCGTTCGTTTGTTTTTGCGTGAAAAAATTAGCATTTCTCTCACGGTATGCAAACGAGAGGGGACATCAGCGTTTCTCTTGCAGAACGAAACTTTCCATATCCCACCTCAACATAGAAAATTCATCTGCCATCTCATCCGTCCTATCCCACTGTTCCTGGCATGGCCGAAAAACGACCGAAGTACATGAATTGGATTCTAGAGTGTATAAACTTGCTCCGCAGTCGGAAATCACGGCCCGACTTAGAACGAATTTGCCGGACGATGCTTAAATGTCACGGAATCGATGAGCGAGACACAGAGGAAGACTTAGCAGTGCTTATCGCGAGCGGAATTGTGACAAAGAGGTCTTTTAAAGGCGCTATTTCTTATCGCAACGCGTCGGGTTGGCACAGAGTTCTTGGCTCCGGCAAAGTTTCGCGAGCGTCCCGATGGGTAGGCGAAGCAATTCGAGCGCTTGATCGAGGTTACGGCGTCAGCGCAGTGGAAATCGACAAATTCATAACTGCTCGGCACCCGTATTACCATAATTTGAAGGCCAGGATCAAGATCGCATTGAAAGACGATTTAGATCATGGACGCGTATGGAGTGTGAGTGACGGCATGTACAGGCTGCTCGAATCCGCGGAGGTAAGCTGAAGTCTTTCAAAACATAAAAGTCGGGAACTTTTCTTCGCGGAAAGTCTCCTTAGTTTACAGACTCTGGTCGCATACATGTGACTGACAAAAAACGCAGCTCCCACCAAAACTTTTTACCACGACAATCACATTAAGTAAAAGGTCCTTATCATGTTGATGGCAGCTTTTCGCAGTTTTTTTCTCACCCTGGTATTTTGGCTGCAGTAAATGATATTAGCAACTTTTGTATGCCATTTCAAGGCCCACGCGTGCACATATCCCCCAATCTATAGAATACAAAATGTTGACGTGTATTTCCTTGTGGAGTGGTTAATTAACCGAAGCTCGTAAACCTTGCTCGAGGCTTTTGGAAACCATTTCCTGGTTCAATAAAAAAAGACTCTCTAAAAGAAAAATAAAATTATTGAACAGGAAACTTGAAATGAAATTTTCAGACACAATGGCACACGTTTGAACCAAATTGCTACAGTTATTGTAAAAATCGTTACAAATGTATCTTTATGGATATAAACACTTGGCTTAAATACTATTATGATAAATTAAGTTTACTCTCTACTCTTTCACCTCCAAGGTGAATGAAGGAGTCTTTTTATAAGGTGGTTGTAACTGGTTAGTTTGCAGAGGAAATCCAATGGTGGATCCATTCAAATCAATCCTCTTCAGCAGTAATTTCACTTGGTACTAATTGAGTTCCACCATATTACAAAAAAACTTTAGAAGTTTACCGTGGGAGGATAAGCTCAGTCGATAGAGCGCTTGACTGCAGAGGGGAAGGTCGTGGGTTCGATTCCTGGGGCCAGACCAATACTCAGAGTCTTAAAATAACTAAGAAATGAAGGTACTGCCTTTCTGCTGCAAGCGGCTAGACCTTCGCGTGACTCAGATGACCACGTAAAATGGTGGTCCCGTCTCCAGTAGGAGACGTAAAAATAGTGTCCCCAATTAGTACTTTCATGCTAAATACATTGACACTCAAATAAAGTGCTTTTTTTATTTGTCAAATCTTGACTTTGTAATATAATAATATATTGTTTCAATATTGATATTCAGTTCATGAGAAGAAATAAATCAGTTTTGCGACACATCAGTGAATCATTTCAGCCCTCTGTAAGAAGTAAATATGCCTCCATTTACTCTCAGGCTTGCATGACAATATATAAATAAAGACCTGATTTACGAGGAAAATTCTAAATGTTATCTTTCTAATGAAATATATATTATAGAGCCCGGAAAGAGAAATTCCAGAATGTGATCAAGTTTGTGACTTCTGCCTTCAAACGGCGGCAGCAAACAGACGTGGAGAGCCAGAAGATCTCTTAGTATGCAGAGACTGTGGCAACAAAGGTTAGTAGGGATATTTTTCTGGCAACTAGAAATGTTATGGCAGTCCTCAGGGTAGGAAAAAACCCAGGTCCGATTGCCCGGGGCAAGTTAGTTTTGATCTTGGGTAAGTAAAAATAGAAGTTTGGTGGCCCAATGGGGGAGTGGAATAGCCTCAGTGGTCCTGTGAGTCTGTCTGAATGTGTCAGCTTGGTAAATGATAATTTCTAGACAAAACTGTTTCAAAGACTGCAATGAGTAGCAAAATGCATGAATCAATTTAAAATCCAATTGCACATTTGCTTGCTTGTGTAACTCCTCCGATCACCATATTGGTCAAATCTAGTAGTTGCTCTGTATCGTGGCACAGCATTTAAGTACTAGTAATCTGATACACTTTGTTATAAATCTATAATTTATTATAGACAATATCTTAAAACTACCTAAAGATGGTACTTGCTTTCTGTTCCCCTTCAAGACAAGTAATATTTAAGTATAGGAACAAGCGAACACTAAAATTTACTTGCCCATTGTGCAAGTAAATTTCAACTTATTTTTTCCTGAATCCTGTATTTTTAAACTTTGCCTTAGGCTTGAGCTTGCTTTGTATTTTTGTTATTTTAGCGCACCCCAGTTGTATGAATTACTCTCCAGAGCTTGTGCTAAGGATCACTTCAGATGCTAGTGCCTGGCAGTGTATTGACTGTAAAGCCTGTATTATATGCAATGACAGTGGAGATCCCGTAAGTTGTAAACTTAAAATCCTTTGCGTGACTTGAAGTCCCTCAGCCACTCTCTAATCAAGTCTTTGTGGAGGGAGGAAGTTGATGAAGTTTGGCTTTTGTGTGATACGTGTATATGAAGAACTGTGCAGACCTCAGGGGTTGTTAAACTTATCACCAATAGATGAGCTTGGGTACTGGTTCCAGGTTGAACAGGGGCCTGATCACCTCAGGCATAGCAAGGAGGTATCCATGGCAACCAGGTGCGAGTGAGAACCACCCCTGCCTTTCAGTGGAAATACTCACCTGACCCCATACCAGTACTTACCAATGCAGGGGGGAAGGAGTGGGAGCCAGAATCCACAAAGAATCACTTTAATACACAAGCAACACTAGATCTGCAATGATCAGCTCTAAATGCCAGCAAGAAATGCAACGTAATTGACAAGATAAGCAAAAAGCCCTTGCAGTCACCCCACAGGTCATGTACACTTGAGGGTTAGATCGCTGATGGCATCGGCTTGAAATTTAACTCTGCCTAAATTAGATTTAGCCACTCATCACCAGTGTATGAGCTTGGGAGCTGATGCCTTAAAGATTGGACATTTAGTACCTCAGGCATAGCAAGGAGGTATCCATGGCAACCCTGTGAGCTGGAACCACCCAACATTCACAACTCTTCAAGGTGGAACCCACAACCTACATTGTAACAGTCCCCTTGATCTGCATTTTATTATTCTTCATATCACTTTCAGCCTCGTTCACTAATAGCTGTTAATAATTTCAAAATTTGTCTTAACAGCTTAATCAGTTGTGAAATATGTTTTTGTAATGTGTTTGTCTTTGTAATTTTCTTTTTTAGAGTAGTTTATTGTTCTGCGATGCCTGTGACAAAGGCTACCATATGCAGTGTCATGTACCTCCAATGTCTACAACACCGATCGGTGAGAATCTCACTTTTGATCACTTTAACAGGCCAGGCTCAAAGTTAAAGGGGCTGAGTCACGTCAGTCTAGTTCATTTTGTCAATACATTGGAACCTTGATTTATAGAGCCAACCTCTATATAACAAAGTCCTTGATATAATGAACAATTTCCCTTACCCCAATATGAAAAAGAACCTCGATATAACGAAACCTCGTTATGGTGAATAAATTTTGTCAGTCCCTTGGTTCTTTGTTAATCTAGGTTCCACTGTATATAGCATATAGCCATGCAATTATGCTTTCTTATGCACTATTGAACTTTAACGAAGAAATAAAATGTCAAAATCACAGCTTCTTGATGAACAAATTTACTTCCCATGCATTTTATCAAACATTACAAACAACAAAAATGAACTTTGAAAAACTGTTGGGCTAACATTAGCTTTCAAAACCTACAATTTCAAGCCATTTTAATCTTCTTCAAGTTGGTCCATTCCTGCCTTAACTTTTATATTTGCTGTGTTATAAATAACCTTTGAATGTTTTGAGTGCCTGTTTTTATGTTTATGTTTTTATGTTTTTATGTTTTTATGTTTCACTCAATTTGGTAGCAGTTTGTGTCACGTTAGGTCGTACATGCAACTAGATTTTTTGGCAGTGTGGTACTTAAAAATCATGTGTGATCACGCTTAGGCACCTAAAAATCTCCAGTTCAGTCCAACTGACTGCACTGAACCCATTGTTTATACTGACCAGACACAAGACAGGTGCATAAAAATTCAGAGAATCTAGTTCTTTTTGTCAGCAAAGTTGGTTAACTTCAATAAGAAAAACAAACAATATTATTATTTGTTTTTGTTAAAACAGGAAAATGGATTTGTTACAATTGTCAAAATCATCCAATAAGTCCAGTGCGTCTTGTGGATTCCAGTGGTTTTGTAAGTCAAGATGTAGTGATGAAATCAGATGGTGCAAGTAACATACAAATGGGAGATGATCTGCAGTTGCATTGTGACGAGGATCTGACAGGCGAATGCACCGTTGAAGTAAAAGATATTCACATTCAAGGTGTGAGAAAATAAATTATTACTTCTAATTAATATTTATTGAGTGAGAATGGATTACCGCAGGGATTACAAGGATGTGCCACGGCTTTGTGCGCTCTCTGATTTTGGTACTTTTATGCCTTGAAACACTCTCTTTTGTAATCGTCTCAAATACAGATGGATATGTCTTCATATCTGGTAAAAGTCAGACTTCTTTCCCTGGGAAAAAGATAAAGTATGACAGCAGAATTCATGATTTTATGTTTGACAATTCTGGTTTTGGAGGCGAATGGTTCAGTGCATCTTCGCCAACCATATGGAAACAGTGGGGATTACAATCAACACTAGTACTTCTGATCCTTTTGTCTTCTTTGCGGTAAATTGTTTGAATCTGCATATCAAATTAAATTAAAATCCAAAGGACAAATTAATATAAATTTAATTCATTAAATAACCCATGTAAAAGGTAAATGCACCACATGTTAAGACCGGGGATACAGGCCATGGGTGGGGTCTCGTGTGATAACAATAGAATGCTCATCTGAGCCTGAGAAAATAAGTTTCAAATTTCACAGGAATTGAGAAAACACAGGTGCAAGTGTAAAATCATCTTGTGTAAGATTTCCTTTAGTGAAATTTGAAGCTTTTGAAGTTGGTTTTCTCAGGCCTGCACAAGAAATGTCTTTGTAGTGATTTCATATAACGTATTACATTTATAGCCCTCGAGAAGGGTAAAACAGAATGCAATATTATTGAAATATTATCTGGCACAAGGTTTTTGCTCACTGAAAATTAAAATTCCTCAATTTCCTAATGGATTCTGTCTTAATCGTTTGGCCACTATACTTCCATATACCCATTGTAAACCAATCAACAATATTCTGCAGAGCAGAGGAGGGCTTGTTAGAGAAAAGGCAATATGGTTAATAAAATGGCTAAGTTCTCTATCTGTACATTTATACAATATTATTGAAATAATCTGGCACAAGGTTTTTGCTCACTGAAAATTAAAATTACTCAATTTCCTAATGGATTCTGTCTTAATCGTTTGGCCACTATACTTCCATATACCCATTGTAAACCAATCAACAATATTCTGCAGAGCAGAGGGGGGCTTGTTAGAGAAAAGGCAATATGGTTAATAAAATGGCTAAGTCCTCTATCTGTACATTTATACATGTAGTTGATGCTGAAAATGTTCAGCGGGAGTTGGAGATGTTAAGTCACTCAACAATGAATGACTGCAAACCGAGCATGCCAAGAGAATCAACAAATGGTGGTCCTATGATCGTGGATCATGGCGAATCCAATGGTCATGATGCAATGACAAATGGAGAAAAAAGTGTTGTTAATGGCTTTCAAGGTATTTTTCTTTGTTTCTGAAGACATCAATGTCAAGATGATACCGATAGAATAGGTTACTAATGGGTTTACTGATACGACTAGGGATTAAGTTAGGTTTTGTTCCCATTTTTTTTCCCATTCCCTGTACCTGAAGACAATGCATTATTAACCCACATGTACAATCAGGCTGAATTTTATTGGGGTCCTTTTACTGTCTTACATCCTGTTTTGCCTTTCCTACAGGTACACTAAAAGGGTCAGAGATAGAAACAAAAAAATAAAATTGATCATTGGTAGAGCAAGATTGTAGGTTATATGGTACCCTGCTAGAGCTGGCATGGTTTTTAGCATTTACGAGGTCGTTCGCATGGCCTGTCAGTCGTGTTGAACAGAAACTACAGATGGCTGGCTTCAGAGGTTTCTCTTGGGGGCATACTAAAAAAAATATACAATCCAACTATCTGACTGACAAACTTTAGGACAACTTTATAAATGTTAAAAGTCAGGCCAGAAAGAAACCTCTGCTTGCATGGCAGTTGTAAGACAAGAAACAGAGATCTTGCATTCTTTGTTAATGACCTTGCAACATCTTTTCTGTCACAGGTTCAACAAACAAAGATTCACCGCCTGTGTCTGGCAATACAGCTAGTGATACAGAGAAAGGCAAAAGTAATCTTCCCCCCGAGACAGCACTGTGGACCGTCACTGAAGTGGTGTCTTTCTTCAGTTCTCTGGGATTTCCAGAGGAAGCTAAATCCTTTCAAAACCAGGTAAAGCACCATTACTTCTTAACTAAAGTTTTTTGTGGATCATTCTAACTAAACCCACTCTACTAAAGAAAATTATCTTTTCCTTCTGTCACACACTAAGAACTTGGATGTCTCAGGTTTATAGTTTTTGCAGGCTTATATAGAGAGGAGAAGTCGTTACGTCACATCACCATTTGATGGTCGCTAAATTTCTGGAGCTCAACAAACTGTGGTCCTGCAAATATGGCAGGAAAAAAGGAAAAAATTGACATGTATGACGTTTCTCTGCATTATTGCACTCAGGAACAAAACGGTAGCCAATACCTTTCTTTGATTGTTTGACAATGCAAATGGGCATCTCTGTCAAGAAAGAATGTTGAGATCCAGAAATTTTGATACCATGGTAACTTGATGTCACACTTCTCCTCTCTGTAAGCACACTTTTATTAATTATTCTCTTTGATTTAAAAAATCAATAATTTTATCTTTCCTCTTCAGGAAATTGATGGTGAGGCCTTGTTACTGATGTCCAGAAATGATGTACTGACTGGCATGTCAATCAAACTAGGACCTGCACTAAAGATTTATGTCCACGTAGCCCGTCTTCAAAGTCAAAATGGCACCATACCTTCATAACGAAATAAATTAATGTACAGTAACAATTTTTATACGTAATTATTAGGAATTAGTATTTTTCTCGTGTGGTCCATTTTTTAATGACATCTGAGACATGCCCTGGCTATGTGAGACATTAACTCAGCCCCTTTTATAGATGCTAATTCCCACAGCCTTTTCTGGAGGGAAGAGATCGCCTTTGGGAAATATTTTCCAAGTATTCATTAAGAGTAATAGACTCTAATGAGATTAACTTCCTGCCTTATTATTTAAGAGATTAAGAATTATGTGCTGGCGATTTATGTCATGAAAAGTACTGTTTCATTCTTCTATACATCCAACCCCTTGGAGTTAAGCATGTATTCTCTTTCATTGCATGCTTCTCAGTTTAGTTGGGTTTATTAGACCTTGGGTATGCAGAAGTTCAAAGGGCCGTAATGGGATTTCAGTTGTGTGAGGCGAGTGCAGACGTAGAGAAATCTGACATATTAATCAGGCACTATCTTTCACCTCGCTCATTGGATCTCTAAAAATGAAAAGCCTGCTTGAGGCTATGCAAAGGAAAATCAAAAAATAGGAGTGTTGTGAATTCAGTAATATTACATCTCGTTGTGTCACAATAATTTCACAAGCCACTATTATAATGTCCTCTTGAGACACTCCTTTTCTAATAATATTAATAATAAATACATGTACCCCTAAGAGATATGCAGGGCTACATAGAGGATATAATATCATTATGGTAGCATTTTTCGTTTATTTGTTGTTGTTTTTTTGTAAATTTTTCAGACAGATTCTCATGTTGGCTAATGATAACAATACTAATCGATCCATTGCATCAATTTAGCTCAGTTTGTATTGTGGAGATCTGGAAATTCAGATATTAAGATAATTTCAATAATTAATTATTAGCTAATTTAAAATAGTTAATTTTTGCTATAAACAGTAGATAGTAATACTTTTTTCATACAGCATTTTCTTCATATTGAAGGAAAGACCGAATATCAACAGTAATTTTTTACACTAAAACTTAGATAGCAATATTTTGCAATTGAGCTGTTTAATTATATATTAAGGCTTGTTAAGGGTGCGTTTGATAGACCATATGTAGGATTTAAAGTACATAAAACAAAATCTAAATGTAACTTTGGCTTTCATTACACGCTAAAAGCCAGAGTTTTAAGATGAATGTGGCATTGTAATGGTAAAAAAATTTGCAGTCAAAGAGAAGTGACTATCAATCGAATGCACCCTTAGTAGAATATGCTGTGTTGGTTTCGTTTTCATGAAGTTCGCTGTGATTCCAGCTTTTAAATGAACACTGTGAAGCTGTCAGTAGCGCTCCTTGCTTCAAAACACTTTGTGTTATCTTTTTGTGTGTGTGGACGAAACTTGTCATGTAATAAGTTTTCACAAATATAACGCACCGAGTAAGCTAACGCTTATGAGTGCTTTGACCAGTTCTTGTGGAGACAAAAAATAGTACGAGAGTGAAAAAGACGGGGAAAGGTGCCTTCCTTCGTATCATGGGTCGGGTAGGTTAAATAGACTGATAGCAGCCGCTAGTGGTGCCTTCTATGCCAGAAGACCACGCTAATATATTTATTGTAAAAGACACATATTGTCTCATTCACGCCCCCTTGTAAGGTAATCCAAGACAGTTTCGGATTCCGGATTCTACGCCTTGGATTTCTGATTTTATGTACTGGATTCCGGATTCCCAGAGCTGAAACCCGGATTCCAAAGCCCAGAATTGCAGATTCCACAAGAAAAAATTTCCCAGAATGGGGATTACTTTACTAGGGGCGACATTCACGACATTTCATTTTTTTCATCAGTCTCTTTAACCCGGCTTTTCGCAAAAGATAGAATTCTCCAGTGAAAAAAGTTTTGTTCAGTTTTGAATTTTATGTGCCGTGTGATATGTTGTAGGAAGAATCGAAAAGTAAGGAATAACTTATAAGCGGATGCGTTTGAATGACTCTTCCAGCGCAAGGAAAGACAAACGTGCAGGCGTGAATATTTAAATGGCTCCAAAATTTAATTGGAAGGAATTTTGAAGCTCTCCCTTTTGTGTTATCGTCGTTGTTTTTGTATGTGTATCTGTTCAGTCAAACGCATCCTTGGTACAAAATAAAAGTGTTAAAATAATTTCAAAAGGAAGATATGCTCATACATTTGTAATTCTTTAGTATTTGTGGGGCGGAAGGCCAGCTTTGTGGTTTAATAGAGTGAACCGTAAGGAATATGAAAGTAATAAAAGATGGATATTTGTAAGTTCTGTTTGTAAATGTTTTCAGGTTGGAGAGAGATGGGTTTAACAAAAAATCGAGAACACTTTATGCGTTATGATACCGCTGGAAGAAGAAAATAGGGACTTAGAAGAACCAACGACGCGACGGCAACGAAAGCGTCAAAAAATAATAGGTTTAAGAATCAAAACAAAAACTTTGAACGTTCATCACAACTTTTTATGCATTTCTATGCCGTTTTTGCACGACTACGACGTGAAAATGCCTAATTTTGCGTCTTAAGGAGAACGTAAACAAGCAACGACGAACTTTTATCTCTCTTTCTTACCTTGGATATGGTTGAGGGTTCGCCTACATTTGACAAAGTAAGTGGGTAGGAATAATCGTTATAAAGACTGAAAGAACGCAAAATTAACTTTTTAAGCGACGTTTTCGTTGCCATCGCGTCGTTGGATCTTAAAGTCCCTAAATTGTGTGAAGTTGAGAATGTCTGAGATCAGAGTCCTTGCTTTCGTTAATGAGCGAATCGCTCCCTCTGCAACTGAAACAACAGGAGCTCGAACAAGGATGATTTTGGGGGCTACACCATTCTGCTCGATTCCCGCTGACGTCCAACAAAGACAACAAAAATCCTTCACACTTGTGTATAAAATAACCTTGTTTAATTTTGACGCTGCATTAATTCGCTCCAATTTTACAAGTTTCTACTTATTTTCTCACTAACAAGTCTAGCTATTATTTTAATTCGTGGACCTTTGCTATCTCGACTTAGCCTGGGTACCAGAGGTCTTTTTCTCGCGTGCGGCTGGATGCTTTGGTGTCGGCTACGAGCGCCAACGAAAACCGCGCATGAAAAGTTCTCTGGCACCCATTCCTACTTTCCTCTTCATGAAGTTAGCTTTAAAAGGTAGTCATGTTAACAAATTACCGTTAACCACAATTTTGTCGCGAAACAACAGACACCGTTTGTCAGACTCATAGAGGTTTGTTTACAGGATAAAGAAAAAGGGTGAATTTCTTAGTTAAAGACGTCGCACTTGCTCTCATGTAGTTCTCAGCTGGTAATCTGTCAAAAAAAAAAAAACAAGTCGTTAGTTGTTGATGATGAAATTTGAAAATGACTGGTAAAAAGTAACGCCTTTGTAAAAATAACGCTGAATTTTAGAGGTCATTGCTACTGCTTTAATTTTTATCCTTCCGTTAAGGTTCGAACCCGTTATCATACATGGTCACACCTCCAAAAATAAATTTTAAAATATGAAGATCCAACAATAACTATGAACCACAACATATATACGCCAATAAATCTTGATAAGTCTCAAATACAATCTCGGCAATAAATTGAAGAGCAAAGTGTGAAACTGAATATGAGTCGTTTCATCTAAAGTTTTCACGAAAATGCTACAAAAAAAACATTGTACAGTCGACTCTTCCTTGACGGACATCTCTGTAAAACGGACACCTAGAAATGGTCCCTGTCTTTCATTATTCTCTTTACTTGACTCTGTACAAGACGGACGTCTCTCTAAGACGGACACTTAAAGCCAGCTCCAAAGGTGTCCGTCTTAATTGTCGGCCAACGACACCCAACATTGTTGGATGTTACATGTTGCGTCCGTTTGCACACCCTGTTGGACGTTGTCGCGTGTTGTTGCGCAAAGTTTGAAACCGGTCAAACGTTAAGCTACGTGCAAACGGACGGTACAACTCCCAACATTGTTGGCCTGTTGGGAGTTGTTGAGTCCATTTTCACAGCTTTAGAGAAAAAGAAAGCTGATTACACAACCTGATTACAAAACATTTCACATTCAAAAACAACCAGCCTGCTTCATTTCATAGACTTATCGGTCATTCCAAAACATCGTTTAAAAAACCAAACGTCCACCTTGAAAACCAAAATTGAGATTTTTACAAACATAAACTTAAGGGAGAAAGTCGGTCTCTTTTAAATTAAAACATCCGAGGACGACAAAAATCCAAACGTCCACGCCCGAAAACCAAAATTTTGAGGGATTGCCGTCGCCATACAACGGGTTTTAAAGAAAATGGCGGAAACAAGTTGTCAATTTTTCTTTTTTTGCAAGATGGCTATAACTCCTTCATGTAAATAACTGGACTAACTTCTGTTGGTGATAAACCGAAGCTATTATTATTAGAACAATTAAAATTATTAAATTATTATTATTATTGTTTTTATCATTAAAATTATTAAGCTGTCTTACGTTCTGTTCTGTGATGTAACGAACCCACGGAAGTGCTTGGTAACCGCTCTTTTCTATAATCTTCAGATACCGAACCTGTAAATAAAATTAATAAGGAAAATTTGTGACGCGCTTTATAATGGTGGTAAAGTTGAAAAAAAAAAAGATCAACCACCGAGCGTCTATCATCGCAGCTAGACTTTCGCTGTGTTTCAAAACATCTACTGTTCGCTTGACACTTTACCAATCTGTTTACTGAAAATGCTTTTCTGCTCTGATAGGCTGAGATTTCTTTGGCGCGGAAGATGAATCTATGGCCCCGTCCAGACCAATCCGGATAATTTTGAAAGCACATCACTCTCACACGAATCGGCTTTTCGTCCACATGAGACCAGCGAATCCGTCCACCGGGACTACATCTTTTTGAAATTTTTGAAATTGCTCTCTCGAGTGGTTTTGTTGGGTCCGACGGACTTGCTCATTCGTGTAGATGATTAAAGCCGGATATTTTCGAATTCAATTAATTTAAGTAAGCGGATTCAGCTTGCTCGAATTCGTGTGGACAATGGCCATATTAGAAAATTATACTATGAACGTTACCTGTATTCCAGATACAGTAAAATAAGGAATCTCAAACTTGACTTTGATGGGCGGTCTGCCTTGGTCAGTTTCTGAAAGGAAAGGGAAAAACCTTTTGTAAAAATCACGAGGCAAGGAGTTTGTCGATTATTGTTTAGTTTAACGTCATCATCATAATCATCACCATCAACATCACCAATGTGAATCCATGGGAAAAACGTTTTTTCAGTCACTTACACGTGCGGCACACAAGAAAAAATCAGAGTACATCCAGTTGCTCTAAGTTACAGGAGATTATAGATTGTAGGAGGCCATACCCCGCGGGTTATCGGCTCCTGTGGGAGCTAAGGCCACTAAACGAAGTTCGTGCGACAAACATCCTGCACGCTGCTAGGACAAGAATGTCAAAATTGGCTAAAGCGCAATGATGAAGATAAGATGGTGTACAGCATTGATTCTTAGACTACTTGCTTGTTCTCATTACAAGGTTGTCGCAAAATTCATCTTCTTTTCTCACGATTTTTTCCACAAAATAGATAGAACAAACAAGAGGCTTTTCAGGCTCTCTTTTTGCAACTGCATAAGTTTCGTATTTAACAGTGAAGATCACCTCTATATTTATTTGTTCCGAAGTTCAAATATATGAAATTCATATATTCATTATTTTACCGACACCCGTGACAATCATTAAACCAACCTGAGTCAACGCTTGGTAGCCTGAAGTGAGCTCTCAATAAGAACTCTTTACCTCCCTGTTAAGAAAAACGGACAGAAAGAAATTCAAAAATTTGTCACAATAGTAGTGGCTAAACTTAGCCTCAACTGCCATAGACTACAAAACAGTTGTTTATTTCTCCTCAAAATCGGTTTTTCAAGGCGCCCGCGTCACCTTTCTGAGTACACTTTGTTCTCACCTTCGCTTCCGGACTTTTGTTTGACCGCTATCACGTTTTTGATCTACGCAGTCTACACTTTGTGAGAGATAAGGCATTTCACCTAGGCAACAAACAAGTTCACGTGTGACCACGTCTTCCCAAAATAAATTTATCGCGGGACATCACCATGGGAACATCAAAAGGTTCAAAGGAAGCAAGCATGACAGTCAACTGGTTACTGAGTTCCATGGTAAACGAACCAATCAGCTGAGTGGCTATGAAATCTCCCGCGTAAAAGACGCGCTGCATGCGACGAAAGCGGTAAGAGACACGTTTACGACAAACGGCAAACGTTAGATTCCAGTTGAGAATTTCTCAGAATAGAATTTAAACAGATAAAAACTGGATGAAACTGGCGTGAAACTACTTATTTTCGCGTAGAAGTAATAAATTACTGTAAGAGGAAAACTTGGCCACGTGGTACAATTTCACTTTTGCCGTTTCAATTGGCATAAACGTGACTCCTGTATGACCGCTTTTACCACGGTATGTAAAGCAAACGGCAATGTACCACGTGCGAAATACAGCTGGAAACTACTTTTGCCACTGTCTGTGTAAACACAACATATATCAAAAAGTAAAAACTAAAGATATCTCCTCCACTCACCGGAAAAGATTTCATATTCCAAACTATTTCGTTTTCCTCAGGAACGTACTTCACAACCCCAACTGAAGTCTAAAGAAAATCAAATATCGTGATGAATGGTGTAGTCATGAGAAGCCTTGTAGAAGGCAATTTAACGAGCGCACGAGTACTTTGCTAGCTCTTCTTCAACCAGAAGAGGTTGGACAGCAGTTTGCAAAGATTCACAGGAGCAATTTCGACCAATCACGATTTTTCGTAAAACAGGAAACCTAAAATTTTCGGATTCAAAAATGTGATGGAAACAGAAATAAAAAAATTTCTCACTTTCGTAAATCTTTCCAAAAAATAATACTGAAGCCCTTGTAATTTTGAAACGACTCAACTTACGATGACCGAATAGATACAAATTTCATAGCGCTGCTTAGATTGCATTTCTAGAGATCTATAAGTACTCTGGATAGCGTAAAAAGTGTTTTCAATGAAGTTAGGACGAAACTATCGTTGGATGCCCCTGCGCACTGTTTAGTTTGGGCTTTAAAAGCTTTGCAATTCTTACCTTAAATTTAGGAGAATCAGCATCAGGCGGAACTGGAATGTGAATCTCAACATTGTTGGCAGTTGAACGCCTCTTGAATTGACTCTTAGCCTACGATAATTAAATAAATTTTAAAGAAAGAGAATAATAATCATAATTGATGAATAATAATTGATTTGCCCTTCACTAAGACAAAAGATGGATTGCACACAAAATACACCATTTGCATGATGGCATCATTTTACTTCTGTGACCAGAATCCTTTTTGTTTTTCTTTTCATATTTAAATTTTGGTAATCCCATCGTAGACTGCAAAACAGTCGGTTTTTTTCTCAAAATCAGTAAAGAAATCGGTAAAGCGTGGCGTGTTCCAGACTTTCCAGACCTTTTGTTTGACTGCTCGCACGCACTTGAGTACGCAAAAACAAGGACTGTTTTGCAGTCTAATCCCATCAAGGTTTTAATAACAAAAGCCCTAACCTGTACAAGAAAACAAAATCCTGAAGGATTCTAGTCATAGTAGTAAATGACGTTGTTGTGCAAATGGCCTATTGAAATTTACTATCACTCTGAACCAAACTCATTCCCAGAGTCCTCTCCTGCTCATCCCTGAGTAGGAGAGGACCCGGGGATGAGGAACTTAGTCTAAGTGATTGGAAAGTTTTGAAATACTACCAGCATTAATACAGGGCTGTGCTCTAAAGAAAATTGAAGCAAGCCCAGTGCTCTGAACCCATCACATCCAGGGTGCCCAGTTTAAGATATCTATGGAAAAACTAAGATTTTATGATTGCCCAGGAACAAAAGTGAGTCACCAGAGGCCACTGGGTGCTGCTAGAACAAAGCCTTTTTAATAACAGTAAAACCCTATTAATGCGGGCACTGTGGGGGCCATAGAAAGTGTCCATTTTAACGGGGTGTCCGTATTAACTGGGTTGAACTCAAAGAACATGTACAGGCTTTCTTTCCCCAGGGACAAAGCAAACTGTCCAAAATAACGATGTGTCCATATTAAGTGGCTTTCCATAAAGCGAGGCTCGAATGTATTATTATTGTCACATTAAACATACCTTAATCATATACTCTACTCGGCTGTGTGAGTGTCGCTCAATCACAGATTCAATCCAGATCAAAGGTTTCACAAATCCAATGATCCACTCAATTTTACTGTTTCACCTGGAAAGATTTTTAAAACCAGGGTGCACAAAACAATTTTATCCACTCAATAAACAACAGTTAAAAGCTTTTTGTTTTCTTCTTCTGTTGTTCGAATTCTCAAAAACATCACTTGAGATGCTCTCAGATTTTTAAAACACAAATAATTTTGGAAGCTCACATGAGTGTTAAGCCTGTATGACATGAGCTCAAATTCTCCATCAGGCGGGATGAATGAAATGGTACGATCATTCTCAAATCTGGACAGGCGGACACACTGGTGGAACTTAACGTCTTCCAGCTCCACTGCTTTACTCTTGCTTCCTGTGATAACCACAAAACAAGTCACCAATTTGTAGTGTAGCTACCAGTCACTAGGGTCATCACCCAATACACTCTTCGTAATTGAGTTCAATACTATTGATATTATGGGTAGGTAATAGAAGTGGGTAGCCAAAGACCAGAATAATCATACACCTTCACCTGTTTCAGTGAAAAAGTGAAGAACAGCTGCTGTTAATCCCTAAGTCCTACGAGTGTCCAATATCAATTTTCTCTAAACAACATTAATTTAATAGTCAATAAAAAAAAGGTAAGAGAATTAAAAAAATAAGCATCAAAGGGAAAATGCTTTGATCTTTTATAAAATTCTCTTGAATAATTCTTTAAGAGAGAATAGAACCCAGGGCTGTCACTTATGGCTGAGGACAGAGATTTGCCCCAGCTTCAATGAGCATGATCCCCGGATCCTTCATCTACATCTACATCTACATATATAAAGTCGGTAAAAATCGCTAAGACATTACACCAACCATAAAATAATATAAAATAATGATACAAAATTAAATAAAGATAAATGTGTAACTATAACTTAAGAAAAGCTGATAAATTAGATTTAAAAGACTCTAATGAACTTGATGATACAATGGCATCAGGGCCAGGAGGCAGTTCCGGTCAGCTACAGTTCTTGGAAAATACGAAAATTCAAAAATATCCTTTTTTCCACATAGCACGCAAAATTTAAATTGATAGCTTCCACTCATGCATAGGAAACAAAAGGGAAACTGAACCAAACGGACTTCCTAGCTGTTCAATTTCCTGCTTACTAATTATTGCATATACCCAAAAGCTTGAAATCTTAGTGACAGCCTTGGAGACCAGTCTGAAAAATAATTTGTATGTGGATATAATGGGCTGAAAAGGTTACGGAAGCAAACTCTATAGAAACAAAAATACTGTACGGTTCCACTTACGTCCAGTGCTTTCAAACAAAATCTTGTCATTTAATCCAAGGCGCAGTTCAGGCATACCAGTCAAATAACACCTCATCTTGACTGTGCCGACAATTTCACTCTGCAACACGTTGGCATTTGCACTGACCTAGAGGTAAGAGTTAATGGGTTAAAATAATTTGGATGGCATTGATTTTGAATCAATAACATTAGTTTAAAGAGAGTTCATTTCTATGGTTTGGAAAATTTGAGATAATGTTTTGGGAGAGAAATTTGTTTGATACGAAGCTGCAATTTTGCCATCTACAAGAAAACTCCTCACTAATGTTAAGTTCCTTTTCAGCAAATAAAGAAGTATTAATGGCAATATTAATGCAATGAACTAGAGTAGAGAACTGTGACTTTGCCTCTTTCACAGCTTACACTATGTACTGCTGTAATGCAAAAGTTTGAATACATACCAACAAATTCACAGACTCAATTACATCCAAGAAAACTTCATTTTTACGATATTTGACTCCTTCCCCTCTCCAAGACACAGCATTTGTTAAAGCAACCGGAGGTTTAGGGGCACCAACGTCTAATTTGTGACCCTCTTGGGTAATATATCTGGTTAATAACGTACCAAAAGATGAATTAAAAATATAGTACAAAAGAAACTTATTACAACATAATTACTGCAATTCTCTAAAAGAACATAATGTATTGGTCATATTCGTTGTTGCCCAAACCAAGAAGTGCATTGGTTGATCACATAATCATGAATCATCCATTGTAACTCTATAGTGAAAAGATTCCTGGAGGAGTAAACTGTACTGCAATGTATTTTTGAATATGTGATAGGTACATACATTTTAATTAGTACAAAGGAAAATGTCAGATTCATCTGAATACAAACACAAGACACCAAGGTACATAAACTAAGTCAACTTACTCCTGAAGGATCTTTGTCTCTGTAAATTGTGGATATCCAAAGTCTACCAACTCATCTAACAATTCATAGATAATCACAAAATTGTCTCTGATGCTTTCCTCTTCAAGTTCTTTGAAGTACTCTGTAAACACCTGCCAAATGTACATGTCATGAAGCAAGGAAGTAAGAGGTCAAGATTTTAAAACCTAACAATATTATTGGCATAACCACTTTCTTTTATGTTCTTTCAACCAATAGTGTTTTAGAGTTGTATCCTATGACAGACACCAAGCTGCAAAGGGCCTACAAACTGATGTTGCTGGACAGACTTTAGTACAACTATTGCCAAAGCATGACAGTGTATACTAAAACTTACCTGGACCATCTTGTGAAGAAAAACAAATATCAAAGCTACATTTGCATTCTTCTTGGTCATTGCCACAACTGATAACAACAGTCAAGGATTTCACCCAACATGTCAGGCTGATAGGTTTTATGACAATAACATTTAAATTTATAAAGAAATTCAAGAGTAACAGTTACCCACACCGAGGTGCCCACTAACTTGGACATTTTTACCAATGCCACACATAATTGAGGTTTTTAATGCATGTGAAAATTTACTATCACAGATTGACTCACCTGAAATTTGGTCAACTTTACAAGTTTGTCTAAAATTACTTGAACTTCCAGAAATATGTCAGGTGACCAGGGGGGGTGGGGGTGGATATCCCCTTTAAGGTCCAGTTGTGACTAACATCAATTTTCTCCTAACTTTTTTTACACTATCAAGAGTATAGTTTTAGAGAATATTAATAAAATGCTTTGATCTTTTATCAAATTCTCTTCAATAATCCTTCATGGAAAAGATGGAGATCTATCACATGGGAAAATTTGCATGTCGATATTAGGACTTAAAGGGTTAAAAACCTGGTCAGCGAAATGAACATTGGTGACAGGAGGGCGGGGGGGGGGGGGGGGGAAGAGCACTCACAGAAATGTTTGGGTAGAGGTATGTCACCATGGCATTCAAACCCTGACACTGTTTTAGACAAAAAATTGCTCATTTCACCACCCTCTTTAAGTCAATAGACCTTATTTTATGACCCTGATTTGTTTTGTTTTTCATACAGAATTAAGCATTTATCATGAAATAAATATATAAATAAATAAATAAAACTTACATGCACCCAAGGAAAGCAACATACATGTACAGAGCTGGTCGTTTATTAGCTGTGAGGGGAGGCTGGCCATTTTGAGAAAGACTTTCAAACTGACTACCCAATGTTGTCCTAGCTTTTTAGAAATGACCCCCCATAAATTTTACATAATGTGAAAGTGACATCTGATTGCTGTGAAAAATACGAACATTCTGGCTACAAATCGTGCCAAAGTTCACAACATACTTTATCTACAATCGTGTTTATAATTTACAGCTGTTACTTTCAATTTCAATGCATCTTCAATACTGCTTTGTACTACTTTTATGATTTATTTTTTAAGATGATGACCCATGCAATAATGCTCCCTTATGTGAAAATGACCCCCCAAAACCAAACATGATTTTGAAAATGACCCACCCCCCAATCAAAATGGCCAGCCCTCCCTCACGGGGAATAAAATAAATGACCAGACCCTATATGATGTTTCTTGGTTTAACTGGTTAAATAGAAAAATAAAAATTCGAATAAGTAAAAGATCAGTAGATCAAGAGCTTCAAGGCCGGTTCAAAAACATGCACCATTTTTACAAGTCTCTGTATAATAATCTACTCGATCTGTCTCTAGTCTAATTTCGTATTTATTTAAAAGTAAAGGATACGGTAAAGATTATTATATTTAATGTAAACAAAGGTAACATCCTGGTGAACGCAGATCGGAGTTTGCGATCCCTCTTCCTCCTTCTCCAACACAAGGGGCATGAACTTTTCAATCGAAGACATCTCCAGATCGCCACGATAATTCCGTGAAATTATCACCTAGAGTTTGTAGTATAGAATTTGTTATTTCCAGCAATAGGCAGTAACTTGGAAGATTACTTATATCATGCGCATCTTATGACAAAATGGAAGGATTCAATTTTCCGAAGGCGTAATTTTAAACAACGCACAGTGTGGATATGAGCTTACAGGAGCTTAAAACATCGATTTACGCCTACCTTCCCTTTGATATCCAAGACAAATACCCCCGACATAGACATCTTCGAGTTTCTTCAAGTCACAATCACCCTTAATACACAAAAACTAGCATCCACAATTAAATTTCAAAGTAAAGTTAAAAACTTCTTCTTGAGGAATCGTTTTCCGGCAAGTCCAGAGGATATTACAGTAGCCTGAATGGATGGTGAAGTGGCTAACAAGACGAAGGGGGAGGGGTATGTAAATTTAAGGCTTGTTCCTTTTTATACAGTTACTTAATCTTAAAGCATTTGAGCAACAAATGTTATCTAAAATTTGTTACTTTGCTAATAAAAATATATTTCAGCAATCATCGGTATATATTTTTTTTAATTTAATAAATGTTTTCTTTCTTAATATTCTTCCTTCTGGACCCCTCCCTAAAATATTTTTGCGAACTAGAGCATTGTCCTTGGTAACCTCCCAATTTTTTCGCAAACAAAACAAAATGGCGGACTGCCGTTGTCAACGAAGGTATTTTATTTATATTTATTATTTCTTCAGTAACATACCTGGGCATAACGTTAAGCTCAGCGGTATTAAGATACCTTAAAGTTAATGCCTAACTGGTGCGTGATCGAAGTCACCATGTCTGTGCAAGGAAAAAAACTACAGACCAAATCATCAAAGAAAGCGAACGATCAGTCAAAAGAAGAGACTGTCGCAAAAGTGAAGGCAATCCGCGAGAAACAGAGCCAATGGATGAAGGAAAGGGAAGTATCGAAGTCTTCGTTGACGAAACTTAAGGCTATAAACAAAGAGCACACTCCTCTTCCCGATGTGCCAAAAGTTAGAGCGCTTTCAACGGTTTCTAGTGGCTCTTCCGAGGGCTCTGCACACAGGAACCCCTACAGCAATCCACGCAGGAAACCTTTATATCCTGAGCCACAGAGAGACCACTCAAATATGGTCTCTTGGATATCAAAGGGTGATAACCCAGCTGCAAAGAAACAAAGACCGCCTTCTGCCTCTGGTAAACATAGCAGGAATGCTAGCTTAACACAATCATCTGCTCGGAGTGATTTTCAGTTAAACAGTAAGGAGTACACAGCCTCTAGTTACCGAAATTCCAGTTCTGCAGGAAATTTAAGCAGTGCAGCTCTTTCATCAAGTAAACAGACTCTTCATAATAAACTACGGCCATCGTCAAGAACATCTGTAAAGTCAGATACAAGTTTCCATGGTAATGATAAACTTGGAAGCCATCACCATGTTGGTGATGACGATGAGGAAAACAATCTATCTAGGCATGGTGCCATGAGTGATCATTTGACAGTTAACAGTAACCAAAGTAATACAACTATTCCAAGTGAAACTTCTTCAAAATTTAACACACCGGAATTATCAACTGATATGTTGAATGCCTTAGCCGATACTGTTGCTCAGAAACTAAAAGCTTCATTACAGCCCACTGTCAATCACAAACGAATGCAGCAGAGTGTTGATGATGACACTGAATCAGACATTGCCAGTCATTTCTGTCCGCTGTGCAATAAAATGATGTCAGGCATCAAATACACACCCATGGCTGCTATACCTTGTGGACACACCTTTTGCCAAAGCTGTCTGCGTGAATGCAAAAAATGTCCGACTTGTCAAACAACCATCAGGTCAACTGCAGTTAATACTGTCATGCAAGGAATAATTGCAGACTTTAAAGAGCAAAAGGAGAAAGAAAGACTTCAAAAGTTGGAAGAACAAACTAGACAATATGTGGACGAATATCAGTCGTTAGCCTTGAGGTGCAATGCATTAAATAGTGAGTATTTTTCGTGTCGTGCTTGAGGCAGTTTTAAAGGGGCAGTGTGATCTCTAAGATTAATTGCTTCATAAACTGCAGTGGGAAACATCTGTATGGAGATCCCAGAGCAATGACCTGGTCTTCTGACTTCCCAAAAGCTGCCATATCTAGAACAATAAATGTGTCTATAAAAAATTTGGCTAAGGAAGGGGAGGAAAGGATTGGCCTTAAACTTAAGAAGATAGGGCCAACATTTGAGTGAGCAATTAAGTCGCTTCAGCAGCACTGTTCAGGGCTCAAAAAAAACTTAGATCCCAGCTTGCCCTTTGGGCAAGCAGCTCTTGCATTTTGCTAGCCCAGGGCCACTTCTTGCTTGTCTTAGTTAATGATTTAGTTAAAGATGACATGCATAAAACCTTTGCCCGTTGGGCAAGTAAGCTATAAAAGTTACTTGCCCAGCAAGAAAATCTACTTTTCCTGAACTACCATATGGGACTTTTTTGGAGCCCTAAGCCCTAGGATTTCAATTTCGGTGGAAAACAATAAATTTTTTGTTTCCACCCCCAGAGATCTGGGAAAACCATCCGTAGCATTTTTGGTTCCATGAAAATTCATGGGAACCCACCTCTTAAATGTTTTCTATTTTGGAAGTCATACATTGTATTTTTTTTTACTTGGTCCTGAAAGCCATAAACCAGTAACATTCAATGCGCTTTGGAAACAATTCAAGATGGCAAACAATAGAAAGATGACAGATGCTAATCAACGTTTTAGTTTCATATATAACCCGAGAAATAACTAAGAATTGTTCTACTAGTTAAGAATCTGAGTGGAAAAATAGTGAATTTCTGAAAATTGACCTCTAAGGCTGAAAATGTTACTGGGAAACTATTTTTCAGTTCCGTTATTTTAAGACCACGGTAACGGCAGGGTGCCAGAAACAATATTGTTGTTACAGTAAAATCCTAGGGATTGGAGCCTTGATTGTTGTTTTTATATAGAGTTCTTCTTTGGCAGAATTAACCGATTTGGGGAAGCTCAATTGCATTCACCAGCTAACAGTGACTTTATGCATTGAATATATTTTTAGGTGAAGCTGAAACCATTCTTAACACCATGGAAGAAGTCACAGAACAGCTTCTTGATGAAAAGAAATTAATGAAAAAACTGGAAATGGATGAAACAGAGATAAAAGATAAGATTAATCGGCTGCAAACAGAGCTTGATGCGATAAAAGTAAAAGAGGAGGATTGCGAAAGCAGATGTCATGACTTGGAGCTTAGATACAACGAGGAAAAAGAAAGACTTTCATTGGTTGAGGATACTGTACAGCGAATTGGAAAAAGCAAAGAAAGAGTCAAAATGATGGTGCATAATTTTGCACCATCACTGAACTTAGATGATTATGACTAAAGTCCTTTTAAATTTTTGGTGTTTGTATGGTGTTACATTGGATTCCAAGTGATGTAATACAAAAGATTGAACAACACTGATTAATAACCATGCATGGCTCAATAGCTAACCATCGATAGACTCAACCACACCCAAAAACAACAAAATCTTCACAAACCACATCAGTTTCCATTTGTTTTTATACTTCTAATCTTGAGCACAAGTCAGGTAGTTTTGAAATGGTGTATAACATACTTTATTTATTTATTTATTTTAGCACTTTTAAAAATACGTGGTTTGTAAGGATTCAAGACAAAAACTGGTTTACATGGTTGTGGTGTACTAGGAGAATAAGGTTGTCATATTAAAGGTGACTCACGTCAAGTTGTTGAAGTTTTTAGAAAATCTAATCAAATGGCTCTGACATTCTGTGGAAGATTATTTCAACAACAATACTACTAACACTATAGCAAAAATTGTGCCTCAAAAAATTAATATGGAACTTGGTAGAGCGAGAGACAGTTTTTTTCTCCTTGTCTCATTTTCTTCTGTTGGGAACTTTATTATTTTTTTAATGAAAATTTCCAAAAAAGTTTCTTTGTTTTGGCAACCACCATGGCTGCCTTTTCATGTGGTTACGAACCAAGTATAAAAGAAAAGCAAATGGCATTATATTGAGTTGAAGACAGCATGTGTTATCGACATATTTAGCGCAATTTAATCACTCTTAATACTTTTGTTGCCTGTTTAAATGTAGTCTCCTATCTTTCCTTTTTGGGCATAATTTTAAATAAAGGGTGATGCTTACAAAACACCATGGACCAATAAAAATGTTCCGTTTAATTATTCAGGCACAATCTATACACAAACAACAAAGGATTGTGCACCGTCAGGAAGCTTTCAACATAAACAACAATCTTTTTTATTTTTATTTTTTTTTGTGTATTTCCTTAGTGATTCTTACATGAAGTCTACATGACCATGTTATCTGCCTCCTCCTAGAAACGAGGCTGAAAAGAGGGGCGCAAGTTTCGAAAATATGGCGTAGATATCTCGTTTCTGTTATTGTTGTGGATTATTATTGTTTTCCCCACTGCTGGAGGCCTTGTCAAACTTGTTTATGCAGAACCCATTGGTTTTATGAGAGCGTTATTCACGACCATTATTATTAATGACTTGAATTCAACATTTTGCTAATGGATGTCGACACAGAAGCATCTTTGCCATGCGTGACTTCGCGTGATCATCGTTTCGTGTCTGCTAAAAGGCCAAGAACAGATGAAACAGGTCAACATCATTGTCCCGCAAACTCACGCGATGGTTTTCACCAACACGAAACCGAGAACGGCTTGTTCTCGAAGAGATCTGACGCATCGCAAATGCCTGCTGGGTGCTCTTGGCAGGGCTGTCGTAGATTTTTGACAATCCACGCTGGTTGTTCAATTTTTGAGTCCGAAGATTGTCGACCTAAAGGTGAAACCCTGTACACGCCTTTGCGGGAAGATGTCATCATTAACACAAGAAATATTGAGCAGTTTACTTTTGCAAATGGTTCTTTCTTTATTGGCGACGAGTCATCAAGATTCAGGAAGACTGTACAAGGTAAGCTATATAGCTACTAATGGCAAGAGAAGTGGCGCACGATCGGACACGGTCTTAAAATCTTTTCTAGATCACTCCCGCGAACACGCCTTCCCCCCACCCCAGCATGTTTTTGGAAGATTTTAACACTTGCATCAAGAATAAGATTTTTTAAAGAAATTAGTGAACAAGTGGATTATGTAATGCATATTTCCTTTAAAAACAGTTCATTGATTTTGATAATAATTAGATACCGTATGGGGTATGTGATCATAGCATTGGAATGTCAGCTACTGTACCAATAATATTATTGTGTATTGTGTAATTACTAGTTTGTATGTGTGTGTCCAGATCTACATCTTTGTATACTGTGTATTGCAAATGTTATGCTTTGAAGCATAATATACTTACAAGTAATAATGATAATTTACTGTTTGATTATATAACAATAATTATTCATTGGAGTGGAGGTGGATAGTAGCCACTAGCCACTGATCATGACACTGAGGTGAATAATTGTTTTAGTATATACTAAAACAGTGAGATAATTGAGCGCAACAATGATGATTTTTAAACTCATTTATTGTTGCCAACGATTACAATTTTCGCATGCAATGACTGAACGGTTGCGGTCATCGCTTTTTCTTGCCAACAAATAAAATGTTGAAGGCATTTGTTTAGCTCTTGCGGGGAAATTCCTTCAAAAGGAGTTGTGAATTCTTTTTTTCAACTAAATAAAGCAACGCATTTGAAAAACGAAAAACTTTCTCACGGGTTTTATATAAATTCAAGTCAAAAATACAAAGCTTTACCTGTTAAAACTTCCAAACCGAACTTTGTCACCTTCTTCGTGTATTTCGGGAACAGCTTGCTTGATTAGTTATGAAATTTCTTTGTTTGTTACGGCAACAAACCGGGAGGGCATTTTGCTAGCAACTTACATGAGTTTGGCATTGCTCACTTGGAGGAACTGGAGGTGAATCAGTGAATAGCACAGGAAATTCATTGATTGAGTAGCCAATCAGAGTGCGCAAAAAACACTATCCACTGTTTTAGTGTATACTGAAAACAATATTATTGGATGAGGTTTCTGTGATATCCGGATTAATCAAGGCCGAGGTAAGTGTTATCAGCTGGCTCGGCTGATAACACTTACCGAGTCCTTGTTATTGGAAATTATGCATTGCACGCACAACCTACAGATTAGTCAATTATCTGCTAGCAGATAACCAACTAATCTGTAGGTTGCGCTGATTTCCAAAGTTAGCTGTAGGCTCTCAGCCAAGGAGAAGACAGATAGTGAGTACAATGTGTAATAGCTGGAAAGTTTTTCCCAACAGCGCACACTCTCATTGGTTACTTTGAGGTCACATGACATCTCACAAAGAAACTGTTCCCCCCCACCCCCCCCCCCAAATTTCTGAGTGGGAAACATTGCAAAATCTGTAATGTCAGAGGGTAACAGTGTGTTACTTACAAATGTTCAACAATGACTGCAGTTAGAGCGAGGTTTAATGAATTTCCACCTTCAAAATTTCCAGCTAAAGTCAACTCCCTTAATAGTGGACCCTGTAGGGACCTCGAGCTAGTGTCCTCATTGATGAGAGTCCGTAAGAGTCTATTTCAGTCAAACCTAATTATGGGGGTAGTAATATATAGTTATATGTATTTTTGTTTATTGTTAGGTGTCTGCTTGAATATGTGGAGATTTGACAGTCAGGCAAAAAAGCTTTACATCTCAAGATCATTTGTGTTCTCAAATCCACAGGTTAGTGATACACTCATGTAATGGAAGGTAACAGTACTTGTACTAGTGGATAACCAAGACACTCACAAAGACTGTTAAATATGAATAGACCCAAAGATACATTACTGCGCTTTTCACAAACATGGGAATTCTGAAGTTCAAAAGCCAACTGACGATTGCGTTTTTCACTGTCGTCAATCATTGTAACAAACCTCTTAGGAAACAAAACTTTACTTTAACGGGTTCAAAAGGTCATGGTTTGTGATTTGGGATTGGTGGATTTCAATCCGTTTTGTGTGTTTCTGTGTTTCAAGGTTCGTTGCTTGTGATGGTAATTTTGATTGATGGCAGCGAAAAACACAATTGTGACGGTGGCTTTTGAACCTTAGAGTTCGCATGTTTGTGAAAGGCGCAGCAAAATATTATTTCTCAAAATTTGTACTCGACACTGAGGTTAAGGGGGATAAAATAAAATAAATTACCTCAAGCGAGTGAATAATGAAGTCATGTCTCTATAGTTCTATTCAGGTAGGCTCCACCCCAATGAGTAAGCCCATTACCCTTTTATATACCATTTTTATAGGCTCCTCTTTCATGTTCCTTCTATCGATAATGGTGACCCTTTCATATAACTAGTTTAGAATGCTGCATCCTTTTTAACTGTTGTAAATGTAGTGCCTTTTAAATATGAATAAATCACTTAACCTGGAAATACACTTGACATCTTCACAGCCAAAAAATGCATCTGTCAGCCCTTTTTGGGTCCTTTTACAGACCAAAATGACAGAGACTTTCCAACCCTTTTATATACTTCAATGAGTGAAATCCTCTCCCTTTTATATTCCTGTGGCCTAAAAAAAGGTACCCCTTTAGGGTGGAGCCTCCCCATATAGGCCGTAATGGGGAGTACCTTCCCCCAAGGGTAGCACACAGGCTACCCAAGGGAACATCTTTTGTTGGTTTTCTTGTAGCCACACTTTGTTCTAGTTGTGACTATTGGGAGATTTTACTATTGCAATTGTCAAGTATTGCAATAGGCCACATAGATATTGCAATAGCATTGCGATAAGGGAGGTACTATTGCGATAGTGGTGCCATAGTTTTCGCGAATATCTGTTTGTACTTAATGCCTTATATGTAAAGAAATGACTAAGAAGTGGTGGTCATACTGCTCCAGTGTTCTCCCCAGGTATTTCAGGCCAGGTGGGCCTCCTGGCTTGATTCATTGAAAAATCGTTGCCGCCTGGCTTAAAACTGAAGAAACCTTATGCAGTTAAACATCTGGAACTGGGATCCTGTCCATAAGTAAAGAAAAAACACTCAATAAAGTTATTGAAACATTGCCTAGTGTTTTTTCATCGCACTTTTTCTCGCAATTGATAAGGTTTTAGCTCATTTACTTTCATGAAACCTGCCGCAATATAGTCTGCTGTTTTTTTCATTGAACGGCGCTGTTAGCGATAAATTCAAGGACATTTTAAGGGATATTACATGAAATACTAAACTAAATTCCCACGTGGGTGGAAGGTTGTCCAAAAATAACTGCGGAATAGACTAAGCAACAAGATCTTGAATAGATTAGGATTTTGTCAGAATGCCCCCTGGCCTTCCAAAGATCCTGGGGAGAGCACTGATACAATACTGGTACTATGCAGTTCAAGAATCAAGACACTAAAACATTCTAGGACGGTAGATTTTTTTCAGGTTCTTTTTTACTGTTATTGTGACCTTAAGAATTAAAGATGGGTAAAAAAGGGTGCCTTTATTATCCAAAGAAGTCAAAACGTTAGTAGTATAGAAAATATTGAAACTATTGATAGTTTGCTACATCATGATTGTTATCGATGTTTCATTTTTGCTATCGCAGCGTTAATATTGCTTATTTGTTTTTTTTTTTCTTTCAGGAAGCTCAAGGAATTAAGAGAATTTTGGAGTCTATGTAAAACTGAGTAGACACTATTTAATTTTAACCAATAGGATGCATATGGTTATAAAACTGTTGAATAATTTTGTAGACAAATATTTTGGACACCAGTGGTGTATTTTTCTATTTTGAGTATGAATAAGGGCCTAAGTGCATTTTATTTCTTTTTTGTTGTTGTTTATTGGAGAATTTTGATGTCTCTGAGGTAACAACCCAACCCCACCTCCAAACTTAACAAATACAGAAGGGTCACAATAATAATAATAATAATAATAATAATGATTATAATATTAATAATATTAATAATAATGATGATGATGATGATATTGAGGAATGTCAGTCCACATAGTGATTTTCAATTTTATTAAAGTAGTTTCATTGAATATGTGCTAGTGTTGTATGCACGTTGCTGAAACTCGTAAAATAGCCTGCAGAATGGGCGTCATTTTGTCACGTTTTACAGGAAAGCGAAGGCAAGCGCGAAGCGAGCGAGGAGCGCGAGACACGCGCAACGGGGCAATACACGTGTCTCGCCTTCCGCGCCCGCTTTGCTTTTCGTTCGCCCGAAAAACGCCAAAAAAGAATATTAAGAAGAATGCCTGTTTTGGAAGCTAATGGCAAAAAGAAATTCCTAACAAGTAAAGTAGTCTTAGCCAATCACAAAGAATTAGTTCGAGCAAAACACACACAAAATCGCCAATCATAAAATCTAACTTCCGCAAAAATTAGTACCCAACCTGTATGCTTAAAATGTAATAAGCCTTTTTAATAAAGCAGGACTCTTGAGAATAAATGACAAACTGATCTCATAATCTGTTAATCCTCTGTCAAATCAGCTTTGCAACAGAGATGTTTATCTTTGAGCCTGTTTACTTAATGGAATCATCGCGTGCTTTAATCACCAATTTGCTTAAAATACACAATGACTGCGTTGCTAACAAACTATTCCAAGACCTCTTACTGAATTGAATTGCTGACCTGCGCTGGCAATTAATGGCTACAAGCTCGTTAAATGCGCGCAAATTGAGGCCTGACAGCAAAGAGCTCCGCGGAAGAAATGGCTGTATATTTAGTGTAAACCGTGGCCCAGTGACACCTCAAAAACGCGATAAATCACAGTTTGAAGATCATCGACAAAGGGCGTTTGTTGAAAGTATGCAGAATGCATTTCGCACTATTTCATTTCGCTCAGAACCAACAGTTGGAGAAGAGAATCTCACACGTCGCAGCACTTCACGAAAGGCAGGGGAAATGATCTCCCAAACTCAAGCATCTGGTAAAACGAACCTTACCTTGATGAACAAAAAATCTGAAGAGCTGGTGCAAAATTTTGTACCTGAATGTTACGAGCATATATTAAATTTTCATCATTACCGAAGCGACATAGCAAGGCTGAATTCTGGTTTCAAAGTTCTGTACCTCTCTGGTAACAAAGATGAAGCAGAAAAAGACACCAATCTAAGGAGAGTTTATGGACAAAAGTCAAAGACTCCGAAAGGTAAAGCTTCTAGCATAAATAGGCATTATCTAAAGCTTCCAGGGAGAAAGTTCACTTCAACGAGGAAGGCAAACACTGTTGCTACGAAGGAGGTTACATCATCGCAAAGCATCAAAGAGAAAGGAAGTCACAACTCTAACAAAAATAACAAAATAAACTCAAAGGGAAAATTAACTTCATTCAGGGCGAGGGTACACAGACAAAATTTCATGACGACCGACGCGAATTTGAATACGAAACAACGACAACATTGTAAAGACGATCAGAAACAGCCTAACATTCATTGTGAAAATGAACTGCCTTGTTTTAAACACGGAAATGCGCCTGTCGAAGAACGTGTAGAAAATCAGCCTAGTTTACACAGCATTGCAAGTGATATCCCTCCAAACCCACCCATGACCACTCCAGAAGATCTATCCAGAAGATCTTCGATCCGAACGCTGGTTTTTGAAGGTGAAGATGTTTCGGATGGGAAAAAAGCCACTATGCCGGCGACACAAACTACATCCCACCGAAAAGCTGCGAATCAAAGACAGCACTATCTAGCACCATTCCACTCTCGCTTTCCGCATCTTAAAGCAAGTTCGGCTCCCACTTCTTCAAGCCAAATGCGACAAAGGAGGTTTGAAGATTTCACAGCGGTTCCTTCTTGGCAACAATACCGTATACTGTGTGATGCGTTCAGACCTTCGACTGAAATGAATTTTTACCAGAAATTTAAGAGACCCAAGTTTGCTACGGCTACGGAGCTGGAATATTACATCGACATTGTATCTGAGACCACAAACGATTCTTCGCTGCATATGTCGTAAGGTTATATAACTATATAGTTTGAGGCCAGTGTTTGGCGGTGTTTTTTAAGTTCAAGTTGAATAAATTGTTATTGTCGTGGTGGTGGTCTGCGATCGCTAAAAGCTGAGATGGTCTGAACATATCCGACCTTGGGGATCGGAGTGCTTCCTACAAGGGCCTATACCCCTGAAAGAGGTACCTCTTTCAGGCTTCAGGCATATGAAATGGTGGGGCAATCTGTCATTTTTCGACATTTTGGTCTGTCAAAAATCCCAAAAGGGCTAACATTCAATTATGGTTGTGAAAAGTCTTTTCATTCATTCATATTTTAAAAGACAGTGCATTTACAGCAGTTAAAAGGATGCAAAGTTTTGAACTACCGTATGTATGTGAAAGTGGTACCATTTGTTCATAGAGGGTATACTAGAGGAGAAAAAAAATGGAAGAAAGCCGACCTTAACCAGCATGTGAAACACGTAAACCTGACTCTCGCCTTGTAGGTAGGTAAGCGTCAACTTTTTAGTACTCAATATTGCCAACGCAATGTAACGAATTTTGTAACTTCGCGAGCGATTCAAATTCAACGGCGATTTCACATTATGTAACACTGAAGATGACGGATGTACCGTCGAAACATCAAGGACATGTCTGGTAAATTAAAGAAGGTTGTTATGTTTATGCGGCTATACTAGAGAAGGAGATGGACTTGATCCTTATAAACGTTTGTTGAGTACCCCCTGGGCAACCGAGACATACTTTTATAGTTTTTTTGTATAGTTTTTCGATCGTCGCCGAAGACCGAAGTAGACCATTACAGATAAACGAAAACCCAGGTTTAGTACTTACGGTAGCTTTTCCTAAAACAAAAGGGAAAGCAGCTTATAATTCGAAAACACGAAAAAACCACGTTTTTGACATTAACAGTTAAAATTTAAATTCAAGATCAAATTAGTACTGAGATTGGCTGGCCTAGCTTGTGTGCCAGGCGCAGGTTATTTTGATTGGTTAGTTTTTATAGAGCGCGCGAGGGTAACACGCATGCACACGCGCGAGCGACCTTGAAACTTCTCCACGACCCTACAAAGACCGACGCCTTCTTGCCAAGAACACTTGACTGACCTTTTTTAATCTTTTAAGTCCCAATAGTGACCAAGATCAATATTCTCCTTACAACATCGGTACATAATAAAGGCAAAAGGTTATGAGAGTTGATAAAATGATCACCTATTAGAAAACGCTCTGACCTTTTACCAAATTCTCACAACTAGTTCTTCAAGGGAATGCCGTTATGAAAATCAATACGGAGAATACTACAGAGAGCTTTAGATTTGAGAATGAAAACGAGTACGAGTGGGGGATTTAACTTAAAGTTTTTGTGCGTGTTCTAAAAAAGAGACACTGCGGAAAGCTTCATTTTACTTCATTCACCTAAAAATTAGAACGGTTGTTCTGATACTGAAGGAGGTGAAGCCCTCTCCCGATAGCAAAACGATAGAACTTCTTACATTTGATAACTTGTTCCCGCGATTAAGACATTCTCGCTAAAGATCATGACGACGGCTATCACGTTTTCCCGCTAAAATGACGCTGGTTCACGCGCGACCAATACTCAGTATTGAGAAAATCTCGTACACGTAATCGTCCTCGCTGGGGCTTTAAGCATATCTTCTAACTGACGCTTAACCTTCATTTTTCTTCTAAAAAGCTGGGAATTACTGATCAATTGAACAACATTTTGCTCATAATCACCCTTTTTATTAACTGCTAGACTCCTTTACCCATGACAACTGATTTCTATTTAAGACTACTTGTTATGCAGGCTTGTCAGGTTTTTCTCGTTAATTCCGGTTCCGGTTGGCAAAGTTGATTACTTCCTGTCTTTCTCATCCCCAAGCACCTTTGCGCACTTTCCAAACTTCACGAAACATCCCAGTTTCTCCTCGCAGCTGTCGCTTCCCTCCAGGCAGCACGGAATGATTGGTAGACATTTTTTCTTGAGTAAATTTAAAAAGAAACCCCAAAACACAGTTAATATGAAAAACTCCCTTCAAAACCATTCATTGTTTTACGAAATCTATAAATTCCCCGTTTTTAGCCTGGACCACTATTTCGTAATTTCATCATCCTTTGGAGAGAAATTTGAAATAGACTGGTAAACCCTTAGAATCGTACTAGTGTACCCCAAGGACTTATATACCCAGACTTTCAGATGTCAAACCTAAACCACGAACCCGAGGGATATACTCTATCAATTTGTGGGTGCGGCTGTGCCGCGGGGACCCTAGACCTCTTAGCTTGTACTGATTCTTCATATTATTGATACGAAACCCTATTCCAGACGAAAACTCTCTTATTCCTATATTCCATCCATGAAAAAAGTGGCATGAAAACCTCGCCATGCCCTTCACAGAAACAGTAGCCCAACATAAGGTGCCTCATCCTCCCGGCAGCTTCGGGCCTCAGGGACCAGAGATGCTGCTATATTTCAGTTCAATTTCAGTAGATGTTAAGTGAAATAGTTGATGAGCGGAACTTACCACAGTTGGAGGTAGATGCTTTATTCGAACGCCGGCCACATACAAACAACAAGCCGTAGATTTTATGCACTTTAAATGTCCACAAGCATCCTCATCAGCTGCGTGGTGGCATTTGATGGCTTCAACGATACAGTGTTTCTATTTAAAAGAATATTCAAATAACAGTATTAAAAGTCCCGTCTGGTTAAGGTCTTTTTTCTTTTTACAAAGGAAAAGCAACAACCAAGATCTTAGTAAACGGAATAACCCTCCATCTGAACACGTCAAAATTTTTGCAAAGAAAAACGTAAGAAAATAAGGGCGAGATGTCGAAAATCGATAAACCTTACCGAGCTCTACTGCGTGAGCAGGTCCTGATTGGTCTTAACCTTGGCTTACTATTCTTAAGTGGCACTCATGCAGCCTTCTATGTGTCTATGAAAGAAATCCTTGACTTCAATCAAAGAAGCAAAAATTTCTGTTGACCGAAACGTTTGAGACTTGCATTGGGACCTTTGAAGGCTTTGATTATTGAGGTGCAGCGCAACTTTTAACTAAAATACTTACCAAGAGTCCCTTCGAGATACCTGGGGGCAAACTTGTTGGGCTGGGCTTAGGGAAGTCTGCATCGAGCTTGAGCATGCCTCGAACCTTCCTCGCCAGGTGCTGATCCTTCAGCTCCAAGTAGTGAAGTACGGCTTGTGGATGGTACTCCATCTCAACTTTGGCAGAAACAGCCACTGCGATGAGACACAGCAAAGCTACCTTGGCGATCATCTTGTCGTTGATTCTTCTCTGTGTTATGGAAGACACTGATGCCCAAAGACGATTCTGTTTCTGATTATATAGATCCTCAAACTATTTGATATCGTATCACGCATGCTTAGTTAAACTTTAAGTTGTACAAAGGCACTCTAGGTTTGTTTGAGCAGCTTTGAAATCAGTTTAAACTCATTTCCCACATCTGTGCCTGTTTACAAAAGCATGATCACTTAAGACAAAAACTGCTTTTGTTAGTAAAATCACGCTTTGTTATCCTAATATGTTTATCAAACACCCAGAGAGAGAACGTCTCAGTTTAATAGCCTTTTGATAAAGATTGTTGTGATTTCCATAACCTGCGAAAGAATACCTCTCCGTCTTTGAGACTAACTCGTTCAATTTTAGTGAGGAGGTTTTTCTCTTTAGTCTGATACGAAACGTTTTCTTGATAAAGCAGAAAAATGCAAGTTGAGGCCTTTCTTGAAAACCGGATGAACGGACCATCTTGCAATGCAATGATCTCCACCCATTTTTTAAAAAATTTAAGAAATGTTACAATTGTCTTAAAGCTGATGATATGTTAGAGAAAAAGGAAATGCTGCGACTGCGTGAGCGCTTTAGGATCTTTTGCTGAAGTGCACTTAGCAATATTTCCTTTAATTGACTGGAAATAACTTAACTTTTCTGATAAGTTTTGACTAAAACGTAAGCCCTTCGCACAAGGGAAGGCAAGGTCCGCACAAGCTCGAGTTCTATCCTGTAGAGATGTACATCCTTTACTCAAGAAACTTTTCAGTACATTTCCGCGCAATTTTAAGCCCCAGCTAAAAGTACAACAGGGTATAAATAAAATCCCTCCACCGTTTTTTCAACTTTTGATATGACCAGCAGTCCTTCAACACGGCTGGAAAGAAAGTCCTGGCCGGAATCAGTAAAGATGTCAAGTTTGAGAGTGATTTGTTGAAAACTAACGAAGATATAGGTCCGCAAAGTTTGTATGGTGGGAGGGACGTTCGTCCCCCCACCCCGCACCCCACCCTACAAACGAATGTGAAATTTCGCAACTTTGCGACTTGGTAAGTTACCACCAATAGATCATTCTCTCTTGGTTACCACCTTATTTTAAAGCCCTCTTTTCAGCAATGCCGATGAATATTCGCGGTGTTCTCTTTATCAAAAGTTGAAAAAAACCGTTGAAGGGTCAGGGAAACTTTGCTTTATTGTATGAATGGATGCTGGCTACTGAACATTAGAAAAAGAGTCTGGATAATGAAACATACCGGTTTTCGGACAGGTTTATTTACTTATTTTTTTATTATTAATAACGACCTTTAAGATTTTAAAGGGGCAATGTGACTAGATTTGGATGACAAAACCATTACAAAAAATTTTCTGTTGCGTTTAGAACTTCTTCATTATCAAACGAAGTGAAAAATTATTAACAGTGGTCTTTTGCCACTTACGAACAAACTAAAGACCCAATGCAAGACAAAGCTACGATTCATGACGATTTAAAAGTCAGGCTATATTTGTTGTTTCAAGCTTTGCAATCAGTGTGCCTCGGGCAAAATGCTAAAATTAATTCTTTTTGTTTAGTTTTAAGTCTTTTGACATTAATTCCACAGAAAACTGCTCCCTGTGTGTAAACTAAAACAAATAGCTAGAGAAAGACTTAACAATTATTAGCAAGTTATATTACTGACCCCTAAAACTCTCCTGGTAATTGTGGGTAAACAGCGAGTCTAGCAATTTTTAATCATATGTTTTTTTGCAGACAAAAATAAGGCTAGACCGTTACCTCGTTTGAGTACTCGCATTATAGTTCAAATAGTTCTGTGATTTGTTTGTCGGATTCAGTTTCTTGCTTTTCATTCCGAATAAGATGCTTATGTTAATACTATGATACTGCTTGCGCTAAGGTTTAGAATCTGTGAAAATACACGAAATCAGTGACAACACACAACAAATTGAAAAGTACAGCTGCCCGGCTTTCCTGCTGAGGTTTCATCACGTGTTCTAGAAGCTTTTCAAATGAGTTAAAACAGTCATTAAAATGGTATATTCTCAAAGTCGTAAAATCATATTATAACAGCTCCCTGGTGGTAAACGATAACAATGACATGTTTAATATTTAGTACTCTAGTTTTATTTCAGAATTACTCAAATATATATAACTTGTGGCTTCGCCTAGAGTCACTGCAAATTTTTTAAACTCAACTTTCAGGGGCACCCAACGAGGATATAGTTCAAAACCACTTAACATAGCATTGTTAAACGTATTTTAGTATTTAAACGGTAGATATAGGCATATTTTTATCCCCTAAAAACTTTTCATCTGCTCGGATTTCCTAGCTGAAAGTCTAGTGATCCGAAAATTATAGGGATCAAAACTTACCTTTTCGAAAATTTCAACCAGGAAAAGGCTCCCGAAAATTCTAGGTGGCCTATTTTAGGGTAAATTTCCGTTTAAAATGGGCAATTATACCATTTTGTAGATGTTCGAAAATCCTAGGAGAGGCAGGCAAGCAAGAAATTTTACAACAAATGTTCCGAAAATTCTAGTTCTAAAATCGTCTTCCGAACAGATATTTTCCCGAAAATTGCCGTTGGGTGCCCCTAAACTTTGCCCAGGGAGATTTCTGTGAAAAAGCAAACAAACCAAAAGAATTGAAAGGAAATAAAGAAAATAAATGACGACTGAGCTCGCTGAAATCGAAAGGTCACACGTTAACTTTCTAGGAAATAGATTGTAAAAGGTGTAATGATTAGCTGTAAACAGGTTGTAAATAAGTTCCAAGGTGAGCACGAAAGTTGGATCCCTCGTGAAAAGAATTCCTACACCCGCCCAGTAAAGATCAGTGTGATAGTCTTGCTAGTTATACCGGTTTTAGTTATTCTGGTGTGGCATGCACAATGTCTTTCTTTTTCATTCTTAGACAAACCTCGAAGAAATTCTTTGCAAAAGAAAATCAGGTCATGGTAAAGAACTCTAAATGCCTTTTCTTTTTCTGAGAGGCAGGCGAGTGAGTTTCGTTTATGGCTCTAGCTTTCGATTTTCTGTGAAAAAGTGCTCAAAAAGTAAAGGAAATAAAACAAAACAAATTATATTAAATTCTTACAGCTAACGCTGAACACAAATGAAATGCTAACGAATTTGCTCAGCTTACCTTTGACGAGATTTAGTCGCCCGCTAAGCTGTTCAAACTTGAATTTTTTAAAATCCAAGTTAATCTTAGATATCTGACATTGCATGTTTTTATCATTGTTTTCACACTAGAGAAAATACATCTGTTCAAATATTTTTCGTCTGCTAAAACTAAGGTAAAAGTTAACCATTGTCGATACGGCCTTTTCAGCTTGTACACATTTTTACCATACTACGCGATCTTGTTTGAATAGCTGCCCCAAAAAAACTTTTACAACTAAATTAACATCCAGAACAAAAGCAAATGCTTATAACTAAGTTTACATGGCTCTTCACTTGGATACGTTTTGTCACCCGCTAAGCTTTTCAAAGTGACTTCGTCAATGTAACAACAACTACATCTTTTCAAATTTTTCAGGGCCACTTCCTCAGGGCTAGCCTGAGTATCAGAAACGCCTCATACTCAGGCTACCTCAGGGCAAGAAAGAACGTTAAAAAAATATATACTAGACTACAACTGTTTAAATATCTTTTGTCCCCTCTTTTTTGTCCACCACTGCTTTTCATCAGCTTAGGAAGCCCTGGGGCTTGAAAATTAAACAATACAAATAAGAAAAACTCGAAAAATTGAGGCTCCTGAGATTCAATTTGGTTTTAATTTCGCGTAAAACTGCTAAACTGGGCTATATTTGTGGACAAATTAATATCAAATAATATAAATAAATGCGCCTGTAGGGGATTACTCCAGATACTCTTTGTTATCCGGCTTTTTTCCGGTTTTTTTAAACTTCCTATCAAAGTTCGGCGAGCATGTAGTAGGGGGGAACATACGATTGCAAACAGTAAATCTAAAACTTATGTCTGATTCCTCAAGTTAACATTAAAACGGATAAAAATACGTATTTATCATGTGTAGCCAGGGTGATCGCTAAGGCAAATTATGAGACAAGCTCTAGCATTCTCATTCCTAGATATGCTGGAATGGGATACACTCTCAGCAGGAGGGCAAAATCAAAAGGCAGTTGGAGTACGTCTCTCCATAAAAAGGCCCCACTGTACTTGCAGGACTTTTTCACTGAACGAAGTTCATATTACGATCTACAAAACTCGCGAGCAGTAAGCTAACTCTGGGCAAGCCAGGCACCAATCATTTAAAGCGTAGCTTTAGCTATAGTGAGGCTCACTTATGGGATTCTTTACCAGAATATGTTAGAAACATCAAGTCAACATGAATAGGGCAATTTAAAATTAATCAAACGTTGACCTGCATTTTCGAGTATTTAGATAGGATCTTGGGGCAAAAAGTCATTGATAACCTCGCCGATAGTTTAGACATTTGGCATTCAAAGTGGCCTAAAAACGGTCAAACATATCATGGGATGATATATAAGCCTTGCACTCACGCCAAAACCAAAAGAGCTCGGTCAAAACCAGACGTCTTCAAGAGCTCTGTTGTTTAGCAATCGTGAATTCACTTAAGTACCCACTCAAAAACTAGCAGAAATAAACAATTTTAAAGATTTACTATAAACTTATCAGTCTGCTTGCATGCTTGTAAAAACTATGGGACAGAAGAAAGCTACCTTAATTTTCCCAACTAAGGTTAAATAATATATAAAGAAACAAGGAAGACATTTCGTGACTTTCAGTGGTCCTCCAGGACTTTTATTTCATTTATTCACTCACTTTTGGGTTTGGAAGCATAGTGAGGTGACGGGATACTGTAAGTTTAAAATCACTGTTCCTAAATGTATCTTGCTTTATAAGATGTTCGCAACATCCTAAATTTTTTATTTTAGGAGGATGATATTTTGCAACATTTATTTTTCCATGACATGCAAACTACAAATTGAGCAATGGCCTCTAACATAGTTCCTGTGAAACCAAAAGAAAGGGACAGAACCAAAAGGTGTCCTTTCTCTTTCTTGTACCAAGAAAAATATCTGAAATAGCGTCTCTACTGTGTGCACTGTGCTGCTCCAATTATGTTAGACTCTGAAAAAGTCTTGTATTGGACATAAAAAAGAGATTCGTATTTGGCAATTGTTTGGCCACGAAAACTGAGGCTTCAAAAGGTCTGTTATACTATATCCTCAGTTACTGGCTGCCTAGACTTTGTGTCCTTCCTTAACATCTGCACAACGCGGTCAAATATCAATACAGCGATCAGGATACCCAACAACAGACCAGCCAGTACATCACTCCAGTGATGTTTGTAATCACTTACTCGAGACAGTGAGCACAGGATGCCCAACTGAGCTACCACAAGCTGCAGGAAAAACTTGAGAAACTTGCTTTGAGGAAAATGGATCCTTGCCTCCATGTAGAGAACAGTAAAGGTCATGGCATATGCTAGATAATTAAAAAGAAATGGATTAAGAAAGGGCTTACTAGCAAAACTCTACTGATAAACAAGTGCAGGTCCTAATACATTTTTAATTTAAAAAAATTTCCAAGTTGAAATCGAGAGATGAAATAATCTGCCAATTTGCAAGGCTTCATCCGAGGAAAATGAAACTGGCCAATACCCTGGATGAATGACTCAGAAACCCAGGAAAGGGGACTTTAGGGAGTTAAAATTCAAAAAAATTTCCCTGGGGAACATGCCCCTTGGACCTTCCCTCCCCCCCCTCCCCCCCACTAAAGCCTTGCATCTCATTTAGGAAATCAGAGAGTATTTTTCCTAGATCCACGCTTGATACAGTCAGCTCTTTGCTAGACAGAAAGAGTTGGAATCAGGGGTTAATTTGATAAAACTTTTTTAAGTGTAATTTACAAGTGTAGCCCTGTTTTAGAAACTGAAAACAATAGCTACACCTGTGAACTACACTTGAAAAAGTTTTATAAATTGATCCTGGCATTAACTTTTAAGTCCTAGGGGTGACCAACTTCCATTTCTTCCTAACGCAATACATCTTATCCATCTACAACATTCACAATTAGAGATTTATATCACTCCCTCCCTGCTCCCAATGTAAGGGAATCCATAAGAGACTTGGATTTTGGATTCTACCCCATGAGTGCCGGACTCCCAGTACTAGCCTGCATAACAGGTGCTTTATCAGCCAAGGGAGGTGAACACAGCATTTTGCACAAAACGAGTGCAAAGCGTGATATGAGGGGAGGGGAATCGCACTTTGAACTTGTTTCATGCTTCATGCTTCACGCAAAATACTGTGTTTGCCTTGCTTGGCTCATAAAGTGCCTGTTATGCTAGTCTCCTTTGCCTTTGCCAAATAACAGCTGCAAAGGAGACTACTGTTATGCAGCCTACCAGGTACTGGATTCTGGATACCTGGTGAGTTGAACTTGGATTCTGGATTTCAATCATTAGTGAGATTCCAGATTCCCTGAGCCTTAAACAGGATTCCAAGCCCTGGATTTCAGATTCCACAAGTTAAAATTTCATTCCCGATTCCGGAATTTGGATGCCCTTACAATGGGCAATTCATAAATGTTTCAACATTAAAATACCTGAAAAAGAAGCATGCCCTGAGGGAAAAGACAATCTTCCCTCTCTCAACAGACCAGGATCGCCAGTGCAAACGTCATCTAAGATGTAATTATGACTGCAGTTGATAAACACGGAGGAAGGCGGCTTGCAGATGGACAGAAAATGGGGTCGTAATCTTCCAGCCGTGTATTTACCAACATCTGTAGCAAAAATTGTGATCAAGCCACCAAAAGCAAAAGAAATAAATAATCTGAGCAGTTCAACATGTAGAGAGTTCAACAACAGCGAACCGAATTTGTAATGCTCTTTCTCGCGTCTAGTCCTTTTAGAAGATTTCTCTTGTCTCTGGTGGAAGCATTCAGTTACCAGAATCACAAGATACGCTACAGCAAAGCCTACGGAATACAATACTGAAGAGGGAACTGTGCTTTCTTTGTAAGGCTTATTTATGCTGTCATCGTCACAGTAGAATCCACGCTTGTATGGCGTTGCTGCGAGCTTGAACCCAAGACACGTAAATCCAACTGCAGCCAAACACAAAAAGTCGACGAAAAGCCAAACCAAGCTTGGTTGTCGATGTGTGTATGGGTGGATTTCAGGCAAGGAGCAGTTATTTACCTCTGGCAATTCCAAATCCTGCGAGCTAGAGGATTTTTTTTCCTCGTTATTCGACATAGTAACACAATATCATAACAGCACAATATTCTCGTCAATATATGTTTAAATTTTGACAATTTTTTTTATTATAGTTTTGAATTGTTTTGATATTGTGCCAGTTACCGGGTGTCTGCTTAGTAACCAGGCTACAAAGCTTGGTGCCCAAGCTTTTGCCTGGCTACCAAGTCCAAGTTATAAGCAAGTCGAGTTTTACAGAATTTCGAGGAGTGTTTTGGAGGGCAAAAAGTCATTTTGTTACAAAAATGGCAGGGCATGGATCCCCAAAATTTAACGAACCATGGATGGATGAACTCGATGGAGAAAACTGTATACAGAGAACTGTAAGTTTTGCCGTACAAGGGGCGCTAGTAGGTAGGTAACTTTAATTTATGAAAGATGCCATTGGTACTGCAAAGGTCAATATAATTAAACTTACTATATATTGATAACGCTTATTACAGCTCCAAAATAATAATTAAATCTCAAGCTTATATATGTACAGCTTGCTTAGCGTAGCATGTGGAAATTAAAAGGATTTGAATTATTTGATGTTTTTGTTTATATCACAAATGTAACTTGTTAAACATGTGCATGCATTTATGCATGTACTGAAAACCCTAGAATGCAGAGGTCCACTCTACACTTAACTATAACTGACTGGCTTTTTCTTGCCGAATCTCCAATGTAAAGATGGTAGGTCACGGAGCCAGGCATCAGTGGGAATTAAAACAAAACTGAATGCCAGGCTGGCATTATGGCAAAAGGCTGCTTTATTATAGAATAGAATAGAATAGAATAGAATAGAAACTTTATTAAAGTGTCAAAAACCGTCTAGCCAGGGAACAAATCCCTTACTAATTTGGGGACACCAATTAGGGGAGAATATACAAACTAAAAACTATATACAGTAGTAGGTAAAATATCTATAGTTAACTAATTAAGAGATTTATAGTAAAAATACACAGAAGTCAAAATGAACAAAGGCTACAGCCTGCGCAGCCATCATCTAAAAGTTCACTTATATTGAGTTGGCGTATCTTGCTTTTAAACGACGTTAGGGTTGTGACGTCCCTGATACTCTTGGGTAGTTTTGTCCATAGCCTAGGCCCTAAATATCTAATAGAGTGCTTGCCATAGGTGACTGTCTCATACCTAGGTAGAGAAATCTGCTTGCCGAGATTGTAATTACTGTTTGGTTCTTTAAAGATGTTACTTATATATGCAGGGCACAGTTTATGCTTTACTTTATACATAAGGATGCACAGATCCTGTAAGCGACTATTTAGTAGTGTTGGCAGATCTGCCTTCTCTAATAGTTGTTCATAACTAGAATTATTATCCTTGAAAACCGCTCTAAGTCCTCTTTCTTGTAGTCTTTCAAGCTTTCTAGTGTCACTAAGCTTTACAAAAATGCCACACTAGGTGACAGTACGTGAGGAATGGTAATATCGCGCTTTTGAATAATATTAACTTAGATTTCATAGGAATTAAATTACGTAGTCTCATTAGAACACCAATTCTCTGGCTGGCTTTTTTTTACAGATAGAGATTACATGCTCAGAGAAATTTAGCTTAGAATCTAACACTACTCCTAGAAGTATGATATTATCTTTAGTTTCAATCACAACATCATTCACGCAAATATTGCTGTCATTTTGAGTGAAGCCCAAGTTCAAAACTTGGTACTTTTTGAGGTTTCCGCCAATAAGTTAGAATCGTACCACGTTGTTGCTAAGTTGGCACTATCCTTTAACTGGGAAGTCACAGCTGCCTGGTCTGCTCCTGCGTGGTAAATTTGATGGTCGTCGGCATACATAGACAAGTTCGCTGTTAGGCAGTAGGATAGGTCATTCTGGAAAACATTCCATAACAACGGGCCAAGCGCGGAACCCTGAGGACTGCCACGACTCACGAATTGGCTCGAACTAACATGACGGCCGATCTTTACTTGATATTTCCGTTATAGGCTAATATTTCGGCTAACAAAATTAGCCTTCCTCAGGACCAGACCTACATGTATGCAGTCATTCACTTTATGGGACGTTCTTTGCTTAAGCACCCAAATGGGCTGAAAATCGGAAAACAAAAATTTGCCAGAAAGGCAAGATGTTGGTTCAGCTTGCTAGACTAAAACTCTGAGAAGCTCTTCTAGTCCAAAATCTACTTGTTTTACTTGTACTTTATTTCTTGTCAACATTGTTCATGAACATTACTTGCTTCTTAAGCAGTTGGGATAAATATACATGTATCAGCCAATAGGTTGTTTTACTAGCCCTCAGCTATTTAACAGGACTATGGCCATGCCTTGACTCTTGCTTGAACTAAAATCCTCTACAATCTGTGTTTTTTTGGTGTGTAAGTGACTAGTAATCAGATCTTCATTGACAAAACCTTCACAAGGCATGGGGTAATATTTTGGACTGGCTGAAATATTTTCAATATCTGTGCTCTGTTTAAATGGAAAATTTTGGAACCACCAGGCGTCTAAATCTTCCATGTGAACAGAATACCTAATAAACACTTGAATTTTCAACCAGTTCAAAATTTGTCCAGTTTCGTGTTAACATAGCCTAAGAGTGTTTCATGATTTTTATGTGATGTGATGTGTCTTCTCAAGGGCCTTACATTTTCCCTTGATCTTGAATGGCAGGTGGTTTTTCTGGTGCGGCAGTATCAGCTTTGAAGATTCCAGATCCTAAACCAACACCTCTTATTCTTCAGTCGCTTATTATGATGAAGAACCATTCACTTCTTCTAGGTTTGTAGAAACAGTATTATAATTATTGACAGTTAATAATTTTGTATTGCAGATAGGGTTTTTACCAAATGACTTAAAACAAATGACTGAAAAGACACTGCAGAATATGTCACTACACCTCAAAATGGTTAAAACGTTCAAACTTTGCAGTGAAACCACTCGCCCATGGCCTGTGGTTCCACTTGAGTTTTGAACTTTTGAGATTATTTTTATGGTCAATAAGAGTATAGACCATGGAAAATTGTTGTTGATCTGTTAAAAGAACAATCTTAGCCCCAAAACAAAAACGTGTTTTGTAAGGGTCCAATTCTAACGAGATGTAAAGCTACTTGAACTTTTCTGTCTTTTTCAAGGTGGAGCTGCTGGCCTGTTTGCTCTTACAACTTGCACTTCTGCTGCTTTGAGAGAGAAAGATGACCCCGGTAACTGGGCCTTGGGTGGCTTAGCAAGTGGAGCCCTGTTTGGCTTGAGAAGTGAGTACATGCAACGTGTGAATAATCTCTTACAGCTACAGTATTACCTTTAGAAAAACCAAATCCTTAATTCCCTATTCACAATCTGGTTCTTTGTTGTTATGGAAAATATTTGTAACTTTCGTGCAGGATTTGTTTGTTTAAACTCCCCCTAATTTGTGTGTAGTGCCCCTGTTGTTATGAACAAAATTGTTTAGCCTTAGCTGATAACACTTTCTAACAGCTTGATTATTCTGGATATAATAAAAACTAAATCTATTATACTGTCTTATTATGCATCGCTGTGAAGAAAACAATGACAAACAGACCGTCAGACGATACTAAGTTTCTGTTTCTAAGGTTCTATTGGAATCGCAACACCTCAGGATTTCCTCCACAGATTTGAATTTTATGGTGACAAATTTTTTTTGACACAACATGGTCCAGGGATCTAAGGTTTAAAGACTTTTTTCAGAAAGTTTTGATTTTTGATCACCTGTACCTGCTTTGGTAGAGTGTTTAGTTCAAGCCTCAGTCTTCACTTCAAAAGTGTTTATTGTTTCCTTTTACTTTTAGGAAGCAGTTGGCAGGTTGGATGTGCGATGGCGAGTGCACTCGCTGTGGGTGGAGCAATAGCTAAATACACTGGCGCCTATAAACATCCATTCCGTACTGACAGAGTCTTTCTTTGATGAAATGTGGCGCTCCTTAACACAGATGATTCTAAGTGTTTTTAATCGAAGTTATGAATGTTCATGTAAATATATTTTCGTAGAACTTTAATATTCTATGATATTTTTTTTTGTGTCATAAAAAGTGTGACAAACAAAGTAAACTTAACTAATGAACGTAAAAATCTTCCGGTTGGTGATTTCAGGAAATGTTTTCCAGCTCTTTCTATACAGTATTGAGGGGTAAGCGCTTTACATAAGTACCTACATCCCCAATTTTAAAAAATACAGTTGCGTTGAACAGAGAAAGTTCATTAGCGTTTTACAAAGCTGTTATTATAAGGAGTTACGGTGAGAGGTACGTCCCAGATAAGCGAAACAAATATGATGATATTATTGTTAATTCTCCAAGTATTGTTTTGAAATGTAGTTCATGTGAATGGATTTGAAATTGGCTGTTTGGATGAACTGAATTTTGCAATGAAAACTTTAACTTAACTTTATTACATATCACACACTCGGAAAAATACATGAGAACAACCACAGCCGCGGGCTTGAATGGCCTAAGGTCAGCAAAAAAACGTGAATAATTTACATTTTGTTTTGGAACTCTTAGTATTTTGCCATTTTAAAAAGGAGTCGGACTTACGGCATTTTGTCATCTTTAAAATATACTTTGATGTAAAGAAATAGCTGTTTTGGCAATTCTTCAAGGTCAATGAGAACCATGGGGGTGAGCAAATGATCGAAGAAAAAAGCTAGGGCGTTGCTACATGTAACTTGTTTTCACAATATAAACCTTGAAACTCGAGTTTTGGAAAGAAGAGGACATGGTAAAAGGGAACGGTGGTTTCGAACTCATTCTTGGTTCCTTGTCGTGACATTTTTTAGCTGAATCATTGAGCAATTAAGCTAGTGCGAGCAACAGATGAATAATTAAACACGGGGCCGGCCAAAATCGATGATCCGAAACCTCACAACCTGTGCTAATGGGTCATAATTACCAGCTAATTATGTTAACAATTTGGTAACTTTGTTCAATTAAAGTATCAGATACAAAACGTTTCTAAACTAATACAATGATTTAACATCTTAGAGAACCATAGCAAAACTACATAAGAAAGGTTACTCATAAAGAGGGACACGTTTAGAAGATCGTTTTAAGATTCGATTAAGGGATGTTTTAACCCAGGAATCGGGGAGAGGGGTATGCTCACAGATATGTGCGGATATGGGCAAGTGCCGCTGCGATAAATTGAGTAAACAAGGATTTTTAGGAGAGAGAAGAGTGGAGCGTCATTCGCAGGGATGGGGGGCAGGGGGGGAATGAAGAATTTTAAAAGTAGTAATTAGAAATAAACCCTGGAATACCTGGGTTACTAGTCCAGGGCGTTGCTTTCGCGCATAGGAAAACAGGGCTACCAATTTACAGCTGAAAAGGGTCTGGTGTCGAGGAGAGCACCCCCGGCCCGTCTTGCCCCGTCGTAATGAGAAAAATGCCAAATAATATTCCAACTTTGCTGAAAGAACAGTGTGTTCTAACTAATTTTAACCTTCATTATACGTAACATTTCTCTGTCATCGATGTTCCGTGCAATTTAAGTTTGGTTGGAACTGTCTGGTGAGTATTTGCCACCAGTGCGCGCATGAAAACCACGAGGGGCCAGGCTCTTGATTTCAGTTATTTTTGCCAAGAATTTTCTTTTTCGAAAATATTGTTGAGGAGTGTAAACCTTGTAATACCCAACAGCTTCAGTCCCCCGCACGCTACATTATATTCTTGTTTCCAACACTTGCTCTTTCCGAAGAAATTTTGGCCCGAAGCTTTAAAGCGAATCTACAAATCGTTTTTTGATGTAACTAAATGTAAAGCTGCACGTGTTAAAAGCGACTGCTGTGAGACCAACTGTTTACAGTTTCTCTTAGTGAAAACTTGAAAAAGGAAAAAAAAATACCTCAACAGTCGAAGGGGGCGGGTACCCGCTGACTATAGTGGGTTGCAGGTGTTGACCCTAATTGATCGCAAACTAACATAATTTATCTATGAGCTCACGCTTCAGATGAATCCTAAAAATTAGCTCGTAACTCCGTTGATCTGGCACTTCACCACAATTTGAAAGACAACTGACACATCGCAACCTTTCTCGCGTTAATATCGTCCTGTCTCTGCCAGCTGTTAATTTAAAATATCACTATGGCATCCTTTGTATCCGTGATCGTAGGACTCATTGTCATGGCTTGTGCTTTTGCTGGGCTCATTGTGGCTGCTGATGAGTGTACAAGACACCCCCGAGGTCTATAAGAGATTTATTTACCCCTGCACCGTGCGATAACTATGATATTTGGACCTGGCATCTTAACTCTTGACGATGACGGACTTGACTCCCCATCCACCTGCTCATAGTTGCTCATCTCAAAGCCTTGCTTGATATGAACTGTTGACAAAATTGCGTGCTGGACTGTAGAACGTCGTATTTACTGCTGCGCGGTGCAGCATATGATAGACTTTGACCTTAACGATAAATGACAAAGTCGGCTTGACGACAGGCTTTAGGGAGCCGGACGAAATGCTATTTAAAAGACGATGCATGCACTGCACAATAATTGTAATATTTTGCGGACCTGTTTTTGTGACAATACCCTCTGGTGTCAGTATCCAAACAGACTGTCTTATAACACAGTTTATAAATCACCTAATTTATAACTACTTTGGAGAATTTTGCTATCGAGACAGGCTATTTTCTACTAAGTTCTTCAGTATTTCAGCAAAGCATTTGTACTTAAGCTGAGGCTTCAAATGTTGGAACTTACTTGCTTTAACTACGGCCTCAAAAGCATAAGTGTTTGTGTAACGGTCGAGCAAAGAAAAATGTTAGCTGATTTCTTCTTGTAAGTTCTGTTCATAAGGTAACTCCAGTTTAGATTAATTTATAATAAATGTCCCGTGTGGTTTGAATCTGCAGAGCTGTAAAATTTACTCTTTTCTATGGGGCCTCCTTCTCAGCCTCTCAGCCTCGAGGATCACGTGTTGCCACCCCGCGCGCCACTGAGAGGCGCGTGGCCTGGAAACGAGCACAGGACGAGGATGGATCGACAAGCACACATATTTTAAAAACAGTTCTTAAATATTTCCATATCATGTGACGATACGCAAGGGCATATTTTCCTTCTAGGAAATTAACGTACCACAGACGAATCCGAAACACGGTGAACAGAAGTCAGAACCGGAATAAAATATTTAATATCTCTCCAAAAGTAGTTGAGAGCCTTTCAATATCTCTCTAATACAGTATTTACTGCGGCGTAGTCAATTAATTCTTTTTAAGGTAACCACTATAAGCCTGGCAGGCGTTTAAAGGGAAAGCTGGAATTAAGATAGGCGCGCGTGGAAGGAGGGTAGGTCTCCCTTCTTTCGCCCTCCCTCGCGCGAATCCTTCATGCACTCTCGCGATTTAACCGAATTTGCCTCAGTTTTCGTTTCCCCGCTAAACGGCTGCAATGCAGGCTCACCACTTTGTGACTGCGTTGAATGTATGTTTTCTAAGTAAAACTAAGTGTTGCGTTACAGTAATAACGAGGCTAATGTATGCCATCTTTGAAAAATTAAAGCTTGGATTTCATCTTCCCCATGAGCTTTTCAAGTTTCATAGCAAGCATCATGTCTCCTTTGATTTTTAATTTTCCTCCCATAAACGCTTGTGTTGGGTTGAGTTCTCCTTTGAACATTTTCACAAAATCTTCCGAGTCTAAATTCATGGTGCAGTTGGCATCTCCTCCAGGAAAGGAACCGCTCCCAACGCTTCCTGAAAAACGCGAAACAAGAAGCATATTGTCAGGATCACAACTAGTCTGCTACACAGCGTTGCGTGACGACACTAAAAACGGCTGTGTAGCAGACTAGATCAGAACGAGATGAAGAAGGTCCAAGAGGAAAGGGACTTAGGCTTGGATAAAAAGCAATCATAACCGACATTTGGAAAATTCAAGCTAATGGAGAGATTTGGGATCACGTTCGCAGCAAACAGCCAATTATTTTTAAGATTCAGGTTCAATCTTAGGAAATAATAAGGCGTGGAGATAGAAACTCTACAAATCAATGAAAGTGGCATGAACTGACTGCAAATGGAAAAAACAAGAAACCAGTTAGGTCAATTGTTAGGTCATGTGGTAACATTTACATATGCCATTCGCGACGCGAACGTTCTTCTAAATCCCTCTAATGAAGCATATAACCCTTAGATATACATGCTTCTGTCTGTTAGGGCTTATAGATACCGTATACCAACTTAGAAACCCCTGTATATAAAACCCGCAAAATCCCTATCTCCAGCATCCTTCTCGGCTTGCTTTGTCAAGTCCTTCAAACTAAAACGGGATAGACTGCGTATCATTTGAGTGTTTGCTGGTTTTTGGATCGGAGCAAAGAAAGACCGAAGAACGAGATTTTCGGTTTTGGCCGCGCGAAAAATGGAACGAGAGCGAAAAAATGAAAGACTCGCGCCATTTTTCACGCGGTCTTTGACTCTCGCTCCTTGTTCTTTGCTCCGAAACCGCACGGAAACGCTTGTTACGCAGACTAAAAACGAGACTGCTTAAAGTCTAACCGTAAAAAAGCGCTTTGGATCGAGTTGCGCAATCTCAGATTAGTCCATTCGACTGACCTTATATCTGTCTTCTTTTGATCTTAATTAGTACCTCGATACTATTCTTTGACCGCTGTAACTCGAATAGCGCAGAACTCAAAACTGTAGCATCCAATCTATCCTTACCTGAATTATTTTTGAGGTCTACAAACCACACTCCAGGCTCTTTACCATCCAAATGAAACTCAAAGACCCCGTTCACCGACCGTACAAGTTCTTCATCGCCTAAGCTCTTAATCTTGTCGAATATTTGCACTACTCCTTCGCCAGAGCTCCCCTGAGAAGTGCTTTGCGTCATCTTTTTTTGAGATTCCAACATTTCCTGTGGATCGTAACCTTCAACGTCCAAGAAGAAGTCCGGCAAAAGTTTACTTCCTGTGAGGAAAAGGACCAAAGTCACTCACATGACGACCGCGCGCTCTTGTGTGTTGCGTGACAGAAAACGGAAACTTTGAAACCGGAAGAGGTTTAGCCTGCAGAACAAGGTTTTTTTTCGGCGTTTTTCAGGCGTTGACCACCTCGCGGTTTTCTTTACTCGCCTGAAACACTTAAAAAACGGCTGTTCTACAGGCTAAAAAGGGCTTGCTTACTAACTGCTGTTCAGCAGGTAATGGTTGTTGGTTTAGATCCTAAAACTGGAAGCAAGTACCAGCCAGCATACCTTTTAGTACACTTGGAAAAAAATGGGGTCGCCTCCCACGCAAACGTTCTTAGGGTTTTGTAACGCGTTCCTGCCCCACGTGGGGTAGGAACGCGTGACAAAGCTTTTTAGAACGTCTGCGTGAAGGCTAAAAATAAGGCAGCTGAAAGTGAAAGTTGCATAGAGGATGAGCTGAGTGGATGCTCAACAAACCTTGAGCGATGTAAGCAGCGGGCCTGGTGACTTGGTGGAAAGTAATTGCTTTTATTAATCAGCCACTGAAAACCACACTTGGGCTAGCCTCCCACGCAGACGTTCTTAGGGGTTCACGCGTTCATGCCCCGCTCGACGAACCACTAAGAACGTCTGCGTGGGCGGCTACCCTTGGACTCCCCGATAAAATATCTTTGATGTGTTTATAGTTAACGTCAGCAATGACGTTGGACAGCCTTTCCGACATTCAGTGTAGCTTAGCTGAAGCATTGTGATGTTGCGTGACAAAAAGCAGGAAATGTCCAAACCGGAAGTTACCATGACGAATAACGTAAATATTACAGTGCACCTAAATGATTTACCTCAAAATTGACGGACACTTTGTACAACAGAAACACTAAGAGGTACTGTACTATCGGTAATATAATCTACAAAGAAGACAAACTTGCGAAAATTGGGTAAGATTTTTCCTCACGATGCAATTTATTTTCTCTTAAGTCTGTACCTGGTACACATGAATATTGCTCAAAGTCAGTGACTCCTACATCCTTGAGTACATCCTCATCAATGAGAAACTCCCCAGTCCTTGCTCGGCTATCTCTTGTCAAGATGACGTAGGCAGCGTCTGCCATGATCTGATCTGTGCGACACTGTGCTAATGCTTCTTTACCACCCAACATTTCCATTGCAGCAGTAGCAATAGCTGATGAATATTTTACAGGTCAAAATTAAATTCAGGTTAAAATTTTTTAACCTAGGTTGATTCTCAATTTCCTTTTTCTCCTAGCTCTTATTATTCATGAATCAGTGTTAAGAGACAGAGGAAATTGAGAATCAACCTAGGTTAAAAAATTTTAACCTGAAAATAATTTTGACCTGTAACAAATACAATATACAGTATATGGGGCAGGAACAATACTCTGACTGGATAAACTCACTGAGGTATAGGCCGGGGGGAGGGGGGTACTGCCATATATGGGCTATATAGGTATGTGCCGCTGTGAAGGGTATGGTTTTCAAGCAGTTTACTCTAGGACAGGGTATATAAATCAGAGCATTTGGGTCTAGAATAGGGTATCATTCTTCAGGAAACTGATCAGTTGGTTGAAGATTTTATCTAGACTAAAGATTGTTGGTAGAAGGTTTCGTTTTGGCTAGACTGTGCCAGTGACCTCAGTAGTCTCTGGAAAACAGTTACTTTAGGATAGGGGGGATTTGGGAAGTTTACTCTAGTAGAGGGTAGCAAAATTCAGCTGAACTAGCTCTGGTATAGGTTAAGGGTTTCAGGGTCCCAGCAGTACATCCCCACCCAGAAATTCCTAAAGTACCCCCCCCCCCCCCCGGGGGGGTATAGGGAATGCAATGGGAATTACTGTCTGGCAGAGGGTGCAAAGAGAGTTGGTTGTAGCTAGCAGGTACTAGCCCAAAAGTCATCTTAATTGGCCCCCCAAAAATTTGACAAGCAGTATTAATAATCCATTATGTAGATTTGGTTTAGTTCGAAAAAAGGATTCAGGATTTTAAGGGTGTGAGATTCAGGAAATGTAATATTTAAAGAATTTTAAACTGGTTCCGAAAATTTTATGATGCAAGACTCAGGAAATGCTGTTTTGAAGAACTGAGATCCAGTAGGAAAACAAAAGTAAGTTGCCGGGGGCAACCCACATGGGGGGGCTATTGCGCTGCCTGATTAGGCATGGCCACTTACAGGTTCCCTTTAAAATGGAGACTGAGAAATTCTCTGGCAACCAGGGTATATAAAAAGTGTAGATATAAAAGGCTTCACATACTGCTATTATATTGATACTACATTGAGGCCCTGCCAGGGGGGTTCCATGTCGCTTGTCTGAATTTTAAAACCTCTCGTGTCAGTGTTTATAAATGCTTGTCCCTTATTGTCAGCTTTGCAATCACTGTCGCAATTTGGCCGAGGGAGGTTGTCTCTTGTCGTGATTTCATTTTACGCGCTGTCGCTACTTTTTGGGCCATGTCCCTTTTTGGAATTTACCCTGGCAGGACCTCTACATTTTATAAAAAAAACTGATGATTAAAATTAAATAATATTATCTCTATTTTCAAGACCTGTTTTGGGCCAGAGAGCATTGATAGAAATTCCAACATCCTTAAATTCTTCAGCCATACCAAGGACACACATAGACATTCCATACTTTGCCATTGTGTAAGCTAAAAACAAGATGAGCAGTCGTAGTGTTATAGGTTGAAAAATTTTAAGACTTTAAATTTCCTAAAACTCAAGAGTGATTTTAAGTTACATGCAGAGATAAACAGTGGATTAATTGCTACTTCAGTTTATCTGCAGAAAGGCAAAATTGTTCTCAAGAAAACTGGCAAAAGATGGTCCACAAAAGAACAACAAAGAAGTAATGTCAAATATCATGTTCTTCCTACCATTATTGTGGGCAACAAGAGGCAGCTTGCAATCCCAATTTCCGAGTTGCTTAATGTATTATGCACGACTGGCACTATGTAGCCAACACTCGTTTGGAATTCCAACAAGAATGAAATGATTAAAAAGACCACATGTTTAATCACCTGCGTTTAGATCTTCTATTACATGAAACTTACACTACACACTGCGTTAAAGCAAGAGTATTTTAACCTTCAATCTATCTAGCCACACTCCCTAGCCTTTAGTTATTACTAAGTAATAAATATTTGGATATCTTTTTTTTAATTATCAAATAACACATACATACCAACATGGCTCTTGAACCAATAGGGTTTCATGTTTAATGGTGGGCTTATGTTTAAGATGTGTGGATTCTTTGCAGTCTTCAAATAAGGAAGGCAGGCTTGGGAACTGATACAGCAAAATCAAACAAGAATATCAAAATTATGAATTGATGTCTAGTTAGGTCCCTAAGTGTCCAACTTAATTTGTCAGTCTGGGTATTTATGCTTCCTGTGCCAGCAAAAGCTGAGTCAAAGTAGTGACATTTCAATACAGTCAAGAAAATATAAAATTGTTGATGAAGAGCCACTATGTAGATTGTGCTCAGACCAATACATTTTCATTTTATTTGTTTATTTATTAATTATGATAGGAGTGTGGAGAGAGGTAATTTATACAAGGTGATTGATATTAGTATTTCTCATGACCTTTTTTATTTATTCAAGCATAATGGCGCAAGGAGGAATTATATACTGAACACATACGAGACTGCATTCTTTGGGTCTTTTAGGTTGTTGACTTCATAACAACCTGAATAAAAATTTAGCATTAACCCTTTAAGCCCCAATATCCACATACAAATTCTCCAAACTGATCTCTATATATTTCCTTAAAGAATGAGTTGAGAATTTGATAAAAGATCAAAGAATTTTCTCTTAGATGATCATTTTATTAACTCTCATAACCTAATCTCTTGACAATCTATGGACATTGTTAGGAGAAAATTGATGTTCGTCACCATTGGGACTTAAAGGGTTAAGGGAACTCACCATAGAAATGTTCCTCTTGCATTGATACTGTTCATAAGATCATATCTACAAGATAACCCTAAGTTTTAGTACAATGATCAGTCTTCTTGGCTAATCAGAGAGTGCTTTTCATTAAAGAAAACATGTCTTGAAAATCAGGAATCAAGGTGGTCCGAGTTACTTATTTTTCAGTTGGTCTGACAAGAAAGTACAAAGTATACCAGAGACCTGTTATTACTTTGAAGTAGATACCATTCCAAGCATATCTGGATTTTAGCTTTAATTTTTAATTTTAATGACCCTAAGATTGTTTGAACATTTGCTTTAGGCTCAGTTACTAGTCAGTAATCAGGAAATGACCCAGTCAAATCTCTATTCCTCAAATTCCCACTCTCTCTCTTTTCAGAGAGGAACAAAGACCAAACATAAGACTGAGAACAGTGTAAATTAAGTCTTGAACTAGTCCAGAGCAGTTTTTGCAGGGGTAGGTGCTTAGTCACATCTGTTGCTACAATCATTATTTCATTTTTGTTCAGAACACTTTTATTAAGAGAGAAAGAGTAGGCACACCTTTTCATGGGTGTATCAAGAGTACCAGTCAAGCTTATAGCACTTGCATTGTTGACAAGAATGTCAATTCCACCAAACTTCTTCACGGCATCTTGAACGGCCTTATTTACAGTATCCTCATCACGAATGTCCACTGCACAGGGAAGGCACTTCCCACCGGCTGTTTCAACTGCAAAGAGAGCCAAACAAGAGCAAATACTCTTACAAACTTTCCCTCATAAAACGCCTTTAATTCTATAAAATGAACACCTAGAGTTGATCCTCAACATTCTTCCATTATGGACTTAGGCCTGTATAGCAGGCGCTTAGAGGTAATTGGCACAGAAAAGAACGGGGCCTGTGAGAGAGACACACAAGGAGAGAAGGAGCCCTTCAGGCAGGTGCTGCTAATAGCCTCACTTTGGGAAAACAGGCATCCTTATCCATTCACTTTTTATACCCCTTTTCCCTTTTAAGCCCAGATCTCCTCAGTCTCCCTCGAAGCAGTTTTTTGGATGTCACGCAATGCTCCCCCGCATTGCGTGACATCCAAAAAACAGCTGCAAGGGAGACTAAGTTCCCCTCTTTCACCCCTGCCCTTACCTTGGTGATCTATGCTACCATTGGACAAAATATATGCTAGAGCCAAGTCACAATTGTTCAAACACTGGATGGCGCTATCAACTGGATAAATCACTATCCACTAGCTGGTGACACCAATTGTGTTAACCATTGGATAGAGATTTATCCCGTGGATAATGCTATTCACCTTTTGAATGACTAGAGCTAGCTCTGATCTCACAGTCAATCATTAACAATGAACAGAACTCCAATACTTGTGTTTGACTGTAGCCTGCACCACAGAGGAAACTAAACTCTGGTTAAGTCCGTCTGCGAAACCATGCTGTTGTTCTGGGCCCCACCTGTGTACCAGGATTTGGGTACGTGCCGTGATTGCCGAATTAAAAATGCCATTGTAGATTTGCCAATCAAGATGAAAGGAAATTCGAAAGACATTTGTGGTAATTCGTTAAGCCTGTTGGGGGCCCTGAACAAGGATTTTGGCACTGCTTCACAGATGTTACTAATCGGGGTTAAATTACTTCTGCAATGCAGGCTAGTTTGACTGCAGCTGAGCTGGGTAATCTCAGGGCTGTCAACCCCCCACGTCTTCAAATATTGAGAGTTGATGGAGAAGAGATGATAGATGATGTCATAACAGACGGCACATGATGTCATTTGTGAAAAAACAAACGTGCGAAAAAGATGTTGTTGGAATTGTAACATTTGACCTAATTGGCTTACTTCCCACCAGTCACATTATTGCTTATATTACAATGGCATACCGGAGTTTGTGAGGAAATGTTCGATGTTAACAGTAAAATAGCTCAAAATAAGGCAAAATATTTGAAATTTCATCGGCAGAACATCGAATCTACTAGAAATGGCACTCTTCAACGATTATCCAGGAGATTTCAGACTCTAATCTGGAGACCGGGAGAAACGGTTCAAAATCTGGAGTCTCCTGGATTATCTGGAAGAGTTGACAGCCCTGTAATCTTCGATCCCCTGGGGACTGGAGGAGAGGGCAAAGTACACACACAACTTACAGCTCAACAGGAGTCATAATAAAATGTCACATAAAATACAAAATCTCACGGCAATTTCCTAGAGAAGAATAACAAAAAAAAAATTGTTATTAGCACCGACAAACTTACCTTCTTTTGCTGCAGTATAAATAGTTCCTGGTAGTTTTGGATGTGGCTCTGTTGTTTTAGCAGCGATAACTATATTCGCTCCATCTTGCGCCGCTTTCAAGGCGATCGCCTTTCCAATTCCACGGCTTGCGCCGGTTATAAAGATCGTTTTACCAGCTAGTTTCCTGAAATTTATTTTATAAGGGGCATGAAGCTACAGTGAAATAATTTTTAAGATACTAATATTTGAAAATTATTTTCGAGATCTTACCCTGTGTTCAACATTTTCCATCAACCGCCGGATGAGAGATTTGAGCCCTCGGATATATTGGCCAGCATTTAGCGACCTTGAATGACCTGACGGTGACGGTGGTCTTCAGGATCCGGGATTTGCCTTACCGGTATTTGGTGGCCGGGATTCGGGATTTCAAAACAATATGGAGACGGAATTCGGGATTTACGGGATTGAGCGAAAATTTGGATCGGGATAATGGAAAGGGGTCCCTCTTCATCAAGAACAAAGGCATGTGGATTTGGCTCCTGGGATAGCAACATAGGTTGGTTGAGTCATTGAAAGAAGCCGGGAAATTAGTCTCTACGGGCCGTCAATTCTAAGGACCGGCCCCTAAAAGTCCCTAAAGGCTTTGCAGAGAAGGTTTGTGACTATGCAGACTGAGGACTAATGTTTTTAGGTTAGAAAACAATGGGACTATTGTTGTCCCGTTCTCATTTATTCAATCAATCTTTCTTTATTTTACCGCACTATATAAGGCATTTACATAATTGTACGTAAGTAGGAGAAAAAAGTAGCTGATAAATAATCATTAAGCTGAAAGACATTAAGTTCATTTCTGTACAGCGTCCAAAGTAGCAACTATCTACTCTGACCTCCTCTCTATAAAACTAACTCGAAAAGAAAACGTTTTCTACGAATTCACACCCCTGTAGCCTGTGAACAGGCTCTCTGTTAACACCCCTGGCAATTCAGTCTCACCAGATTTTGGCATTAGTACTGGAGGTCATAGTTTAGCAGGGAAAAAAAGACTTTTGGAAGACTGTGTAGGTATCGCCTGTTATGTAGGCTAAACTTATCCGTAGCTACCCTTTATAAGGCAGCGTCTTTTGAAGAAGGGTGAGCGCTCCTCTATTTCTCCATGTTGGCCTATTCAACTCAACAACTCATGTGGTAACACTACAATTTTGAGCAGCTCTTCAGCAGTACTATATTTTTTTAATGTTTGATGAAGATATTTAGTCTTAGGATAAATTAGATTTAAATAATACTTGCTACATCGTAGCTTCGAGGGCTTCACTATGAAACGTTCTTTCACGCACTCAACACTATTTGTTTTGTCCTAACTTTTGAGTCTGAGGACAAAATCCTATGGTGTGACCATTCAAATGAATTCTTTTCAGCAGTACTTTCACATAATACTATTTGCTTTGTATGTAAATCCTGTGAAATGAAACCTCTTCAGCAGTACTTTCACATGGTACTATTTGTTTTGTAAACTATGTAGTCCTAACTTTGGAGGTCTGTAAACAAAATTCTATGGTGTGACCATTCAAATGAAACCTTTTTACTCTTTTCCACATGGAGCTAACAAAATGATCATTGAAATTTCTCTTGAACATTAATTTTAGTCTCCACAAGGAGTGAGTAACATGGTTATCCCTTCTTAGCGGTTATTTGCTATAGTTTGGACTTCATTGTGCCCATAAGTTTCTCAAGTTTCGCGGCCAGCATTTTGTCTCCTTTAACTTCCATTTTTCCGCCCATAAACGCCTGTAATGGATTCAGTTGTCCTTGGAACATTTTCACAAAATCCTCTGAGTCTAAAATCATGGTACAGCCGGGATCTCCGTGAAAAGAACCTCTACCAGCGTTTCCTGCAATATTAGAACAATAAAGGAAATTCCAAATAATTCACGTTTCTGGAAATTTTTCATTTCTAAGATACCGTATTTTGTCAACTTTTCAAAATTACGCCCGGCTATTTCAAACGCGGCCCCCTGTCAGAAAAAAGTAGTGGAGCTTAGGCGTTGTTCAAATTCGTACGGGACGCACGCAAGTTTGGAAAGAGAAAGGAAAAAATGTGGTCTGTTAAAGCTCCTCACGGCATAGATTTCGCATAATGAAAGTTTCACGTCCTAGCTGTACTGTACTGCGGAGGGTGGCAAAAAGGTACCAATGATTGTGATATACGTGCGCAGTCGATGTTTCGCGCTGTTTAAAACTTTATAGCTTTCATTCCATCTCGTTCTGTATGTCAATTGTCGGCGAATGTTTCTGTCGTTGAACTCTAAGTGCTGCTTCTAAGTTCAGGAAAAGAGGATAGGAATTTCCTTTCAAGGAAGTGCAGTTCAGAAAGAATTATGGATTTATATAGTTTCGCATTTCTCAGTACTCGCGTTAATTCCGTTTGTAGTCGTGCAACGACGGCAAGGAAGTGTACCAAAAAGCGTGATGCACGTGGATCCACGTGCAAAGCTGTTGTTTTGCTAATCTACGCATTGCTTTATTAATTGTTCTCGTTGCAGTCGCCGTCGTTGTTGCTTAAGAAAGGTTCCTGAAACACCACGAGACTACAAAACTTTCATATACCTGAATTATTTTTGAGGTCCAGATACCAAACTCCGGACTCTTTTCCACTCAAATGGAATTCAAAGATGCCGTTTATACTCTGAACAAGTTCCTCGTTACAAAGACTGTGAACCTTCTCAAAGACTTGTGACACACTTCCAATGTGCAGACTTGGCGAGACGTTTTCGGTCTTCAAAGCCTCTGAAAAGGTATCAGGAAAACCACAAAAGAGTTAAGCAATGATACACTAGAATGTCGACACAAGCCAGGAAAGAAAGCCATCAATTTTGAGTCAGTGACACTGAGAGGTTCAGCTTCTCAGAGACAAAAGGGTAAGAATTGAATTATCTATTTAAATCCCGAGCCTTTTTCAAGGTTCTCTTAGAACTTAAGATAGGGTAAAACGGAAAACAAAAACGTGCAACTTGTTTTGCAACATTGCTGCTGTACGAGCTGAAAAGCGATGTTGCACGTTTTACCATAACGAGAATCAAACCTGTCTTGCGACAAATCAGGTTGCTGTAAGTTGCGAAAAGTTGTTGCTCGTTTTGCTGGCCCAAACTGAGGCAAACTTGGCTCGATTATAAAGCGCCTGTTATACAGGCTATAAAACGCGCAACATCACTATGCAACTCGTTTTGCAACAACGTTGCAACGTTGCAAAACAAGTTGCGCGTTTTTGTTGCTCGTTTTTAGTACCTTCAGAGATAAAATTTAAGTTGATTAACGGCAAATTTGAGCTGACAGATCATGAAATAATAGCAAGGAATCTAGGAAAGATTAATTTTTACTCCGTTTTATACGGCCAGTTACAATAATCTAGCTTTAGAATGTCATGTCAGATTGTTCTTTTTCTACCTAAATAAGCATTAATACCTGGTGAAACCAAATATTGATCGTAGTCTGTAATTCCGTCTTGTTTAAGAATATCCTCATCATAAAGAAACTCTCCTGTTCTTGTTCGACTGTTTTTTGTTAGAAGAGCATATGCAGCATCAGCCATGATCTGATCAGTTCGGCAAAATGCAAGTGCCTCTTTACTATACATTACTTCCACAGCAACTGTAGCAATGGCTGTTGAGCAAAGAATTTATCCACCTCAGCATGCAAAGAAAGTCGTGTCTGATAATCCGGGGCTAGTGGATTTTGCTATCGGGCTAGTGATTTTTGTTCTCAACTAGCCCGACGGGCAAGTACTGTTTTTTGGGGGAAATTCAAATTACGGAAGGGTTGTAATCAATCCTGCTAATCAAATAGGGTTTTGGGGCTAGTTGAAATGACTTGTGGGCTAGTACATGCTAGCTACAGCTTACCCGAATGGCAGGCCGTAAAACCGATTTTCTTTGCACCCTGCACCTTATGGAGCAGTAGCCTGAGAAAACAGCTGGAATTTCGAGATGCCACCACTGGTTTATCTGCGAAATGACGTCTGGGGAACAAGCGCAGAAATTCCATACTAATGATGCGTCACTACCAAGATATGAATAGTGCTTTGATTGGATGAAAATTTACTTTAACCAATCAGAAGCACGATCCAGTATCTGGGTAGCAACACATCCATAACATGAGATTTCCACACTCACTCCTCAGATGTCATTTTGCAGAGAAACCAGCAGTGGTGTTGCAAAATGAGCTGTTTTCTCAGACTTATGAAGCAGTTTCCATTTCCATGACGTAAAACAGTAATTAAAGAATTCACTCTGATTGGAAAATTGCAATAGAGCACAGGAAGCCCAGTTAACCAATTTCACAGATGTATAAAAAACATCCTGTAATCACAGCTGGCACAGACTGCCCAGGGATAATGAAATGCAAATTAGAACCCATATCAAGCATGGAAAAAAAGCTCCATCTCACTCAGAATGCTATTTAACCTAACAATATTATCATCTTTCCACTTGGCAGACTTCTCACTGGTCCACCAACTTGGTTGCCATTGACATCTTAATTTTTACAGTTCCGTTGATTACATTAACTGTTTGGGCAGGTATGTGTAATACATTAGTAACGTTGTAAGTGGTGTGATTGTAAGTGTTGGTTAAGATGGGAGGAAAAACTTGTTTACATTGAGTTCTATATACTGACTCACGTTTTTTAGGCCAAAGACCATTAACTGCAATACCATCATTCTTGAATTCTTGAGACATACCAAGCACACATAGTGTCATGCCAAACTTCGATATTGAATAAGCTGAAAACAACCACAAACGTTAACGGTTGACATCACATCAAGATGACAATGGAAAGCAATAATTTGGAAATGTAAGAGAGATGAATAGCAGGGTTTCAGTGGTAATCCACAAGTGATCTTGGGGGAAAACCCATCTATAACTGGGGTGTTAGGGCATACTCCGTCCCAACAATTTTTTAAATACTGAAGCCTCTAGGGTGACAAATAAATTTGCTTAAATTTAACACAGCATTTTTTTAACCCAAGATGTACAAAAAAAAAATTTTCTATGCTGTGCACACAGGAAACCTGGACACCCACCTGGCCAAAATTCTGGTATATATACAGTCTCTTGGAAAGTAAGATGCTTAACTGGAATTTTGCTATGGGTGGGGTGGAGTGGATAGGGCGGGTTAGGGTGTTTAACCCATTTGCCCCCAGAATTCATGATGAGATTTGTCAAACTCCCTAATAACTCAACATAACATAAAAATTTCATGAAAAATGTACCAAACAATTTGAGAAAAAGCAATATTTTTATCTTTAAAATACTGACAAGAAAGTGCATCAATGTGAAAGTACTGAGGTATGCAAATTCTTAATAGGCCATTTCCGAGTTTTTCAAGATGAGACTAAGTGCAAAACCTTTCTTGTGAAAATGAGTTAGTTTAATATCATGAGAATAAACAATCATTTCCATGCAAATGGCTTTGCAATAATATTAGCCTTGCTTTGAAACAGAGGCTTGGGGTAACACACAAATGGGCGCCTATTCTCATACATTACCAACATTGTCCTTGAACCACTCATGCTTCATGTTAAGTGGTGGAGTAATGTTTAAGATGTGTGGATTCTGCGCTTTTTTAAGGAAAGGAAGGCAGGCTTTGGAACTATAAAAGAAACATTAAAGAAACTAAATTAAAGGAAGTCAAAATATAATGGCTAAATGTATTTTGATTATACCAAAGAATGTTACATGGATAAAAATAATATACTCTATCAGAAAGAATGTATTCTAATGTGTGCATTTTTAATCTCATACTGTGATGATTCACCTTTAAAAACGATGACACAACCTGATCAAAAATCATGTACGTTCCTCTGCTATTAAATGATAATATTTAAGCTTTTAACATTTGTTTAAGAGTTCTGATAATTTGTGCAAAATATTTGTATAAGCAAAAATTTTAGAGGAAATATCTGTAAGTTTGATTATCGATTATAGTGATATCTAGTAACCTTTGGTCATGAATTATTTTGTTAACTACTTTTACTTTATATTATTTTATACACACAAGGCAAATAATTGAACTTACCACAAAAATGTTCCTCTGGCATTGACACTGTTCATAAGATCATATCTATTAAAAAATAAAATTATTTAGGATGTTTGTAATATGGACCAAAACTCAGCTTTCTCTTGCAACCCTTTCCCCTTCCACAATAATGATACTGATGAGACTGTTATTGCCATAAGTTGCAAAAACTAAATTTAATTTTTTGTTAATTAAATGGTGCTTTGTTTGTTTTCAGCAATCTGAAACTCAATTTTGAACTTTCGTTAGTTGTTGGGCTACTTCAGACCACTGAGCTTATTCAACATCAAACAGTGACCTTGATTTCCGGGGAGCCTCCAATATGAAAGGGGCGGGGATGCTCGTCATCTCGCTTAGGGGTGTAAACTTCAGATTTTGGTCTTGCTTAGGGTGTTCTGGGCAAAACACCATTATATTTAGCCGTAAAGGTCTCTTTTAGGGTTGCACTCGAAGAAATATTAAAAAATTATATGTTTTCAATTCATTTTATTTACTTGATTCATGTCATCCAAGTTTAAAATGATCACTTTTAGGGGTTAAAAAAAGGTCGGGCCACGCCCAGATTGGTCTCCTTTTCAAAATTTCCAACGAGCATCCCCACCCCTTTCATGTGGGAGTCCCCCACCCGGGCTTGATTTATCATTCTTTCATAGTGTTTTTCATGAAAAAACTTTACTTTTTTGTCGTTGTGTCCAATGTTCCAGTCAAGCTTATAGCACTTGCATTGTTGACTAGTATATCGATGCCACCAAACTTTTTTACAGCATCTTGAACAGCTTTGGAAATAGCTCCATCATCACGGATGTCCACTGCGCAGGGCAGGCACTTTCCTCCAGCCTCTTCCACTACAAGTAAAATAATTCCAATATCTTACACAGTACACCTGACCAAACCTTCTGTTGATTTGTAGATGTGTGCAATGTTTCAAGTGGCTTTATTATACCATGCAACAAATACAAAATTTGGTCTATTGCTTAAATCATATACTCTTTCTGAGTAGTTACCACTGATAATATAACTTTACAGGTACCAATACGTTTTGTACCAATCAAAATGTGTCATAAATTGGTGGAAAAAGGCAATCCCAGGAAGTAGTAATGAAGAAGACTGCTCTTGGCAGTGAATGTGTGTTATGCCAGTTATTTTGTCTTTATGAATCTTTGTCACTTATCCTAACAGAGAGAAAACTCAGAAAAAGAAAATTCTCAAACAATTACATCACAGGAACCATTTTTTCACATTTATCTTTCCTGAAGTTTGAGATGTTCAAGTCGAATAAGTAATCTTCAATACTCTTTTGGGGACCCTAACAGAACAAGGCATCAAGGAATTATCACGTGTGTAAACAAATAGGTAAACAAAATGTGTCACGCAAGCAGTCTGGGAAAATAACTTGTATCACGCAATCATAGTTTTAGTATGACAGCTAGAAGATCGAGAGTAGGTTCGAAATTTGGGCTGGAAATAAGTTAAAGTAAATAAAAATTACCTTCCTTCGCCGCAGTAAAGATAGTTCCTGGTAGTTTTGGATGGGGTTCAGCAGTTTTGGCTGCAATGACAATATTGGCGCCATCTTGCGCCGCTTTCAAGGCGATCGCCTTTCCAATTCCACGGCTTGCACCGGTTATAAACAGAGTTTTACCAGATAACTGTCTGAAATTAAAAGTTTATAAGACTACAGTGATTTCAAATCTCTCAAATGGTAGAAAACTCTATTCGACGCTTCCTTACCCTGTATTTTTCAACATTATGCAAGCAAAAAGTAAACAAAACTCAGAGGTCAGCGTACTTGCCCAGAAGAGCAGCCTCACTTTCGAAAAAGATTAGCGCCAAAATTTCAAGATGGAGGTTGAACATCGAATTCGAAGGAGTCGTAACAACAACAGGAAGACAGAACAAGACAATAATAACGAACCGGTTAAAAAGAAACCCAAGAAAACTCATGAATTAAGAGAACTTGCTCTTAAAGAAATTGCCACTTTAAATAATGAAATTTGCAATCTGGAAGAGGAAATTTTTCAGAAGGAATCTGAATGTGCTGGCGAGTATACTCTCGACACTTTGCGAGGGATTGCATCTGGACTTCTTGAAAATGGACAGCCCTCCTCGTTGGAAGAAACTGACAGAAGTGAAATTGAAAAAGAAATCGATGTACTCAATAATAGAGTTACTTCTCTAGAAAGCTTTACGGGGATAAGAGTTGTTGAAAATAACGTTTCAGTGCTTTCGAAGAGCGACAGTAGAACGATGTTACTTCGTCGAATTTCTGGAACTTGTCTTGGGATTCCATTTAAAGTGGAATTTGAAGTAGAAGAGGATGAACATAGGGGAAGTATCACCACTTCAGAACGAGAAGGTTAGTCTATACAGAGGTCTATTAAAGTGCATTGTTATGTTTCCATAGCTACTAACTGGGATTTTCCAGTTTTAGCAAATTGCAAAATACCTGGCCCCAATTCTTCAAAAGAGGGATAGCGTTATCCACTGTATAAATTCCTATTCAGTGGATAATGCAATTGGTTTTCCTAACACCTATACCAACAGCGATAGCTGCATAGCGCTATCTGATGTTGGAACAGCTGGCGCCCGGCCATATACAATAGGTCATTCTGAGTTCCACAAACTCTCACTTTCTAAAGGAGGCTAAGTGCAAAACCTTTCTTGTGAAAATGGGTTTCATTTGCATGGGAATAAAAAATCCTTTTCACATCAATGGCCTCGCACTTAGCTTCACTTTAGCCCTTCAACCCCAATAGTGACTAATGTCAGTTTTCTCCTAACGATATCCCTACAATGTCAAGAGATTAGGTTATGAGAATTAATAAAGTGATCACCAAAGGGAAAATGCCTTGATCTTTTATCAAATTCTCTCAACTCATTCATGAAGGAAATGTATGGAGATCAGTTTGGAGAATTTGTATGTGGATATTGGGGCTTAAAGGGTTAAAAACGAGTCTTGGGACAACTCAAAAATGGCCTATTGCATTTGCATGTCATTGAATAGCGTAATTGCTCATTGTGATATGCCTTGCTCTTTAAAGCATTTTGATGTGTGCAAATGAGGCGGTAAAGAGTGCCTGGCTTACAAATAGGCTCTTTCAACCCATTAAGGCACAGAGCACAGAGGAGTTATTTGTGACCTTGATTGTTGATTGTAGTTAAATGTTACGGTTGATACCATGCATTGCCTTTGTTTTTATGCTGTAGAATCGAGCAAACCGTCATTCGATTATGTTATAAACCTGGTAAATATTATCCAATGTTCATTGAGCATTAGATAATATTTCACTAGGTTTATAACTAGATCGCATTACCGTTTGATAGGTCAAGTTCATAGTTGATTCTACAGTAAACAGAGGCGACTTGTGCGATCGGCTATAAAATTTTTGCTTCGCTTGCCATAACAAATAAATCCTCTTCACCCTGTGATTAAGAAGATCATAAGCAGGAAACCAATCCCACCTTGTTTCTAAGGGAATAAGAATCTTTGGAATAAACTCAAATAATCAATTGTTTTGGCTTTCATTGAACAGTAAAATCCACAACCCTGGTGGGAATTAATAAATTTGATGAATATTGTACTCCAACGATCCAAAAATTTGTGACTAAAGAGATTTGTCGCAAATTTCTGCACATTCTAATTCCGGAATATCATCAATCAAATGCACCCTATGGTCACTGTGATTTTGAAATTCACAAGTTACTTCTTCACAAATGTTAAGTTCCATATTGAGTAAAGATGAGTCAGGGCACAACCAGAGTAATTTCTGATAACCCAAGGTTGGAAGAGTGACCCGTTGGGCTAGCATGTTTTAATATCACAAGATGTCCGACAGGCAAACAACACTTGTCAAGATAAAGTGAATTTTAGTCACAAAGGGTTTTGTTAGACCTGTGTGACGAGGCGAGTGAGCCAAGTCGTTGTTTAATTTTCATCTTTCCCCGTGAGTAATACAGAATAACCTGGACTGTCATGACAAAACCTGTTACATGTAAACTTATGATTGCTATTTCAACCCAAAGATATAAGACCTGATGAAGAAAACGTTCCAGTTTTAAAAAGACTGTCAGTGGAAGTCATGGACTCTCTTGCTGAGCAAGAACTCATAAACTTTATTCAAAGTGTAGAAAAAGAAAAGGCACTACAACCATTCTTTATTGGACTCGTACAGTATGCAGATTGGCATAGTAATAGACAAAGGACATTTCAGCATTTTTACACAAAGTATCCAGAGACTGTTCAATTAATTGGCACTCCAGCTGGATGCCAGTCTTTGCAACTGATGAATCGAAACAAGCCTGGACTGATTTTTACCATCTACTGGAGAATTTGCATTACTGAGACTGGCCATGTTACACCAGATTTCCAAATACATGCTTCAGTGCCACAAAATCGTACAGGCCAAAGAGACAACAACTCATTACTCAGAAGCATTCCTCGGCAGTTTAAAAAGGTTCTGCCTATTCTTGGAATAGAGGAGTCCATCGAGGTGGTGATAGGACTTTTGTGTAGATAGTTCACAGAGCACATGTTAGATACTTCTGTCTTATATTTAAATTATTTATGCTCTTTCCCACATGGTGCATCTATTAAAACTAGGATATCATTCAAATTATATTCTTGTATGTGATCTGAAATTTTTGCAATGGGGTATGTGTGTTTGGATGTAGAGATAGGTACCCTGGTCCCAGAGGTTTTTCTTAAAATTTTTCTTTCTGAAAGAGCAAGCTTAAGCAACGAGAACGCTGACATCCCGGACGTCATGAATAGCAACCATAAGTTCGATATCTCGCTGGACGAATTTGTTAAGTCAGAGCACTGAAAGAGAAAAAATATCAACTCCCGCTTGCCATTTTTGACGTCTGGGACATAAATGTTCACATTGCTTAAGGTCGCTATTATCATGAACAAGAGGAGAAGGCCCTATTAGGCTAAAATTCTGACAAGCAGCATGGCCTTGAAACAGTGACACAAGACAAGATGGAATGGTGACAAACAACATGAAGATGGGTTAAATACCAACAGGGACATGGCCCACTTCTCAAAATGCGAAAAGACTAATATATTTGAAATTCAGACTATGGACACACATACCCCCCACCCCCACCCCCCTAAGAGGCCATCAAGGATACTGGACTATATCTTGAAATTAAGAAGACACTTTTGCAACCATGTTCCCCTCCCCATTTACAGTTTAGTGAACTATCTAAGTACTGTGTACTGTGAAAATTTTTTTAGTAAGGGGTATTTTGTGCAAACTAGAAAAATAGTTTATTGACTTACAAATACTTATAACTGGCCCTATGAGTGTAACGTAAGTTTAAGAAACATTAAACAATTCACTTAATAAGTCCAGTGTAAAAACAAAATTAATCCCAGTTTGTCTGATTGAGCCTGCTGCATGACTGTTTAGTATGAGCTCCCTGTGCATGAATAGCTATATTAGTTGTCCTGCGCTTGCGCACATTCGTGTGTTCTACATGTGCGAGGCGTTCATTCATTCCTCTTCAAAGTCTCCTCATTTCTTAAACTCATTGTAACAACGTTAATAGTTTTAGCTTAACAGCTTAAACTGTAAGTACCGGTAAATTTTTTAAGGGAAATTTTTCTTCGTTTAGTGTTCATGTCCTTCATAAAACGTCGTATTAGATGTTACTAAAACGAGGAACGGAGAACGGGAAAATGAAAAACCTGGGATCAAAATCTTCTCAGTAACTTCATTACACATTCTCTGATTTGTTCCTATTTTTCCGCCTCCCGGTCAGCTCAGCTGGGAGAGCACCTGTGAGGTCGCTGGTTCAAACCCCGGCCGGAGTAACAACCAGGGTCAGATCACACTGGCTCTGATTCGAGACCTCGTCTAAGTTTGGATGACTGCGTCATCGGGCGGTGACTTTAAGCCGTTGGCCTTGTCTTCTTCGTCCATCTTTCATTAGTCAAACGTACAAGAAGCCACTCTTCTGTTCGGAAAGAGCTGAAAGAGTAGGGGAAGTTTTCCTGGCTGTGATTGGAGACCTCGTCTCAGTTCAGATGACCGCGTCGTCGGGCGGTGACTTTAAGCCTTTGGCCTTGTCTTCTTCATCTTACTTTCATTAGTCAAATCAAAAGAAGCAACTCTTCTGTTCGGAAAGAGCTAAAAGAGTAGGGGAAGTTTTCCCCGTGGTGTGGTCTACCCCCGGGACGGGGGGGTACTTTAGGAATTTTTGGGTGGGGACGTGCCGAGGGGCCCTGGAACCCTTAACCTATACCAGAACTAGTTCAGATGAATGTTGCTACCCTATACTAGAGTAAACTCCCCAAATCCCCCCTATCCTAGAGTAGCTGTTTCCCTAGTCTAGATAAAATCTTCAACCAACTGATCAGTTTCCTGAAAAATGATACCCTATTCTAGACCCAAACGCTCTGATTTGTATACCCTATCCTAGAGTAAACTGCTTGAAAACCATACCCTTCACAGCGGCACATACCTATATAGCCCATAATTATATGGCAGTACCCCTCCCCCCTCCCGGGGGTCTACCTTTCACGCATCACGCATCATTCATATCATGGGTTATGGCTGGGTTGCAGTAAGCTTACATGCCGCAGACGTCCGAGATTACTGTTTACATGTAAAGAGGGCTCATCTTGTTGTCCTCTTATCCACGACATTACATTTTTCATCCTTCGTGCTCGTTCTGCGTTCCACGAAGGACGTGTTTGATTGAACGTGCTCCGGAAAGAGAGAACAGGGAATAAACTCCAGAAACCAAGGAGCCATGACGTTTATATATTTATGCCAATTTGCATTGTACTCAATACAGTGTGGAATTTGATCAAGTTTATTCAGATACTACAAATATTAATAGAGTTGTCAGTTGTCATCCCCAGAATGTTTCTTATCGTTCTCGCTAGTTTTTGCTTGCAGTTTACTTATGCAGGTGCGGAAATTAAACCCGGCGAACCTCCTTTGGTGATAGTCTCCTTAGATGGAATGGATTGGCGTGTTCTCAAAAATCACCGATTTACTCCAAACCTTGACTTCATCGCACGAACCGGGGTAACTACCGACTACATCAAGAACGTCGTACCCACTAGCACTTGGCCAAATCATCACAGCCTTCTCACAGGTCTCTATTCCGAAAACCACGGCATCGTGGCGAACAGGTTCTGGGATCCCGTCTACGAAGAAATGTTCATCTTCGGCTTCGACTGCTCAAACTTTGATCCCAAGTTCTACTACAACTCGGAACCGTTATGGCTGACTGTCCAGAAGCAAGGGGGACGAAGCGCGTCATATTTTTGGCCTGCAACAACGAGCTACGCCGAAAAGCCTACTTACCACGCAAAGGAAACATGCTTGTTAGATTGAAGTGCCATCAATTCCAAGGATCTCCCAAAATATAGAAATCGGACTCTACCTGGGTTTCCACCTTACATACACTGTGCCTTTGACCTAAGAGTTCTCTGGGCTGACCGACTGAATAGCGTAATGAATTGGCTTCTCTCTGATGCACCGCCTCATTTTGTCGCTCTGTACTTTGAAGAACCCGATACCACGGGGCACGAATATGGGCGTTCCTCCCAGCAGTACCTGGATGCAGTGGAAAACACGGATAAAAATGTCGTGGGGTTTTTACTGAAGCGACTGAATGAATCTCATCTGTTAGACAAGGTAGGAGTCTTTCAGAGAATCCCTTCTAATACCCTAGTGGCGTGTATGGTTTATAGCTTATAGCTTTAATTTCCCTGAAATAACGGTCCTGTTTGTGTTAAGAGTGATTTTGCTTAAGTGTATGTAACATTGCTTAGTAGTCTACTATGTATTTCGGGGGTTAAGTAAAACCATTCTATTACTTATCAGGGGCACCCAACGAGGATATAGTTCAAAACCACTTAACATAGCATTGTTGAACGTATTTTAGCATTTAAACGGTAGATATAGGCATATTTTTATCCCCTAAAAACTTTTCATCTGTTCGGATTTCCTAGCTGAAAGTCTAGTGATCAGAAAATTATAGGGATCAAAACTTACTTTTTAGAAAATTTCAGCCAGGAAAAGGCTCCCGAAAATTCTAGGTGGCCTTTTTTAGGGTAAATATCCGTTTAAAATGGGTAATTATACCATTTTGTAGATGTTCGAAAATCCTAGGAGAGGCAGGCAAGCAAGAAATTTTACAACAAATGCTCCGAAAATTCTAGTTCTCAAATCGTCTCCCGAACAGATATTTTCCCGAAAATTGCCGTTGGGTGCCCCTGAGTTATACTACTACATGAGGAATTTCTGTAATTTGATTGGCTTAGAGCAGTGGTATTTCAGTTTAATTTGGAATACCTACATGTGAAAATTACAAAATTTTTGTGGGTGGTAGTATAAACAAATAATAGCATGATTTGTACGTGATATTTCGCATAAATACCACTCGTGATATTTCTAAAATTTCACTCGCCTAATGGCTCGTGAAATTACGTGTAGGAGGTTTTCACATTACGTCATCGCCGCCATGCTGGTGGACGGTAAACAAAAGATCGCTCAATAGCTCGTTTTGTTTGTCCACCAGCATTTGTTCATTTCACTATTGTTATTTGTGTCTCCCGAGATTGCATGAAAACCACCTATAACAATTTCGAAATATCACTCGTGGTAGTTATACCAAATATCGCTACAAATCGTGCTATTACTTATTCACATAAGGTTATTACAACAATCTATTATTATATTATACATCTGATTGCAATAACATCGTCAACATAACAAGATACAAAACAGAACTTTTAGAAGCTAAATAGGAATAAATTAGCCATGCTCCAGTGAAATCCTCCGATCGCAACGATGAAGCCCAAAGTGTCTTTTGAAATGTTTTAAGTGGCTATGCTGTACTTAGATATAGCGTTCTCTGGATTATCAAAATATCCAAAATGTCGTTTGGATGGCTGACTATCCTTCCATTTAACCCTACAAGCATACAAACTAATAAGGTCAGATCGTCAGTATGCGAAACATTTTTTTTATATAGTCATGCTTTGTGATCTCACGTACAGAATAAAATCTGGAATCTTAGAACAGATTTGGTCAAGTTTAAGACGCCGAGCCTAACGTTTTACTAATTGCCATTCATTGAGAAAGACCTTCAGCTTTTAGCTAGACTTTCAGTTAGATTAAACTGAGCAAGGTTTGCTACTGACATATGCAAGGCTTGAAGTATGTCGACAAGATCAATATCTGAAGAGGAAAAAGAAAACAAACATGTTGCACCTGAATGCTATTGCATTGATGCCCTCAGCCTGCATAAGGGAAAGTTCATTTAATATGACAAGGGGGGATGAAAGATATTGAGGTGGGGCTCCGAAAATTTTTAGACACCCGAAGGGGGCTCTGAAAAATTGTTGCCCTAGGAGGGGGGGCTCCGAAAATTTGTACACTTCAAAACCAACACATGACATCATCATACAGATCGGATGGTTTTCAACTCAACAATTTAATGACCTGTGCAACTCAGCTATATCACGTGGTTTACAGATATAACAAATGTAGTCTCAGTAATTATTACACTCTTGTTCATCCCAAAAATGCTTTAGAAAATTGTATCACAACTGTATCTCGAGTTTGTCATAGTATAAACCATTGAAGACAATAACGGTAAATATATTTAATATAGTCTAGCGATCTTTTTTCAGGGGAGCAAAGGAATTGAAGGAGGAGGGGGCTCTGAAATTTTTTCGACTACCAAGGAGGGGGCTCCTGAAAAATTGAACGGCTAGCGAGGGGGGCTGCTAAAATTTCAAGCTTCGAGTTTCAATATCTTCATCCCCCCCCCCCCACTTGTCATATTAAATGAACTTTCCCTAACAGGGGGCGTTTCTTGGTGATTCGAAAACCATTGTTTTTTAATGTGGGTATTGTTCCAGCCTCCTTCTCAGGCGCTTCTTTTTTCGCATGGCAGAGGCGAGTGCGAAACACGAGTGACTGGTGATGAACCGCAAGGGACTATGGAAAGGGTACAGACGGCGGGCGAAGCGCCTGCCAGATCTTGTGTCGTTTTCTTTGCAAGAAAACAGCCTCCTTACACACAGGATGCGGACAAGCAATTTTATTCTCCAACTTGGCAACGTGAACTGGTCTAAATTCATTTCTAAAGATTCGAACTCGTCCGCCATTAAACTTCCCGCCATCTTGAAAGCAAGATCTGCCAGACGTCTCGCCCGTTGTCTTCTTCCCGCGTTCCTTTGCGCGCACATCGAAAGAGAGACGTCTGGGTACTAGGCAGGGTATTATTCAGTGCCTTCTCAGTCTGTTGTAAAACGTCGTTTGGTGATTGCACCGTAAGGCAAGATTCACACGGTACGGTACCGGTCGAAAATTCGTACGCTTAGATGTTCCGTTCACACGGAACCAGACTAACCGTACGGAAATTTAAACGTTTAAAACGAGGTCAAATTTTTGACCTGTACGGTCGAAAATCTGAACGGCAAGGTGTGAGCACCCAGCCTAGTCCTTAGACGTACTCGGCTTGGTCAATCCTGGACTCTACCATGAGCTGTGACGTCATCGAAAGAGCTCGTTCGCTCTTTCCCAGACTTTGCACGGAAAACGGGTCAAGAGAGAACGCCTAGGGCCAAATTTTTGTACGGCAAAGGCGTGGTTACGCAGCTGGTATCACTCGCTCTGCTTGGGAATACTTTTAGTTTTTTAAACCTTATACAACGAGAAGATTAGAGCTAATGGAATGGCATGCGAGTGGAGTTAAAAGAACCACGGATTGGAGTTATCGGGGTTTAAGTGGCGTTTTGATCAAGGGAAAGGAATTTCAGTTCGAGTTAGCGGGGAATTCGAGTTATTCGAGTTCGAGTTAACCGAGTAAAAACGACTGGAAAGTGGGGTGAAATCAAAGGGAAATTGGACTTAGTTCGAGTTAGCGGGGAGTTCCAGTTATCCGAGATCGAGTTATCGGGGTTCTACTCAGCGTATTACGGTTCGACGGTCCCGTGTGAACAGCGCAAAAATATTGAACAGTTCCGTGTGAACAAATGTCCGGTCCAAGTTTTCAAACGGTCGAAAATTCGACCGGCACCGTTGGGTAGCCTAATGCAGCACCAAGAAACTTTTAGTTGGCGCAAAAGAATTTAGGCCGTAAATAAGAACGGAGCTGGCCGCGAGGAAAGAGGACGCGCACGAAGAGAGTAAAAGCTACCTCTCACCTCGCGCATGTCTGACATGTCCTCCTCAACTTAAAAAGTATGTTCATTATATTTTTCATGCGGCCATCATCAGTCGGTTTTAAGGCGCCAGGCTTCTTGTACTTTGGATATTGCCCTGATTAGTCAATGAAGTTTCGGTGTTATCTGCTGTCTTTTTTGCTCGTTCTGTCAGTATTGGCTGTGAAAACTAAATACTCAAGTAGTGGGTTTTGATCCGTCTTTTTAAGTGTAATTAGAGACCTAAGGCCTAGGCCAAAGTCGAACTTTTAATGATACGAACCAAACTTAGTGAGTTAGGCCTGTTTCAAACGTCGTGCTACAGCCGTGCCAAGCTGGCGCGACATGTAGCTCGACTGCAGCACGACACTAGCACGACTTGGTTTCAGACGTCGAATTTAATTCAAGCGAATAGAACGGCTGTTGCCGAAAACAAAACAAAAAATAGAAACGGTTTAGCAAACTTTTAAATGTATTCTAATGTATTTATAATTTATGAATTGAGTTCGGCACGGCGGTAGCACAACGTTTGAAACCAAGTCGAGCTACTGCCGTCTAGCGCGGCAAGGCTTGCCGTGCTACACGGCAGTAACACGACTTGGTTTCAAACGTCGCGCTACTGCCGTTCTTAAGTCGAATTTAATTCGAGCAATTGATTTCGGCTCGGCAGTAGCACGACGTTTGAAACGGGCCTTAAGTTCTTGGTCTGGCTCAGTTAAGATCGTCTGAATGAGTTTGAATCGTCCAACACGTTCTATGTAATGTAAAGTAATGTAATGTAATGTAAATGTAATGTAAATGTAATCTAAATGTAATCTAAATGTAAATGTCGCGATTGAGAGGACAAACATACATGTCCTCTTTACATAGCTTTTTCTATCCGTCTGAAGATCGCCTTCGGCTGATTCAGTTGCTTGGTTCCACGCGTCCTAAGTTCGACGTCTGACCCAACAGAAGATCTTAACTTAATTTAGGTCGACCCAAATTAGAGTTTGGTTCGTCTCATGAAAAGTTTGACGTTTTGCCTCGGCCTAAGATATACCGTTTCTGCCGACGGTCAACCCTTTAAACCCTAAGATCAAAATTTGAATTCTCATTAGTTACCCCTATTCATTTCCTACAAAAGTAGTGAGGAGAAGTTGATAAAATATCAAGAAAATTCATCTTGTGTGACCATATCCGTAATTCTCAGGACCACTCTGTTTTACAAAGCATTGATATTACAAGGAGAAATTTGATGCTGATCAGTCTTAGGGCTTAAATGGTGAAGGGTACGCATCAGGACATGACATGTAAAAGGCAACCATGATTTCTCATTTGTGGTGATAGTATCATCGTTCTTCCGAGTAGTCTACCCATTTATGATGATATAGCCCTGGGTACGCCAGGTAACGATCCATATATATATATATATATATCCCTACGGGTAAGGGTAATTTATCCGCACCCTCGCGAACACAAACAGTGCAAAGTCATTCATAGGTTACTTTTTTTCGTACCTACGATTATCATGAGCCAAGCGAGGCGAACGTGGCATTTCACCCGAAGAGCGAGAAGAGGGGAGGATCGAAACGTTGAAATGCCGCGTTCGCCTCGCTTGGCTCATGAAGAGCCTGTTATGCAAGCTAACTTGAGATCAGGGTTGGTGACGTGGTTTGGGATTTTTTAAGCACTGAAATATACAATACGCATTTATGCTAAGACCAAGCAATTTTACAATTTCTTTCTTAATTACGGTTTACAGTTGTAACGTTCTTTTGCAGGTGAATTTAATAATTGTCAGTGATCATGGAATGGACAACACTTCATCAAGCCGACAGGTGTATTTGGATGATTACATTGACTCGAGCAGTTACTTCTTGACTGAGTCGGGTTCCCTAGTTCACATATGGCCACACCCTGGAATGAAAGAAGCCATCTATCAAAACCTGACGAAGAACCCCATACCGCACATTCGCAGAGTTTTTAAAAAAGAAGACATTCCCTCGGAATATCATTGGAAAAACAGCCGACGAATCCCTCCGATTTTTATCGATCCCGAAGTTGGTTGGCTGGTAACCCGCTCTAGAAACGGTACTCCCCCTTATCTAGGGGAACATGGATGGCCCCCTGTGGAATCGAAGAGCTACTCGGTTTTCTATGCTCGTGGTCCCTCTTTTCGGGAGGGTGCGGTCGTGGAGCCTTTCGAAACGGTCGATCTCTATCCCTTAATGTGCAAATTGCTTGGGATAGATCCTCGTCCCAATAACGGCTCCCTCGAAAATGTCGAAGCCGTTTTAAAAGATCCAAGCCCATCCGGAATAGTTCAGTTTGTTGCAATGCCAAAGCTTGGTTTGATAAGTCTGTTGTTTGCAATTGTTTTCACTTTCGCTTAAGAATCTCACTAAACAATACAGTCGCGTATGGATTTACATGAGCGGTATAATAACCCTTGTATTCTCTGGAAGAGCCACTCTTCCGCAGGCAAAAAGTAATGGAGTACAGCTAAACCTTGATGTAACGAACATCCCTGTATAACTGATCATGACAATCTTTGTTCTTTTAATACAGTAACATGCTTGAGACGGACTCCTGTAACAGATATATAACGTATCCCCTCCACAGGAATGATTTTCAGTCATTCCCTCAGAACTATGTTATATCAGGTTACAGTTTACGTTAATAATAACCTTTATTTATCCATCTTTTATAAATATATACAATGGATTTACAATACTATAAAATGCTATCAAGTGATTATTCTAATAAAAAATTTAAGTAAAAATAACAGATCATAAAAGGAGTCTTGCAGCTCTTGCTATAAATGAATTTGCATGTCTTTGCGTTCTTGACTTTGGCATTGCTACTGAACCTGGTTTGGATCTTAAGTTATAGCCGTGGCTGGTATTTGGCTCAGTGAGAAAAATTTGATTTGGTGCTAAATATCACTGATTCACAATTCTTTCTAATTCACGCTTTGTCGCTACGTTTCACCGGTCCTCTAACGTTGGAAGGGATGCTATTGGTATCCCAATGATATCTAGGCACCTGTTTTGTATAGACTGTTACTGGTACTTTGGCAAACCGCCCCACTCTGGGGAGGCATATTCGAGAAGTGGGCGTATTTTGGTGCAATATATCGTGATGCCGATCTCTGTAGGAAGGTTTGCTTTCCTACATTCCCTCAAAAAATGCAATCATTTTGCTGGCTTTCTTTACGGTCTGTTCAACATGGTAATTCCAACATAAGTTGTCAACGTTAGGAGCCGGAGGGGGAGGACTCTGTACAGTCCCTTGTGTTTAGTTCAAACAGGACGCTTATTTGGAGCTGAATTTATCCGAGCGCTATTTTAGCTACGTTTGTTGGTTTGTCTCGGCAATTTATTCCATTCATTTTTCTTGAATATGAGTCATTGGGAAGGTAGCAAAAATACTATTATACGCTTTGAATTGGGCTGCATAAGTTGATGAATTGTGACTTGATCGATCCCTTTTGTTCTTATGTCCCGCTGGGGTGCCATGAAGCCGTAACGCCTTAATCTGTCCACTCCATATTTGCATCATACAAAATTAAGATATTTGAACAAGTTTACTTAAATCATCCAAATGCACTCGAACCTCCATATGCGACCTCCTCCCAGAAAGATCGAATGGATTGGCCTCCAGTGGCGTGTACTACTAAAAATTCAAACCTCCGCCACTTCATTGCACAAACCGGGGTAACAGCCAAATACATATATCATCTGTAGTTTGGCTTAGGTCTTTGTTCCGAAAACAACGGCATGAGCTTATCGACAATAATGGAACAAACAAAATAGGAACTAGTGAAGATAGCCCGGTGGGGGGAGGTACTCCCATATAATGTGCCGCCAAGAGATTATAATAGCTCTTAGATGGGGTATGGTTTTTCCGTTTGTTTTTTTTAATGGGCTGTCACTTGTCTGGTTTAGGCCTCGGAAAGGGTATCATGTCATCCTTTAATATGGACTACCCACCTACCCCTTCCCTAAGCGAACATTTTGCCCTAAGTGACAAGTAAGTTTTAATGTTGGCTTAGGGGAGGGGTCGGTGGGTAGTTTCCCAGAAACGTATAGTTTAAGACCTTTGGGCAGCAAACCCCTATCCGAAATTTAGTGGGAGTACCCCCCGGAAGAAAACGTCAATCAATTCAGCAACAGGATTAACAGCCGCTACTTAGGAACAAGTTTACTTACTAGATCTTATTAGCGTAGTCTCAGGATGTTCGTTGTTGTTTTTCTCGTCAGCTGTTCTTTGCAGTTTGCTTGTGCAGGTGGCCAGATTAATATGTCTAGTCAACCTCCCTTGGTGATAGTCTCTTTAGATGGAATGGATTGGAGAATACTGAAAAATCACCGATTTACAGTACTTACCCGCTTATAAGAACCTATTTTTTCAGATTTAGCCTAAACGGGTTCTTATGTAAATGGTGTTTAGTGGAATTTTAGGCTACAGAGGGTCTTAAATAGGTTCTTATATAATGAGAAATATATTATACATCTGTAAATGGTAGAAAGGTGGAATATATATTAATTTAATGACACAGGCATGACCAATTTTAGTAGATACATTCAGTATCAAGCTAAAACTAAAAGTTCATGTATTAATATATTCCAATGAAATAGATATGTATATATATACTTCTGTCCATGTGCCTGAATAAAATGGTTTTTTTTGACAGAAGAAGTTATAACTGAAACATTTTCCATGAAATAAGAACCTGTTTCAAATTTTAGGCTAAACAGGTTCTTATGTAAATGGGGTCTAAATTGAGAATTTTAGGCTAACAGGTTCTTAAATACAGGTTCTTATAAGCGGGTAAGTACTGTACTCCAAACCTAGTTACCACGCAAAGGAAACATGCTAGTTTAATTGTCACAATTAAACCACTACGGTGGTGTTGTGTGTAAATGACATCACAACAAGCTTTATTGATTTAGTGATACTCATATCTCTCGCCTTAAGCTTTTCTGATTTTCTATAGTTAAACAATCTTTAAAAATATCTGTTGACCTTTATCATAGTGGCCAAAATAGTTTTTACTCCAGTCTTAAGAAGATGACTGACGACTATGATTTCCCAGGCTTTAATTGTAATTTACTGAATAAATGTAAAATTAAGCAATATGTAGATCTTATGCAAAGGAAATATATCACTTACTGGAATCATACCCTTCAACATTCACAAAAACTTAACTTTTATTATAAAATCAAAACGAATTATAGCCCTTCTGTCTACCTAGATTTAACAAGAAAGAACCCTTCTAGGAAAACATTAGTGAAACTGAGAATAAGCAGTCACAAACTTAGGATTGAGACAGGTAGATACGACAATCTACCACGTGGCGAAAGGTTATGCAATCTCTGCAATTGTAACAGAATTGAAGACGAAACTCATTTTTTATTAGATTGTCCAAGTTTCTCTTCGATAAGAGATATGTTCTTCTCTAAACTAGAATCTAAAATACCGTTTCTACGACTACAATCACACGAGTCCCTATTATCACATCTGATGAATTCTACTGACTATTTTATTAACATCCAATTAATTTCATTTATATCAACTTGCTTTGAATTGAGAGACAAACTTATCTCCGGAATAATTAATCCTACTGATGGTTAGAAATAAACAATGATTAATAAGTTTCAAATTATTTTAAATATTTAATTTACAAGGAATCAATGAGTATTTTCAAGTAGCTTTTGCAATATTGTAATACTTTGTTATGGTCATGCAAATAAAGCTTATTGTTGATTCGCTAGTTTCATTTTCTTAGACAACGCCTATTTTTACGTAGAAAACGCATGGTCTCTTAACTTTAGCTTTAGTTGGATTTTGTCGTCTTCATGTGTACATCGTTGTGGTCTATTTGGATAGTTCATTTCTTGGTACTTAGAGGCAAGCGGGAACCGATATGTAACTTCATTCTATCTTGCGTAGTTTTCTCTATCTGGCGACTCATAGAGTATATTTCTTTTGTCCTATTACGCGTTTTTGGCAAAGTTTTTTTATACCGGAACAGCTACGAAAATGAAAATATGATTGGAATGTCAGTAAAATGTTATGTTATCTGTTAGCCAAACTATAATAATTGTAAGTGTACTTTAGCTTTTAGTAATTATTTGTTACGTTGCATTATATTTCAGTTTACTGTTCGATTATCGTCAATAAAATCACCATCAAGGACTAGCTCCTAGTTTCGTGGTCATAGTTGATTCATGATCGACCAGTAAAATATACCCGCTCACACGGAGTTTCCCCGCCACAAATAGTTTTAGCCGCGTGACAATTGGCTTCTCCTACAGTCGCAGCGTGTCATCCGTAACACTGTGCATGCCTCACGTTCGTATGTTCTACATGTGCGAGGCGTTCATTCATTCCTCTTCAAAGTCCCCTCATTTCTTAAACTCATTGTAACAACGTTAATAGTTGTAGCTTAAAAGCTTAAACTGTAAGTAACGGTAAGTTTTTAAGGGAAATTTTTCTTCGTGTAGTGTTCACGTCCTTCATAAAACGTCGGCGTATTAGAAGTTACTAAAACGAGGAACGGAGAACGGGAAAATGAAAAACCTGGGATCAAAATCTAATCAGTAACTTCATTACACATTCACTGTATTGTTCCTATTTTTCCGCCGCACGGTTAGGTCAGTTGGGGGAGCACCGGTGACGTCGCTGGTACAAAACACGGCCAGAGTAACAACCAGGGTCTTTAAAAAACTGGTGTCCCAGCTCAGATGACCGCGTCATTGGGCGGTGACTTTAAGCCGTTGGGCTTGTCTCCTTCATCCTTCTTTCATTAATCAAATCGAAGGGGACGTAAAATAACTCACTCTTCTGTTCGGAAAGAGTAGGGGAATTTTCTCCGGTGGTGTGGTCTACCTTTCACGCATGAGAGGACACAGAGGATTTTTACTGGAAGTACAGTACCCTGCAGAGTTGTGAGCTTTGTTGGCACTTAATCCCATTTAATATTTCAAGCTCCTCTAAAGTGCTAACATTTCTGTGTCATGGCGAGACTTTTCAATGCATTAAGTTTCAGCATACATTGCAAGATAATCTTCCTTTCGCGCCAGAATAGTTTTGTTTGCGCGCTTTTAAAGTACCTGAAATCACTCGGTTCCTCACAATACCTGCGTTGTTTCTCGAATACATTGCCTTGGCGAGGACCTGGCCTTTTGCCCCTTTTGCCCACTCGTCTTTTCTTTTTCTCGGGAATTGTTTATATTTGGTCGTAGTGAGATTAGATCAGAATGCGCATGGTGGATGTTATTTTCGCAACAACTAATACATGGGGCCTAATAACAAGGAAGGGTGCTGGATTTTTCTCATTCTGAGCGAATTAAAGGTAAAAAAAACGGCTACTCTGAGGTAAGAATTTAAAGTTTTAATTAGTTTCTCAGCGAAAACAGTCGTAAAGAAATTTATATCGCTAGCTACGACTTTATTATGATATGACGCTAGCTTGTGCTCAGTAATACCTTAAACCACGCAATGACTCCATAAATTCGATTCGCTTTTTCGCCGATCGGTAACATTCGACAACGTTCTCTTCGCTTTGTAAAGTGCATGTGATTTATTTCTAAAACCCTTTAAGGACGGTGCCTTGTTCAATGGTTCATTTGCTTGGCCTGGACGATTCCCGTTGAGCTGCCAGGCATAACAAATGCTCTGGAGCTGAATAGCACATTCAAAAGAGGGCCTGGATGGGGTTAACTGACAACTGACAAATAGCCAAAATTTTAACTGACAACTGACAAATGGCCGAAAATTTAACTGACAACTGACATTTGCCGTAGGTTTTACTAACAATTGACAAAGGACCTGATTGACCCTTATTTTCTACAAAACCCGTTTTTTAAGGCCTTAAATAGCATTGTCCCATTTTTTATATCAGACATTGTGATCAAATGTGCGTTTTTAGGGGTAACCTTAGCAACAAGACGCTTATAATTAAGTGTCATATTTCGTTAATGATTTTACTGCAGTAAAACCCATGTGTGGCATGTACCATCTGTTGTAAATGACCCATGATCTCAAATTTACGCTCCTCTGAATGGCTGCTCAGACTGAGGGCGTTACCATGGCAATTGCAAGTTTTTACTGACATGACTGAGAGACCGTTTTTCCTGGTCTTCTCACGATCTACATCCCAATATTATACCTGCCAACTTTTTCTGAGTCAAATCCGTGAGATGACCGAGATTTCCGGAAACGTTCCGGCGACTTCCGAAGATTTCCGACGAATTTCAGAAGACTTCCGAACGTTGCCGAAAATTAAATGTCCGCAGACTGTTCCCAAAGACGTTTGAGCACTTCTGAAGCTACTTAAAAGACGGCAATTTTAGTGTGCTTTGATGATTTCGTTAGAACACAAAAAAGGACTCAAAGTCATCATGTGTTAAGAACAATTTGTCTGGATTTGTGAGTCAGGCGTCATAAATTGTCCTTGATGCGTCAGATCGATGTCTTTCGTCCACAGGCGTGATTAGACTCACGCATAATGCGTATACAATATTGTGATGGTATAAATTTGGATTGGCCTAAAGGTTGGCAATGTTGGAATCTGGCCAGCAAAAATGTTCGAGTGGAGGAGAGTAACACAAGACTTGAGAAAAGGAGGGCCACTTGAAATGCTTACAAGTTCAAGTTCATTTATCCACACTTATTCAATTACAATACAACAACAATGAGAAAAAAAAGGAAGAAGTAAATAAGAGAGCTAACTATACATTGAATTTTAACATAATAAAGGAAAAAAGTGTGTAGAAGCCAAAGGAGCCAAGCTTTCGAGTCGGCTACTACCACAGAGCGGTTAAAACAAGTGGGTGGAGGCTATACAGTACTTATAAAAAACTATTTAACTTAAATAATTAAATAAATAGAGCTAAATAACAGATTAGAGTTGTTTAAGATGCCTGACTGTCAAGTAGAAAGGGTTTATATTCCTTTTTAAAACTGTTCGAGCGGAGACACTTAATTTTCATAGTAAAACTGATAATTTTCATAGTAAAACTAATAAAAATTAAGGTACTATTGCATCAGTTTTCGAATTTAATGTTTAATTTCGTGCCTTTTAAGCCAAATTTCGAATCAAAAATATACAAATAAGTTTCATAGTTAATCATTAATAACCATTTAACTGACAACTGACAGAAAGCCTAAAATTTAACTGACAACTGACAAATGACGGAAATTTTAACCTATAACTGACATTTGTACCCACCCTCCCATCCAGATCCCCTAGTTTAAACTAACTTCCTTTCGAACTGGCGGACGGCGTCTCCCATACAGTTCGATGTTACATATTCTACTCAAGTTGTTGGTTCAAAACAAAACTATCTTCTTTTAATTTTCGAACTGGCGGACAGCTCGTCAGGAATTAATGTATCAATACACTCGTGCGATTTCATGATGCCGGGTTTTCATGGAAGAATTAAATAGGTTAGCGTAATAGAGTCCTTCCCCTCGCTTCACGCTTGGTTTTTATTTTGCATATTTATATATGCTCATCTCGCAGGTGCGACTTAGGGGAAGGTATGTTAGGAATGCTAGTACAATGTACTAAGGATTCCTTTGCGGTACTTACAGTCGATGCCCCGTGCGTCCTGTCATGCATCACCCATCACGTATCATTCATATCATGGGTTATGGGTGGGTTACAGTAAGCTTACATGCCGCAGACGTCCGAGCTTACTGTTTACATGTAAAGAGGGCGCGTCTTGTTGTCGCCTGATCCACGACATTACATTTTTCATTCTTCGTGCTCGTTCCCCGTTCCACGAAGGACGCGTTTGATTGAACGTGCTCCGGAATGATAGAACCGGAGTCATGACCCGTGCCACGGCTGTTTCAAAAGGCGCGCGAGTGGAAATTTAGTTCACGCATGTCAAATTGACTTTTTGTGTTTGAAACCGCTGATAGCCTCAGAAAAACGGCTCAATAATTCAGAGCCCACAGACAACCTACATGCAAAAAGTATATGCGCCTAGCTTGTAGAAATTAATATTTTATGCGCAGTTACTATTTTCGGCTTCTATGATCAACGTTTGAGCTGGAAAGGTCAAATGGAGAGGAAGAGACATGAAAAGGCGGCTTGTTTTCACGCGAAGTGATTTGTGGCCTCGTCCAGGTCTTGTTAAATAAAGATACTTTTTTTGAGTGTATTAGAATTTTTCCTGTTATAATGATACGTCTCTGGTTGTAGCTCTATCTTTTGATGTTTATTTCTATGCTATGGCGTTTTAATCCGAATTGATTTGACCGGTGTTATCACCGATCGCACTTCCCCATCGAAACGGTCAAGATGGCGTTTATTTACCCGTTGCTTCGTAAAATTTTCCCCAGAACAGTGTGAATCCCTCTTCAAAACACAAATTTGTGTAGGCCAAAGTAAATTATAGAAACGTGCACGAAATAATAACACTGCTGTAAAGAAGTAGCGCCCCTTCGACCGAATGAAATTTGCACCGAGTGTATCAGTTGATTCCTCCCTTCCCAATAAGTGTACGTCATCTGTAGCGGGAAATTGCGAAACCACGCATAGTTGTATCTCTCCATCAGCTATTTCGATCACGATCGTGTGTGTAAAAAGATTTCTTGACCCTTTTATTATATTTGCCCATAATTGATCTTGTCTTTGTGTTTTCAGGGGCACCCAACGACAATTTTCGGAAAAATATCTGTTCGGAAGACGATTTGAGATCTAGAATTTTCGGAACATTTGTTGTAAAATTTCTTGCTTGCCTGCCTCTCCTAGGATTTTCGGACATCGAAAAAAATGGTATAATTGCCTATTTTTAACGGATTTTTACCGTGAAAAGGTCACCTAGAATTTTCGGGAGCCTTTTTTCTGGCTAAAATTTTCGAAAAGGTAAGTTTTGATCCCTATAATTTTCGGATCACTTGACTTTCAGCTAGGAAATCCGAACAGATAAAAAATTTTTAGGGGATAAAAATATGCCTATGTTATACCTGCCAACTTTTTCTGAGATGTAGGCGTGAGATTTTTATCCTGGGAGTGCTGGGATTTTTGAAAACGACACGATCATTTCCGAAGATTCCCGAAGAAGTCCGAAGTCTTCCGAAGACGTCCGAAGTTTGCCGAAGGCGAAGTTATCGAGAAAACGCCTATCCACAAAATCAGAGATCGCGAGGAAGGTATTGTCATTTATTCATTTTACACATGGTTTTCGTTCTTTTCGTTTTGGGTCTGAGTTAACATATTTTTGGAAATTGTGTCAAGCAAGACGGCAACAACTCACATTTTTCAATCAGGCGTGAGAAATTGGTCCGCAGGCGTGAGCGGGCGTGAGATCGAAGTTTTCAACCCGCAGGCGTGAGACTCACGCCTAAGGCGTGAGAGTTGGCAGGTATACTATGTCTACCGTTTAATACTAAAATACGTTAAACAATTCTATGTTTAAGTGGTTTTGAACTATATTCTCGTTGGGTGTACCTGTGTTTTTACCAGTCACTGGTTAATATTACAATCATCGAGTGATAGTATTTTCTCCCCTGTACGTGATGCCCTCCATTTCGAGCGAGGAGCACGTAATAAAACTAGTATGCACCATTCCCCCGAAGAAGTGAAAGATAAACACACACCTTTTCCTGAATGAAACTTAAAACGGCCTGTGAATAAATAAAGCGATGTTCGAAACATACCTTTGGTCAATTTCATTCACTGTATCGATAGATAGCTTTTAGAATTCGAGTAAATTTAGGTCAGTTAAGTTCAATCAAATGGCAAACTTTGGTCTTTCTGAACATCAACGAATATTGGAGAAGCTTTGCCGAATTTGTGGGGAGCGGTTGAAGAAGGCCAAAGATAAGTACGAGAACAGTTTTCTTTGTGCAGATAAGAGAGAGATTATTTTCACGGCCTTTGGTGTAAAGATTCGAGGAGACGACCTCGACAAATGCCCTCCTAAATTCTGCCACAAGTGCTACAAGCTTGCTTCAAGAGGAGGCACACGTTTTGCAATAAATGCTTGGCCTCCACACAAGCGATCTGGCAATTGTGTTATATGCAGTTCCTACAAGGACCAACAAAAGCCTGGAAGAAAAAGAAAACCCAAACCTGGAGTGAAGCCTAAACATGACCCTGGATCAAAGGAACAGATTGAAATGGTTGAAGGAATGTCTGGCACATTAAGTTTTCAACCAGACCCGAACACGCTCTCTTTCTCTGAGGAGGTAAAAAATTTGAAAAGCTATCGAGGGACGGAACCCCTTTACCCAGAACAGTTTGTTGAAAACATTAAGCATGAGTACATGTGTCCAATATGCAAAGAAGTCCTTGACCAACCCGTCCAAACAAAATGCCAAACCCCCCACATATTTTGTGCCAGCTGCCTTTCATTTGCCTTTGAGACATGTGGATCCCTCTGCCCAGTTTGCAGAACTGCAATTAGCCTGCGTAGCATGGCGGTTTTGGTTGGGCGCGCTAAGTAATAAAGGCGGGCGAGAGCAGAGAAACCGCAAGGAGATTGGGCGGAAGCAACTTCTCGCGGCTTCGCCGCTCGTTCTCGCGCGCTTCGCGCGCGAATTTCGCTGCTACGCCACTCCTGCGCCCAGCTCGACAAAACCGCCATGCTACGCAGGCTAAACTGCAATTGAAAATCCTCAGGAGTTCATTGAACCAGCTCCTTTTGTTCTACGAACTATACTATCAGAACTAGATTTTCAATGCCCTACATGTACACACACTATAAAACTACACCATTTGCCACAGCATCAAGAAAGTTGCATACCAAACCCTGTGACAACACCCACACAAAATGAAACCCCTGTACAAGGAGCAGTTTCAGTTACACCACCACCTCCTCCCCCAGTGACACCCCCACCAGCACTTGCAGCAGCACCTGCAGTAGCTGAACATGTACCTGCACCAGCACAACTTACAGAACCTGGTCCTGCTACTACCTATGCAGAGCAACTGACAGTACAACAACTACTACATAGCCCACAGGAAGTATATACATCCCTTAAAAAAGAAGTTGGATTGTTTATCATTCAGCAGTTCCTCTCACAGTCTCAGGATGGGACAACCATTCTCCTAAAAACAGGTGGCCAGGTACAGATATTTTACATATAGAATGATATATGTTCATGTTTTTCTTAATGACACTACATTTCAAAACATGGCATGAACAACATGATTATTATATGAATTTTCAGCCACTAGAATTGGTTAAAAGAACTAGGGCCAGGAAAACAACTGATGAGGTGACAAAAAAAACTGTTAGACAAAGATCAAAGGTAGTAGCAGATACCAGAACAGCTGTAAGTGGTGGTGCTGCAGGGACCCAGTTGGTGGATGAATTGAAAGCAATGGGTCGACTGGAGAGAGAAGCACTGCTGAAGGAAGCCTTGGGAAAAGAATTTAAAATAACCATCCCCAGGGGTGACATACTTGCAATGAAGGCAGACCTCGGAGAAACATGGTACAAAGTTAGGAAGCTTAGGAGGTAAGATTTAAATAATGAACCCAGCCCCCAGAAATCCACACAACATTTGATTAAAAAGTATTTTTTGTCTCCTATTATTAATTGGATTATTTCCTGAATTCCTTTGTAATGTAGCAACAATAAGTAATAACAAAGTCAATTTCCACCTAGTTTTATACATTATAATAATATTGTCCTGAATTGTCTCCCTGCAGGTGGTTTGATCAATGGGGACTGTCCTCTGAGAGTGAGAAACACCAGCAGAAACAAGTTCAGTCCATCACTGACCCTGCCAACTTGGTGTGTGAGATGGTGCCTTTTGAGTTCAAAAAACCCGGCTGCAACCCTGAGATCAAACAAGCAGAGTTCGGTTATGTTGCTGACCTTAACCAATTTGTACAGCTTCATTTGGATGAAAATGAAAAGTATAATTCTTTGACTTTTTATACTGTTATGAATGTTACTATAGCAGCAATGTCAATCATTGTGAATGTAAAGTAGGCTTTTGGCACTGCCTCTTGCAAGAATTATCACTTTCAATTAAACAACAGACTCTTTATTTTAGGAATGGACGCTTGACGTGGAATAATGCCATCCCACAACAGGAAGTCCACTTAAAACTTGGAGGTGATGCTGGCGGTGGGTCCTTTAAAATGGCTTTTCAGATTGCCAACCTTCAACATCCAAACTCAAAAACAAATACAGTGGTTTATGCCATGTTCCACGCCAAAGATACATGGACAAATTTAAAAACAGCATTAATGAAATACAGGGAGCAAGTAAACATCCTAAAGGAAGCTACTTGGAGGTTGGTACATACACTGTAAATGTACTATAGATTCCTTATAAACCATACAGGATAAAACCTCCACACTGAGTGAGGTATCCTGCTGAAATTCTGCAATAATTTTTTTTTACTTATTTTTAGAGGCAAAAAGCAAATAGTTTTCCTCTTTGGTGACTACGAGTTTTTGTGCAAGATATTTGGTACAGCTGGAGCCTCAGGTAAGTTCAACTAATAATTCACACATACAAAACAAAACAAAAAAATATTTGATTTATATTGTAGCACCTAAATTATCCTAAGTTGTAGCTTTAAAACACTCTCTATGGAAGGAGTATTCATAAGTGTGAATTCATTTCTTGTAGGCAAGTATCCATGCCTCTGGTGTCTGATAACATATGAGACGATGCAACTCTCTTGCCAGGATCCTCGTCGTGGGCACATAGAAAAGAGAAATATTAAGAACATTGAAGAAGATTATAACAAGTTTGTTGCAGATGGCTGTGTCACAAGTCGACAGAAGTTTTATCACAATGTGATCCATGAGAAACTGCTGGACATTGAACTGGAAAAAGTAAGTATACTATAACCATATTTTTTTGCTTAGGAAAAACAAATACTAATATAACAGGGCATTAACTTAACAATCTGATTCTTTCTTTAGGTTTGTGTTCCTGGACTTCACATCAGCTTGGGTGTTTTCAAGAAACTATTTGACGAACTTGAGAACCAGTGTGCTGAGCTGGACAAAAGAATTCAAATGGAGCTGGCTGCTGACAGTGACCGAAATGATGAAAGAATCCTGGCACTCAGAGCTGCTCATCAACACTATAGTCAGGCACAACAGTTGCATGAGAAAGCAAATTCTTTACAGGAATTATTGAATTTACAGAGTTTGCATTCTGATGTGACTATTATGCCTGCCTTCTTCACGTCAATGCAAAATGAAATTGACAGACTCCTTAAAGACGCAAAGGAAGAGGTAACAAAACAGTATATACTATAATATCAAGAATGTTCATGTGACTAACTCCATCAAACAGACCAAAATCTACAACCTTTTTAAGTGATTGTTCTGATGAAGCTGTTTTAGACCATGAAGATCCACATTCTGAATAATGTAATTATGTTCTCTTTACATGTAATTACAGGAAAAACTTGCAGATGAGCAGATAGAATTGGCGGGCTTTGATCGATCCGATGGACCACTAACAAGGCATTTGGACGTTGTCCTGAAGGAAATGAATGTTGAGTGACAAGCCTACCATGGAAAATCATTCATTGGTAACCACCTGCACACCTGCTGCAAGGTAACAAACATTCAAACTTAAATAAGAGATGAAAACTACAAAGAAGCAAACACATGAACTGCCATTAATAATACAACTTGTTGCTGTCTTTTTCTTTAGGCAACCAATATCAATAAATTATGCAGTGCCGTACTGGCAAAAACAGAAGAGCTACAACATGTCCTTCCTTGCTTTCTAAGGCAAGAGAAATTAGTGTCAAGTTTGAACAAGCCTTCAAATTATTTGCTGCTTGCCTTTTGTTTATGATAGTGCAGAATACCTTGATGATGAGAAGATCGACCAGCTAGGTAGGTGAAATGACAAACTGTGGTTTTTTGTAACAAAGACAATAAAAATGTACATCACATGCGTTGTTCTGTATCTGCTCAGTAAGTTAAGTCTCATTCACCTTTTCTAGATGCACACATAAAAAAGTTCCTGAAGTTTATCAGAGAAAACCTCCCTGGCATAGCAATCACACCAAAGCTTCATATGCTAGAAGACCATGTTTGTCCATTTCTACGACAATGGCACATGGGCCATGGATTCTACGGTGAACAAGGGATCGAAGGAATCCATTCCGAGTTCAACACGCAGTCACAGCATTTTGATCACGTCAAGAAGCAGGATGTGAGATTGCGGCAGATACTAGTAAATCATCATATTGCCACGAGCCCATCACTCGCAGGAAAAGCTCCGAAGCCTAGAGAAAGGAATTTAAAGCGAAAGGCAAACGAATAAGCTTATCCTTTTCACTTTGGGGAAATTCACGAAATATGTTATTACTCATTGAAGTTACATTTGTAGTGCGAAAATTTCCCTCTGTATAATAGAGGCGCTAGCAATGAAGCACGAAAGAGTTACCCTTACAGGCTTCCGTAGTTTACAATCCAAACTGAATTTTTCCGTCAAATGTTCCAAGCTGATTATCTCAGAAATTCAAAATGGAGTCACCTAACGGCCGATCTTCACATATTAAAAACGCCTGAATGAGTGTTCAAACAATTCGGATTAAAACACTTACCTCCGTAAGTTCTTCAGGAAGGTTTCACATCTTCTCCCTCTACTCTTGTGATGTTGAATAAAATTCGGGGCCTTTGTAATTTGGAATGAAACATTTATGTAGATTTTCACATCTTGTGTTCAGCTAAGTCCACCTTAACGACGCGATTTTGTCGAAAAAGATCACAATTTGGTCGATTTTCCTCACATTTTCGACAACAACTGCTCTATCGATCTCCAAAAGTCCGCCATGATAAATTTCACTTGCATACATTACATAAATGGTGAGATTTCATTGGTTAAAAACGGTAGAGGCCCCTAGGTTGTCATGGACGCTAAAATATGTGCGTGTTGTAGTGGGCGTCTGGAAAAGCGGGAAACCGGAATCCGGAATAGGAACTGGAATAGGAACAGGAACCGGAACCGGAATAGGAACCGGAATGGGAAGAAAAACCTATATAAAAACAGAGACAACATTTACCTTAATTTAAGTTAATCTGGATTTAATTCCTGTTCAGATATACGAAAAATAAGGGAAAAAAAGGAATCGGAATAGGAACCGGAATAGGAAGGGGAATATAAACAGTGTATAGAAATGTGAAAAGGAAAAGATATAATCGTGATTTCAATAAAAAGCCAGGGAAATAATTAAGCAAACAAGAAAACACCTCTGAAATTTTAATCTAATTAACCTTTCTTTATCTTTAGCCTATGACACATTGTGTTTTCGTGTCAAACATAGCGAACTTAAGCAACGAGAACGCTGACCGTCCCTTGATGGAACGCTTCTGTCTCTCACAACGAATCTGAATTCTTCCTCTTACCTTCCACTGTGCGAATTTGTTGAGTCAGAGGACCGAAAGACAGAAAACATCCACTTCCAGTTTCCATTTTTAATTTTTATTAAGGTCCCTATTGCACTCGGTTGAGGTAGATGAAGTGCTGGCTGGGATTGGGATGGGGGGAGGGGTGGGGGGGAGGGTTGAGGAGGCACGTGTTAATACCCTTTTTAAGCTGTGGACTATCTATCTCTGGTTAACTTCCCAATTTAGCACAGTACAATATATCTATGCAGCAAACCTGAGGTGTATGGCAGCCCAATAAACATGTCCGAAGGGTGTCTCGTTTACACGATAGTCTGACAAATAATATTAACACGTTATAACCTCCTTCCTGTAAGAGACAAAAGGAACCTTAAGATCTGACAACGGCAACGCCAGCGAAAACGCCACTGAAAAATTGAATTCGGGTCTTAATTCAAACTATTTCTCATTAATTCCAAATTGTCCAGTGTTTCAAAGGTTGGGAAATGAAGCTGGAGACCGCGTCCGAGCTCAGAAAGACACAATAAAATTTATCGTCTGCTGTTCACGTTCTCAAGAGAACTTAAGATTTGATCATTTACGTCGTAGTTGTGCATAGGCGGTGAAGAAATTGACGGAAAGCGCGATGCACTCGCAAAGCTGTTGCTTTACTTATTTAACTTGTGGCTTTTTCTACCTTCTCGTTGCCGTAATATAAAGAGATTCGGGGGGAGCATGATACCAGACTAGTTTTCTTATTTTTTTTGTATAAACTGAATTAGAATTAAAATAATTTAAAGTAAATGATGTCCCTGTTCTTGTATCGGTTCCCCTTCACATTACTGTTCCTGTTCCGTTTCCGTTTCAGGTTCCGGTTCCGGTTCCTGTTCCCATTCCCGTTCCTATTCCGGATTCCGGTTTCCTTCTTTTCCAGACGCCCTGTTGTAGTTCGGTATTAACTTGAGAATGTAATAATTAACCGGGTGGTTCTACGAGAGCGCATGCGTGAACTAAATTTCCATTGCGAAACAGCCGTGACGTGCGTGCACTCAATACACTGAGGAATTTGATCAAGCTTATTCAGTGACTACAAATATTAATAGAGTTGTCAGTTGTCATCCCCTGAATGTTTCTTATCGTTCTCGCCAGTTTTTGCTTGCAGTTTACTTATGCAGGTGCGGAAATTAAACCCGGCGAACCTCCTTTGGTGATAGTCTCCTTAGATGGAATGGATTGGCGTGTTCTCAAAAATCACCGAGTTACTCCAAACCTTGACTTCATCGCACGAACCGGGGTAACTGCCGACTACATCAAGAATGTTGTACCCTCGGTCACGTGGCCCAATCACCACAGTATTCTAACAGGTGTTTATTCCGAAAGCCACGGCATCGTTTCGAACAGGTTCTGGGATCCCGTCTACGAAGAAATGTTCATCTTCGGCTTCGACTGCTCAAACTTTGATCCCAAGTTCTACAACAACTCGGAACCAATATGGCTGACACTCCAGAAGCAAGGGGGACGAAGCGCGTCATATTTTTGGCCTGCAACAACGAGCTACGCCGAAAAGCCTACTTACCACGCCAGGGAAACATGCTGGTTTAATTGTAGTGCTGTCAATTCCAAGGATCTCCCAAAATATAGAAATCGGACTCTGCTCGGGTTTCCACCTTACGTACATTGTGCTTTTGACCTCAGAGGTCCCTGGGCTGACCGTGTCAATAACGTAACGCATTGGCTTCTCTCTGATGCACCGCCTCATTTTGTCGCTTTGTACTTTGAAGAACCCGATACCACGGGGCACGAACACGGGCCTTCCTCCCAACAGTACCTGGATGCAGTGGAAAACGCGGATAAAAATGCCGTGGGGTTTTTACTGAAGCGACTGAATGAATCTCATCTTCTGGAAAAGGTAGGAGTCTTTCAGAGAATCCCATCTAATATCCTAGTGGCGTATATGGCTTATAGATTAATTCTACAAGAAACATGATTAGAAGCATACAAGCTAACAAGAACGCGCTTACCGCGGCATACAGATCTCGCCTGCTTGGAGATTAGATCGAGAAATGAGGAGGCGATTTTCTCGCTTTACTTTCTACTTTATCGACGTCGATACTTTTTACTTGTCTCTGAATTGGTTTAGTACGCGTGTTAGCGACGACCAAAAAGACCTCTGCGGTAGGTATCGAAACAGTGATTTACACCCAGGGGGGGGTACTCGGGATTTCAAGTGACGGGGATGATCGAATGGAGCCAAAAGTCAAGACCCAAAAAAATTCCTAGGGCTTCCAGCAAAACCCAAAAAAATCCCTGGACCAAAAATTAACCCCCAAAAAATCCCGTGCCGATTTTGTGGCCCTTAAAAGTTCCAGAAAGGGGTAATGCTATAACACAAAGAAAAACATTGGAAATTGAACACTCGGGTTTGTTTATTCATCATACCATCTGAATATATCCTTTCCCTCATCTAGCAGTCATTTTAACAAGTAGAGCGAGTGCTAGAGACACCCAAGAACGGTTTTGTTTCAACAGTAACGTTATGAATAACTCTAAACAAACACCAACCCGGGTAAGAACATAACGAATAACTTTACTAAGTTAATTACAAATATTAAAAATAATAATCATGCTTCGATAAACTATGATGCATCCATAGAGACTTTGGCCACAGCCAGGAGCACAGC